AAAATTTTATTCAGGAATGATCACATTTACATTTAAACCAAAAATGATTTCTATTTCAAACTTTATTTTATGACCATGCACTGAATTCAATTGTTTAAACCAGAGGCTCCACAAATCCTATCAATTTTGCATAAAATTGATACAATGCAATGAGCATATTTCAAATAGTTTTCCAGAAAAAATGCCAAAAAATGTAATATCACCCTTCAAGGGCAATAACTCCTAAAAGGAGAAGACTGAAGATTTCAGGCATATTGACTAATTTGTAAATTGGGTGTCCAGCTGATAATTTTAGCTTTTTGAGTTTCTCTCCATCTCTTTAGTTTACACGAAAAAAACCCACAAAATTGTAAAAAATTATCATTCAATGGCATTCAATTACCCCTACTCCTGGAAGAAGTCAGATGACAATTTTGGTCATGCTGACTTATAAGGGAATCTTGTCCTGCTGTTCTATTTTGATATTTAGTTTCTTTTAATATACTATAGTGTCTTAAAAAAAACACAAAAATAGGTAAAAAGTGTCTTTCAAGGGCAATATAGCTCTTATACGAGGTCAACAGATGATTTTGGCCATGTTGACTGAATTGTAGAAGTTGTCCTGCTGATCATTTTTGCTTCTTACAGTTTCTCTCCATCAACTATAACTCATGCAAAAAATTCAATAACAGAAAATGGTTAAAATTCATCATTCTAGGGCAATTACTCCTATAAGGATTAAACCAACATTTTTGACCTTATAGTGGATCTTGTCCTGCTGTTCAATTTTGCCATATTACAGTTTCTCTCCATCTACTGCATTTTCTATGAAAAAGATAAATGTGTAAACAATTGTTTTTCAAGTGCTATACTCCTATAAGGAGTTTAATGACGTTTTTGTCTTGTTTAACTTATTTGTAGATCCTGTCCTGCTGATAAATTTTGGCATTTAGTTTACCTATATCTATCATATTTTAAAGATGAGAGCCAAAATCGCAAAAACTATAACTGTTATCAAGATAATAGTAAATACCTTCCTTTTACCCCCTGTGTTCTATTTTTAGCCCTGGCAGCCATGTTGGTTGGCTGGAGAAATCAAAGGACACATTTTTGTCCAGCTTGCAACAAAAGTCGCATAATGCGAGACAGGAATTACTTTCTGATTACATCATAAACCATTTGTTTAAAGACCTGGATGCTTCATACTTTGTATACAGATGACTTATATTATGAAGTTTCTGACTGCCATTGTCCTGGACCTCATTTTCATCGTTCAGTGACTGCTTGAAAGCTGCACATTTTTTTTGGTCATGTGAAATACTCATTTATTATGAGTAATAGGATAACAATAGAAGTCTACTTTTTGTCAGACAGGGTTCACCTGACCTCAACCTCATTCCATGGATCAGTGATAAAGGTTAAGATTTCAAGGTTAAGTCGGCATCTCCGATACTATAAGCAATAAGTCAAATATATTTGGTGTATGGAATGATTGTAGGGTGTAAATGTTGTCATGCAGGGTACATCTGACCTTAACCTCAATTTTATGGTTATTGATCAATGAACCATAAAATTGAGGTTAAGGTCAGATGTACCCTGCATGACAACATTTACACCCTACAATCATTCCATACACCAAATATATTTGACTTATTGCTTATAGTATCTTGTTGAATTTTCTGAATTAGGTATGTTTCTCAGATACTGTAAGCAATAGGTTAACAATATTTGGTGCATGGTATGATCATAAGGTGTACATGTCTGTCTGACAGGGTTCATCATACCTTGACCTCATTTTTATGGATCATTGATAATGTTAAAGTTAAGTGATACTTTTAATATATAACCTTCATATAACAGATTTTTAGCCATGATAAGTAAAGCATTAGTGTGTGCACTCTTATGTTCAAACTAGATACCAAAAAGATGATTATGGCCAAGTTTTGTTTGATTGGCCCAGTGGTTTCAGAGAAGATTTTTATACGCCCGTTTACGGGACGTATTATGGTATACCGTTGTCCGTCTGTCCGTCCGTCCGTCGTCAACATGTCGGACATTAACTCAAGAATGCTTTAACCAATTTGCATAAAACTTTGGTGAATTGTTTATATCTATTGACGTGAGCTCCCTTTCGTTTTTTATAAAATTTAGATTTTACGTTTCCGAGTTATGGGGTTTTATTCATTAAAAAAAGGGGGATTTTCCAGTTTTCGGACAATAAGTCAAGAATGCTTTCACCAACTTGCAAGAAATTGTGGTGAATTGTTTATATCTATTAACATGAGCTCTCTTTTGATTTTTATAAATTTTAGATTTTACGTTTCCGAGTTACAGGGTTTTATCCATAAAAAAAGGGGGGATTTTTCAGTTTTCGGACAAAAACTCAAAAATGCTTTCAGCAATTCTTATGAAACTTTGGTGAATTGTTTGTATGTATTGATGTAAACTCTCTTTAGAATTTTATAAATTTTACATTTAACATTTCTGAGTTATGGGGTTTTATTCATTAAAAAAAGGGTGATTTTCCAGTTTTCAGACAATAACTCAAAAATGCTGTCACCAATTCTTATGAAACTTTGGTGAATTGTTTATATCTATTGATGTAAGCTCCCTTTTTATTTTCATAAATTTCTAATATGGCATTGATTGATTGTTGGTTGCTTAACGTCCAGTGGCAAATATTTCATGCATATTCAGGACGATTGAACTTTATTTGTTTATAGTCTTGACAACAGATTTACTAAGTGTTGCACAACAGCAAGAAATTTTTAATTGAATATAAATTCAATTCATATAACCAATTTAAGTTCTTTGAATACATTTATTCAGAAACCTATAATATGTCAAATATTTAATTACAATCCAAATTCAGACCTGAATCAAGCTTGAATGTTGTGTCCATTTCTGCCCCAACTGTTCAGGGTCGGACCTCTGCGGGCGTATCTAGCTGCGCTCAGCGAAGCAGTTTATTGTAAAGGTTACTGGACAAGTGATGAGAAAAGCTGACACTGGCCCTTTGAGCCTGGTGAGATAAAAATTAACTACTTCCAGCCAAAAAAGTTTCAAAATTGTGATACTCTGCACATTCATTTCATATAACCTCTTAAACTGAAGGAATCCAAGAAAACTGACTTATAATTTTCTCTTTTGAAATGTTTTACATTTGTCATTCCGAGGCCTTTTATTGCTTGCTGTAAAATAACTAGTACTATGAGTGAACTCACAACCCTGCAATACTTTTAGTACATCTATAATATAAATTAAATTGATTATCTCACCTGTAAAAATGGAACGAGATTATATTCCATTATGCACCTCTTCAGGTAGTCTTTTACATAAAGTTTATAAAGTTTCAGCAATATCTGTCAAGCCATTTATGAAGAGTTACTCTTACAAGGCAAATGGACAGACTGATTGACAAGGTAATTCCGGTATATACACCCCACCAAAATAAACCTCTGTTTGTTGAGGAGAGGGTTAAAAAAGCTACACAACCTTTCCATGCAAAACCTGATGATTTCTCCATATTTACCTTCATCTTACTGTTACATAAGTTGATAAACATTTAGAGTACGTTTTTCATAAAAAAAATAAATAATATATTAAAAGATGAAGAACACTTCTAAAATTATACTTCATCAAAGTCTTGTTTCAATGTAAGGTTCAAGTTATCATCATTTAGAATACTGTGGATTCATTATTATTCGTTGGATACCAATTTTCATGGGTTTGGTGGATACAGGTGAACCACAAATTCAAATGTTCAAAGATTACAAATTTTCTATAAAAATTGTTTTTAAAAGTATCTGCAACTCAATTTGGATCTTTCCCTCATTACCTGACACCACAGACTCATTTGGGTTCTAATCGGAAATAGGATTCTTGGGTTATCATCAAGAATCCTAACTAGGTTTATCATCAATAAAACCTGTTTTCTGCACTGACTTGGGGCTATTTTTAGCATCTATGACCTTTCTTTACCTTGGTTGTAGTGATCTAAATTTAAGTAGGATTCTTCTTAAAATTCACAGAAATTTCAATGTTAGCTGGTAATGTACTTAGGTCACAAAGTACAAAAAACAATCATGTGTTATGAAATGTTCCCAGGCAAAGCAAGTTAAAACTTTGTAATTTTTACTACTAAAGGGAATCAGAAAGGGCCAGCCATTTCCCTACATAATACAAAATGTATTCTATTACTTTTTCAAGTCAGAAACAAAAAACTAATTTATTATATAATAAACTGTTAACACAGAGATATGTTTCGCCTATTTGTTATTTTGGAAATGCAAATGTTGAAATTAAAATAACAATAATTTAACATGTAAGTTATGCAAATATTCAGTCAATGAACCATGACTAAAGGTACAAGGCAAAACAATTTCCATGGAAATGAGATGTGTTAATGCTAATACAACTGTATACCATATACTATTGACTTTTCATTAGTCGTTCCCTTTAAAGAAACCTAAACACAAACATTAACTTGTAAACTAAGCAAAAGTTTCAAAGTCAATAGACCATGACTGAAGGGGCGGGGCCAAATAAACTCCATGGAAATGAGATATGCCAATGTTTATACAACTGCATACCAAATATCATTGACCTACCACAAGTGGTTCCCCATAAACTGACCTAATCACAAACTAATACATGAAAACTAAACAAAGTTTCAAAGTCAATAAACCATGACTGAGGGGATGGGGCCAAATAATCTCCATGGTAATGAGATGTGCCAATGCTAATTCAAATGCATACCAAATATCATTGACCTACCACTAGCGGTTCACCATAAACAAGACCTAATCACAAACTAATACATTGTTGATGCCGCCTTCGCTGCCGCCGGAAACAGCATACCTATGTCTCGCTTTTTGACTCCGTCAAGGCATGACAAAAACCATGATAGAATAATAGTCCTCCTCTACTTCATAGATGAAATCTATAAGATATAGTTGCTGAGCTTCCAAAGGCAAAATGATGGGAACATTCATGATAACAGATAACAGATAAAAACAACATAACCTGGAAAAAACAGTTGTTTATTTGACCTGATTTTTAAGATAATCAATCATTTATTTATAATATACATGTAAACTGTAAATTCAAAACATCAGGATTATCTATGGTACATTCTGTCCAAATTACTTTCTAGTAGACATGTCAGTATTACTGTAAATTGTAATTTATAATACAGACTATACAGGCTCTGTATACCCAAAATGTATATCTTTTAATATGGATGTGTAAAAAAAGATGCATTTCATACAAATAAACAGAATTCATGGTATTAAATTATAACTTTTACAAAGAACCAGAGATCCTGAGTACTGTTGGAAGGTACTCTCCTTGACAGGGCACTTCAGTATATCATTATATAGAACTTGATATTTTGATAATGCAACCTTTCATTTTGTAATTTTCTGTCTTTTTATTCTTGCCTTACAATCATGTCCTAAAATGTATTAAATTTTAACCACTATACTTTCAATTTCGTGTAATATACCTGAACTTATTCAAATTATAAAAAATTTTAACAGCAAAATTTGAATTTATGTAATTAAAAATATCAAATGTACATTGAATTCACAGTATACAACTTGAATAATTTACATAATTTACCTATATTGTGGTTATAAAATACACCTACATAGATAATCATACTGATTTTAATAACTTGATGTGGTTTTATTCATAACAAACATATACTATAACTAACATTTAGAAAAAAAAATATAACCAGTTTCAACTGAAACTTCAATTAACATGGTTTTTATTTAATGGTCTATTTAAAAATTCCAGTTTAAAATATTTATAGCATCAAGGTAATCAACAGCAAGTATTTGAGGGTGTTTGAATAGTTCTGTTCCTTTTTTACCTGAATTGTTTTTAAAATGAACTTTTACAACTTTTTAAATCTTTTTTGAACAAATTTCTCTTTGAGTTTTTTTTAATATGTTTTAAAGTCCCTTTACAATTTTAATTCAACTCCTGAAAGTTTTAAATTATGAGCAATTTCAATTGTGCATCTACAACTTAAAAGTTTAGTTCATAATAATAAATGATACTTAATGCAGCAATTGCTTATAAGTTGCAATTTCTAAATGAAAAATAAAACCATAAAATTTAATAAACCTTATTGTCTGAAATGATAATACAATTCATATACTCATATATACATACAATTATTAGTACATATCATGCATAATTTACCCCAAAAATGATTGTACAAAATATAAAAACTTTTTGTTTAACAATGTTCATAGATAGTTTTCAATTTAAACATTTTGAGCAAGAGTTACCTCCCTTCTGTTGTCATTTTTGGAGTCTACGAACATAAATTCCTTCATAAATCAACCACATTCAACTTGTTATACAAACAGCTAGACTTTAAAAAAAGTTGTTTTCTGAAAATTTTCTTTTATGTCAGCCTTCTTAATTTATCACTACGATCTAGTAAGGTTTCAATTTGGTTAGTCAAATGATTAACACCTCCAAAATGGTGGACAAGGGAATAAACTCACACTCAAACTATGTCATGAAATCTATCTTCATTTAGTTCTTAGTAAAACTACAAAATCATCATTACAATCTTGCTGAAGTAATTAGCATTAATTGACAAATCAATAACTCTTTGAACAAAAATCTATGAAAAGTCTTTGTTTTTGAGCCAAAAAAATATCTGCACTTAAAACATACAGGACCATTAAACTGTACTGTTCAATTAATTTTTGTCAAGTGGTAAATATTTATATACATCCAAAGCATGAAATATTCTGCAATTACTTTTACAGTAAACTGAATTTTCTTTCTAAATTCAGGTGAATTTAATCATTTTTGTCGAAACACCACAAATCAAGATGACATTAGCACAGAAGTATGAGCTAGTGTTTTAAAATTTTTAGAGTTAGCACATATTTTAATTCATATACACAATTTGTAAACTTAAATGTTGATTTGTAATGAATGTTAACTTACGTCTAAAACTATTTTCCATGGAAAAAACATAGTTAAAGTCACTTTAGCTGACATGACAATATTGAAGTACAATGTTAGCATTAAAACAAAAAAGCACTTTTTTACAAGTCTAGTTATGGTATTATGAATATTCTATGATGTAAAATGATAATAAAATCAATCATAACGTTATACAACAACAAAATATAAAGTGTGCCAGTATGGCATATTAAATTTACAACTGAAACCAATTAATTGGTTAAAATATTTACATCTTCTATGAACATTTTTTTATAGTGAAAAAGGCACTTTCTTACATAGGATTTTTAGGAAAAAAGGAGATTATAACATTGACGAACAAGCATATGGACAACAGAAGCTAAGCTGAGGATTAACAATATGTTATTTCATAATTTATTATTTATTTATGATTAAAAGTGTCTATGCTTTTAAAGTTAAAATTATGTATATTTACAATATCACAGAGAAAATTTCACAAACATTAGTGTATGTACATTCAGTCACAGATTATTCATATATAAGTGTACTGAAAAATGTTTAAAGAGTTTCATTTGTATTATTTTTCTACTGAACTTTGCATAAAGCACATTCTAATTTGTGTTAAAGTGGGAATAAATTACAATCTTGTGCTTCAACATTTTACATTGCTCCATTGGGGTAAACACACCCAACCATGGTTGACCCCCCCCCCCAAAAAAAAGACACAAAGATGAAACACAATTAAAATTGAGTTAGATATTAAGAAACAATCAGTACTCTCTTATTTCATGTTTACAACCACTCTTTGATTGGATATTGAGATTTTTAATAAAAATATGCATGCCACATTTTAAAAATACAGAAACCCATATCATATGTACATATGTGGCTAATATGGTAAACTTAAGATAGGACACAAGAAAATGTTCACCGGTGTAGAGCAGAAATGTTCAAATATAATAAATCAACAATATATAATAAAACTCAATTTAATAACTTAAAACTATTTTCTACTGATATCAATAACTGTGAACATTTTAATTGGATTTTTTTTTAAACAATTTTATTGAGTTACATTTTTTTATTTTTTAATTTCCACTTCTTATTAATTGGCTTTTTATCTTTAATGATTATTCTACTGACCATATCCAAATTTAAAATAAACAAGAGTGGACACGCTGAAATGTCTCGCCTTCTTTACTAACCATTGATATTATGTTGATAGTCCTAAATGAAAGCTTTACTACAACTATTACATAAACTTAACATGATCAAAGAAAATGAAGTCAAGGTCATATAAACCAAACAAGAAATACATGTACACCTTACAATCATTCAATACACTAAATATAGTTGACCTATTGCTTATAGTTTCTAAGAAACAGACTTAACCAAGAAAACTAAACATTGACCAATGAATCGTGAAAATGAGGTAAAAGTCAGATGAACCATGCCAGGCAGACATGAACAGCTTACAATCCTTCCATACAACAAATATAGCTGACCTATTGCTTATAGTTTAAGAAAAACAGACTGAAACACATAAACTTAACACTGAGCAATGAACTGTGAAAATGAGGTCAAGGTCAAATAAAACCTGCGAGACTGACATGTACATCATAGAATATTTCCATACACCAAATATAGTTGACTTATTGCATAATAGTATAAGAAAAAAGACCAAAACTCAAAAACTTAACTTTGACCACTGAACCATGAAAATGAGGTCAAAGTCAGATGACACCTGCCAGTTGGACATGTACACCTTACAATCATTCCATACACCAAATATAATAGACCTATTGCATACAGTATAAGAAAAACGGACCAAAACACAAAAACTTAACTATAACCACTGAACCATGAAAATGAGGTCAAGGTCAGATGACACCTGCCAGTTGGACATGTACACCTTACAATCATTCCATACACCAAATATAGTAGACCTATTGGATAAAGTATAAGAAAAACAGACCAAAACACAAAAACTTAACTATAACCACTGAACCATGAAAATGAGGTCAAGGTCAGATGACACCTGCCAGTTGGACATGTACACCTTACAATCATTCCATACACCAAATATAATAGACCTATTGCATACAGTATAAGAAAAACAGACCAAAACACAAAAACTTAACTATAACCACTGAACCATGAAAATGAGGTCAAGGTCAGATGACACCTGCCAGTTGGACATGTACACCTTACAATCATTCCATACACCAAATATAATAGACCTATTGCATACAGTATAAGAAAAACAGACCAAAACACAAAAACTTAACTATAACCACTGAACCATGAAAATGAGGTCAAGGTCAGATGACACCTGCCAGTTGGACATGTACACCTTACAGTCCTTCCATACACCAAATATACTAGACCTATTGCTTATAGTATCTGAGATATGGACTTGACCACCAAAACTTAACCTTGTTCACTGATCCATGAAATGAGGTCGAGGTCAAGTGAAAACGGTCTGACAGGCATGAGGACCTTGCAAGGTATGCACATACTAAATATAGTTATCCTATTACTTATAATAAGAGAGAATTTAACATTACAAATAATCTGAACTTTTTTTTCAAGTAGTCACTGAACCATGAAAATGAGGTCAAGGAAATTGGACATGTGACTGACGGAAACTTCGTAACATGAGGCATCCATATACAAAGTATGAAGCATCCAGGACTTCCACCTTCTAAAATATAAAGCTTTTAAGAAGTTAGCTAACGCCGCCGCCGCCGCCGTAGCCGCCGGATCGCTATCCCTATGTCGAGCTTTCTGCGACAAAAGTCGCAGGCTCGACAAAAATTGCTTTTAATTAGTCAAAATAGCTTAACATATAAATTTTGATACTTCTGAAAGTTAGAAATAATAAAACATGAGGATCCCAAAAGGCTGAATCGCTCACCTGGTAACAATATACAATTTTGAAATTTATTTTTACCTATATTGCAATCATGGCAGATAGAACTTGACCTACTGATCATTTTTACCCTTCTTATTTTGATGAATCTACTTTACTCCCTTTGTCCTATTTTAAACAACAGCAGCCATTTTTATATACTTGTATACAATTTAAAAACTAGATTCCCTTGGGAACATTCAGGAAAAGTTCAGTTTGAGAGGAGAATTCTTTAATGAAACAGTTTACGAGGACTGATGCTAATTGATGGCAATAGCTTGAAGGCCCTATGGGCCAGGTAAGCTAAAAATGAATAAAAGTGTGGACAACATCAAATGTCAATCAGACAAGTAAAATTCTATTTATTTTATTTCCTCCAAATCAATATTTCAATTTATCACAAAACAAAACTGACAGGTTATTTAAAGATTTGTATAAATTTATTTTCATACAATCCAATCTAGTTGCATTTTATTTACAACATTTATCAGACTTCCAAAATGTAGGGATTTTTTTTTTTAAAGGAAAGCATGAAAAAATTTTAATTATAGAAAAAAATATAACTACTGGAAAATATCACATTTCAAAACAATATTTTAAAAATTTAATTATATTAACAAATAATATACATCTTTTTAATAATTTACAATTGAGTTTCTCCATTAAATCTTCTTTGTGCTGCCATATAATGTAATTCTCTCCTTCTAAGAGGATCTTCTGTTGATGTATGTGTATAATCTCTAAGAGGATCTCCTGATGATGTATGTGTATAATCTGGCCTTCCAAGATATTCTTCTGTTGATGTTTGTGTTTGTAAAATATTATTTTTATTTTCACTGTTTTCTACACTATTCAGATCACCCTGGTTTGTACTATTTTTGTCTAAATATTTCCTATAAATATAAAAAAAATAGTAATATTTATAATTACCATCATAGACCATTTCAAAGATTATTGTGTCCATTAATTGAAGGATGGCACAGTACTAACCTTATTCATATATTATAAAAAAGGACAATCTTAATGTCCTACAGTTAATTCCAAACAATATATTAAGGAAACATTTCCAATAAAAGAAGAATGTGTCAGAGGACACGAATGCCCCCGTTCAAGCTTCAAACAAATGAAAATGGGACGGACGGATGGAAAGACGGAAGGAAGGAAAGACGGTCGGTCAAGGGTAGTAATTAATGCCCCCATCACCTAGGATGGGGGCATGAAAATAACTGCCTTCAAATGCTGATATGAGTTTAAAGTCATTTTAACACAACAATATGTAAAATGTTTTTTCAACTACACTCTTTTAGTAAATTACTAAAGCTTAGAAAACAAACAGCATTACATTCCTATTCAGGCTCGACAAATCCTCTGGTATTCAATAAAATAGACAAATATGAATATTTCTCTTTTTTCCTATAACTTCTTTCACTTATATGTAGAGAATATTTACAAATAATTTCATTACTCTTGACTTTAAAGTTTTATCATAAGCACCATCAGATCTGTTCATCATTTCAAATTAACTGTTCTTTTGACATATAATTCCACTAAATTCTATTAAATTTACTTACTTTCTAGCCATTTCCAACATAGAATTTTTTCTATCACTTAACATTTCTTCCCTCTCTGAGGTTGACTTTGAGAATCTCCCTCCAAAAGTTGAAGGACCTGCAGCTGGTTCATTAATTTCTTCCCTTGTTAAAAATATAAAAATATATTATAATTTACAGGTTGCTGAGTATGAAAAGAAAATGTCCATTTCAGTAAGTTTGCAGTATGATTTATAATTGCCACACATCTCCTTTCAATCACATAATTGTGTCACCAAAAAAATCTGTAATTTAAAGAAAATTGTATTTTGGAATTATAAACCCTTATCAACACCTAAAACAAAAATTGATATGTTGTTGTGCTAAGCATACCTCCAACTCATAAGTCAAAGTTTTGGGATTCAGGAAAAAGGTGTTTGACTGATATGCTCGAATGTTACAACTCATCTCTATCAAGCTGATTATCAAATATGTTCAGTAGTACTTCAAAAAAGTAAGAAAAAATGTTATCTTAATCCACATTTTAAAAAATTTCACCATCAAGAAGTCAGTGTCTGACAAAAAGTATTCACATGTTACAACTCATCACTGTCAAGCTGCTGATTATATATGAAGCTATATTCAGTAGGAATTTACTTGAGAAAAGTGTGACAGAAATATTTGTTGAACATGACGGACATACAAGGTGAATGCAATATAGTCCCCACTCCTAGAATGGGGCAATACATAAATAATGTTCAAGGGCTAAGGGAGACAGTTATATTGTCCTTCACGGTATACTAGTTAGTAATGTGTCTCAGTATTTATATGTTGAATATAACTTTCAAAAATTATATCTTGTTTGAACTAAAATCTTGAACATAAAAGCAACTGTAACAGCACCTCTGACTCCTTGTTTAGGGATTTGCAAGATTTTGAATTACATAATTTATAAAAAAATTAATTTGTATTGAAGTAACTTTATAACAACTACAAATGTTGTACCTGTTTTCCTCTAAAAAAGGAACATTCTCATCAATATATGATGGTCTATCATTCTGTTCTTGGTACAAATTTTCAGCTAATGCCATTGCTCCTGTCTGTGATATGACTGAAGGAAGCAACAATTGCTAAAATTAGAATAACTTTTCAATTAAGTTAAGTTTATGAATAACTATAAAGCAAAAACATGCACTGCTTTTTATGTTTTATATTTTTTTTTCATAATCTAAAATTTCAGGGATTCGAAATAAATTTTCAAAAAAATAGGACATTGCTAAAAGATATCTGTACTAAAAATCTTACAATACTAATGGAAGTAAAGTCTCATAATCATGTTATTGAAGAACTATGAAAAGATATATCATTGTAAAAATTAAACATTATAGCGCCGCAAACAAGCACTTCTCCATATCAGCTTCAAAAAGAGAATTCATTTCTTCCTATGATTCTGAAGTAGTGTGAGCCCTATAAATCTATATCAATTCTTTTACAAACAATTCTAAATTGAAAACAATGTTCAAACCTATGATTGCGTTGGATAAAAACAGCAATTTTTATATGTGTGCATGCAAAACAAATTTCTTGGTAGAGGGGTCTAAATACAGCACAAACAACATTTTCCAAAAGACCAAAAAAGTGAAAAAGTATATTTTAACAAAACGCATTTGACTAGCAGGTCGAACAACAGATGCTCTTAAACCCTGCTGACTGCCATGGCGATTGCCAAATAAACGGATCACCAGATGTAACAAAATGGATCTTAATTATTAATTTAATATCAAACAGAAAACAATAAACTTGCGGAAAAGATGGTTTACCCCAAACATTAGGTGCAAAAATTGGTACACCATATCCGGATTTCAACAATTAATGTCTCTTCAGTGATGTTAGGAATTGAAAGGATATTTGGAAGGCCATATAATTTACCTCAATTTAGGATTGACTCTTGAATTTTGAACAGTCGATTTAATCTTTTTTACAAGACATGGGAGATGAAAATAACATGAAAAAATCATACCATGGAAATTTGGTAATCTTAAGATATTTCACAAGTTGTTTCCCAATACAGTGATTCCAATTATTTATCTTATTAATACATGTACATCAAAATTTGCACAGGTTTAAGATTTGCATCCCTAATATCGGGAAATTTAAAAAATTACTCTAAAATTAATGCATAAAGTCACCTTTTTATTATTGCGTCTCCTTGAGATAATATCTTAAATCCACACATCCCAGGCTCCAATGAGTAGTTCTTACAATAAGGTCAAAATAGATATATATAATACAGTCTAGATCAAGGCTTCCTAAACGGTCATATTTGCCGGAAAAATGTAAATTTATCGGACATTGTTCGACTGGGCCAAGCATGAAAGGGACATCCTATGTAGGTTTGCCATTTCAACGTTCACGTGATTCCGAAAAAATCAACCATTTTGACTTAACCTTGTGCCTTAAACAGACACACTTTTCCGGTCATTAAAGTGATAGTACTCTATAAACAAGCCCTACTATAATCCCCTCTCATTACAATCAAGGTTAATTAAGTGTCTAACGGGTGAGATTTACCTGTGATCATCTGTGTCAGGTAAACTATTTGTGCCAAACATCGATCGATCTTTTTGGAAGTTATTTTTTTATGTAAATTAAAAACATTCCTGGTCTAAATCTAACTACTTTTTAACAACAGATTGAGACTATCAGAAAAACGTATTTAAAACGATAAGATCATAATCTACACACTAAAGATAAACTTTTTTGTACCGGACATTGACCGGCCTATTTATTTAAAAGTTATATTTAAATTTCAGAAGTTTGCATCTAATCAATTTAGCCAAAAAGATTTAGATTATCAGAAATACATATATGAACATGATTTGATGAAAAAATAATAAAGGTAGTAATAAAGGTTGTCAGCGAAAAATCGTCAGAACCATGTTGTTTGAACTAGTACAAGTGTGCGCATGTGCACAGGTGTGAGGTTTTATTATGCATCCGAATTTTTCAAAAATGCTAAAATTATCATTGATACCTTTATCTAACATTCATTTCAAATATTTTCCTGAAGAAATAACCTGGAAAGAGCTACTTAAACTCAATCTTGCTTTGTAAACGTACACTGATTTTACGTATCCGTCTCTGGTCCATGGTTTACCATCGCCAAGTCAACATCCGGCATCATACCGAGAGTAAACACTACAAGATATGGGCTAAAATCTTTCCGTTATAGTGCTGCACAATTATGGAATGAGCTACCAAACCAAATCAGACAGGAAACTTCTTTAATTCAATTTTCCAATTTAATACAGACCTGGAATGGCAGCTCATGCCAATGTAATGCTAGCGATTAGTGTTTTATGATTTGAGCTTAGCTTAGCTTTTTTGCTGCTTTTTATGCTAAATTAGTTTGCTTTGATTTTATAATTTATCTGCATGAACAGCATTATTTTATTTTGCTTATGTGCTTGACTGCTTGCTGTCTTATGTCTTATAATATGTTTGTTTGTCTTAATATGTGTGTTTGTTTGCATGTCATTTTGTTTGTGTGTAATGTATTATAATGTCGATTTTAAAAGCTCACTAGAGCTTGAGTTACTTTGTATGCAATGTATCAACAATAAATAAAACTTTGATTTGATTCGATTTTAAAAAATGTTTTTTTTAAATCGAAAGCAAAGTTTACGACAGCATAATTTTCCACAAATAAAGAGTCTAAGGCAGATATGAGTACGCTGATATTGCACACTTCGAATGATGCACCGTCAATTGAACAGTTTACGTCAGAACATCGAATTTATATCAAAAGTCAAGTTTAAAATCGTTTTTGAGTCAATCTTTGTTTATTTGAAGCCCAACTGATTACAATGCTTGCCTTTTGTTACAAAGTCTTAAGGAACTGAAATCGGGATAAGACAAAAACTGTTCGGCTGGCTGAAATATTTTTTTGAAGCCCTGGTCTAGATATAACCTATATACAAACCTGATTTTCTGGTTCTTCCTCTGATTCGCTATCTCCTATTGCTGCTCTTGTTACCAAAGTACCAGGCTAAATAATTCAAATAAAAAAGTTCTTAAAATGCTATATTTTAAGCGATACTATGCTCCTAAAGGGGTTAAATTGTGTCATATATAGATAACTGACAAAATTTCAAGTAAGGTGAAAACTAGGGATGCCAATACTTCTCATCCTTAATAATTTGTGCAAATTTATGTGGTTTAAAAGAGTTTGGACATCAGGGTTACATACCACTCATATGAGCCACCCAAAAGGTCCTACATGACAATGTGAAACTCCAAATATCAATGAAATCAACACATAATATTATAGATGATCAATACTTAAATTTTTTTATCAAGATAATGCACACATTTAGATAGATGATTAGTTTCAGAGGAGAAACATATATCAATCAAGCAAAAATAACCTGTTTGGCTATTGAGTATGAAAACCAGCACTTAAAATCAATGAGATAAAAAATAAAACAGATAGGGCAGCACTATTTTGTCCATAATGTTTCTATGTATGCTATTATTTCATTTTTCATACTTCATATACATCATAGCATTTTTTTTTTAATAATTCTGTTGCTGTTTCATCCTATTTGTGGGTACCAATTTTCAAGAATTGAGTAAAAAATGTGTATTCTGTGATATTTTGTTTTTATGGATTTGCCAAAGCCTGCATACAAGCTTATAGAATATTAATACTTTGTTGCACATTTAAATTTGTGGTTGCTACCACACATTTAGTAATGAATCCACAGTATTGAGACTTTGATGTGTTCAATTTTATGGCAGTTTCTGTTGAATTTCATTCAAAATTTGTCTAGACTTTGATCAACTATGAATTCTGGATCCTTCTCCAAAATTGAAACCATTTATTTTACTGTATATAAATAAGTATACACAAGGTTTTGTACATATTATGAAATGTTATAAGATGTAGTTGGCAGAAGACTTCATAAAATTGTGTCTCATTCCTTTTGGTAATTATATATAAAAAAAATCAATAATCTAAAGACAATATGATGACTTCAGATGCAAAGTTTGTTTTTTATGTATTATCAGGTTGCTGTCACATCTCCTCTTATTCATACAAAAAAACTTCAAAATCTTTTGAAGCCAAAAAAGCTACCAAAATGCAATACAAGAATGATCAGATGAATCTTACTTACAGGGGGAGCCTCAAGTCGTCCTTCTAAAATATTTTCTATAGTAAAATCTACTGATCTAGTATTCCTCAGATCTTCCGTTACTAAACTTAATGGCATATGTGGGAACACAGATAATACCTGTCTTGCCTATAAATGTAAATACAAAAAAATTAGGTTATCAATGGCCTAATATCACAAACATTATGTGGATCAAGAATGCAGATGCCGAGTTTCATATTCTTTTTTCCACCAGCATATTCAATTTCTATAAAATTGACTACATAGTTCTGACCCATGCTTTTTGCTTGTCACATTATCTAAATAGAACAATAGAATAATAGAATAATAGAATAATGAATTTTAATGATGATAAATAAATAATAGTATTGAATAAAATGCTTCGCTGAGTGCAGCTGGATACAACCACAGAGGTCCAACCCTGAACAGTTGGGGCGAAAAATGGACACAATATTCGCGATTGATACAGGTCTGAATTTGGATTGTAATTAAATATTTGACACATAATAGGTTTCTGACACCGAATAACTGTAGTCAAAGAACTTAGAATTGGTTATATGATTTGAATTTATATTCAATTTTAGCTGTTGCAAATTGACAACAACAACAACAACAACAACAACAACAACAACAACAACAACAACAACAACAACAACAACAACAACAACAACAACAACAACAACAACAACAACAACAACAACAACAACAACAACAACAACAACAACAACAACAACAACAACAACAACAACAACAACAACAACAACAACAACAACAACAACAACAACAACAACAACAACAACAACAACAACAACAACAACAACAACAACAACAACAACAACAACAACAACAACAACTTATCCCCCATTTTTTTTTGCTTTTGTGAAATACACTATGCTGTTGCGTATTGATCCCCCCCCCCAAAAAAAATTTTTTTTTTAACCTTCCCCCCCCTTTTTTTTTGCAAAAAAAAAAAAAAAATATTTGAAGAAATTTTCTTTTAAATTTCTGAAATCTGATATGAAAAATAAATTGCCCCCCCCCCCCCCTACACAATATCTTTTTAACCCCCCCCCCCCTTTTTCCAAAAAAAAAATTCTTTCCCTCAAGATATGGTCATAATCTCAATTAAAATTTCCAATGGAGTTTGCAACCATAATTACCAATTTAAATACATCATAAAAGTCTTAAATAGATAATTTTAAAGCAGTTTAAGGGAGGTAATCCAACATTGAATAACATTGTACATTTGTTTTTGGATTACCTCCCTTACACTGCTTTTAAATTGTCCATTAACCAGGAAACCCTTGTTTTTTCCCCTTTTTTCCCCCCTTCCTAAACGGTTTGAGCCATAACCCCCCAAAGCCAATCTTAACCATCCCTTTGTGGTATTGAAACTTGTGGTATAATTTCAGAGAGATCCATACACTTAAACACAAGTTATTGTCTGGAAGTTACAAAAATGCTTATTTTAGGCCCCTCATTCCTTAACTGTTGGTACCATAACCCCCAAAATCAATCCCAACCTGCCTTTTGTGCTATTGAACCTTATGGTAAAATTTCATAGAGATCCATTCACTTAAACTAAAGTGATTGTGCGCACACCAATGTGTCTTTGGACGACGACGCCAATGTCATACCAATATAAACATTTTTTTGCGGTCGTATAAAAATGTTGCATTTAATATATGGCATGTGTTGATATGAAAGTTTATTACAATACCATGTGATATATGTTTTACCTACTGTAAATATGTTGGAAAAGATGGAACAAAATATATCGGCTTAGGGGAATGAGAGGCAATCTAATTAATTAAATATGGGTGGTTGTATTTTCCTTAGACTTTTGGAAGATTTATAAGTAAAATGACAGTTTTTATTTTATGGGTGGTCGGGGTTTTAATAAAGTGCTTCCCATGCCCACCATGTGTTAAATCCTGAAACAGCCCTTAGTTTATTTTACCATGTTATCTAGCTGTGAAGTCTGTAAGGCTGGTAGTCTGGCTCCACCATGTGGTAATAACTGTGTATGTGTTACTTCTACAGAAAAGCTGGGTAACCAACTCACATATCGGGATCCTGAAAGTTATCGAAAGAAATTTAAATCATCATTTAATTACACATATATATATACAATAGAAAAATATGCTGGATTGGCAAACTTATATATAAACTGGAAAAATGATGGGTAACTTGAATATTTTTTTGTTGTGATTGGTCATACTTTTATGAGGCAAAAAAAACTTGACCAGAAATTAATAGGGTAGGTAAATAGATAAAACAATTTTGTTTCTTTCACTTATTTTATATAGGATACAAATGAAATGGTTCTGGACTAAAAGTGTTTAACCAAGAATTTCCATAAATGTGTTAGGATAGGCATGAAAATTTACACAAGGCTGGAAACACAACTATATTTTTTTGGGGCCTAATCATCATCAAAGATGAAGAAATAGGTGGTAGTTAAATGGTTGGCTGTGAAAGTGAGTAGTTTTTCATATACAGGTACCATTTAGAGGGGAGTAAATGGTTAGTAGCCTGAGGATTTGGTTGATGTTTATCACTCACCATCAAAGTGGAAGAAATGGTTGGTAGTCTGGGGATTTGGTGGTGGATGAGGTGGGTGTGGCACGTTAGGCCTGGCATCTCCTGTTTCATCTGGAACATTTGCGTTAGGATCACCTTGGGGACCTTCACTGAGTGACATCCGACATGTTGGACATGATGTGTCCTGCTCTAACCATGACAACAGACAAGCACTGAAAACAGAAATAACTTGAATGTTTATAAATATTTTTTTTTAACTAACAGTGGTCCACTATGATACAGTTTTGAAATGTTAAGACTCGTTAATTTTTCTAAATTTGGTATTGCCAAGAAATTCCATGGATTTTATCAATTTCACGGTCATATATCTCAATTATGAGGAAATGAAGACATGATTGAATGAATGAATGAATGATATTTCTAAATATATCAAAACATAAATAACGGACTTAAAATACTTAAATGTTTATCAATTAAGTCTACATTTGTTTAACAATATAAAACAAAGAACACATAGATTATTAAATAATCAAAATAGTCGTTTGTTAGATAGTTATTTTCAGATTAATTTTTAACTAAAAAATTAAATGTATAATAACCTCTTGTATAACAAACTACTATTTTGGTTATTGAATATTCTTTTTTAATTTTGTTTTTTTTGTATAACAAATAACGTATGTTGGATAGGTTGATACGTTTTGCCTAGCAATAGATAATCTACAGTAATATTATCATTCCTTTGGTAATTTCTAGTCTGATCCCATTTCAATGATTGGCTCTAATGTGAAAGGTGAAAGGTGATATGAAGGAAAACTTTATTCCCAAAACTTACTTGTGAAAGAGATGCCCACATGGTAATTTTCTGGATGATTCCATTCTCTCCCAACAAACAGCACAGTTGTCATTATGGTCTTTGATTTCTTCTTCTGTTGCCATTGGAAACCTTTTCAGTTTAAAGTATTATATTGTATAAGAAAACAGTGATAACTTTAGTGAAGAAAACTTTTTTTTCAGGAAACACAATCACAACTTTCTACAAAACTTCTTTCTATGTTTGCTATGGTTCCAATAGAAAAGAATACAGAAATAGCATTTACTCATTTACTAAAATCTATATAGAGAATAATACAGTAAATGCAGAAATTATAGAGAGCTTTTTATTAATGAGAATAATGCGCCTCCTTGAGTATGGCAACAATAAGAACTCACATTCTGATATCAGATACATATATCTGTATGTGGCTTTCCTTAAAATTGCAACAATTTCAACTTGCATTTTGGTTCATTCTTCAAAAATCCCAATAATTTCTGAATTTACAGCTAACACTTACTTTTATTGACATCTATATGGTAAACTCAAAATGTTCAATTTTAGGATGTTTTTCATTGTAGGGATAATATTTCACTGATATATACTCCTATATAACTATTACATCAAATAAATTTGATACTAAACTCAAGAAATTTCATGAGTTTATTTTTGCAGAAAATGAATTAAAACTCTGTTTGGAGAGATTTTACGACATGTTTCATAGGAGGCATGTAAAATGTTTTAAGCTGTTCCTTTATATCCTGACTAAAGTTGACTTTTTTTTTGCAAAAAATAGCAGAAACAAAACAAGTTAGCCTTATATGAGAAAGAGAAAATTGTCCATCCATTTAAGTTGTTACTATATCAGGGCTTTTCCTATCATGATTTCCTTGATAGAAGGTTGCTGCTCACAAAGAAGCTATTAAACCAAGAGTTCAAAGTGGTGAAGTTGAAATCATCCCTTTCAAAATTTTACAGACACCATCATGAGTTGGTTGACAATTATGGAATATCTGTTTCACAGATGAAGACGGACATGTTCCAATTGCAATAACCACAATCCCGTCCTCTTGTCCCCGAATGTGACCTACCGAATTGTTTGTACTAACATGAGCAACATGACTTGTATTAACATGAGCAACATGACAATGCTACCTGTGGAGCAGGATCTGCTTATCTCTCCGCAGCACCTGAGATCAGCCCCGGTTTTTGGTGGGGTTCGTATTGCTCAGTCTTTAGTTTTCTATGTTGTGTTTTGTATACTGTGTTTGTCTTTTGGTCTTTATCGTTTCTGCCATGGCATTGTCAGTTTATTTTTTACTTAAGAATTTAAGTGTCCCTTTAATGTCTTTTGCCTCTCATTTTAGGTGTTCAGGTCAAACCAAAGAAATTCAAAAAGTTAAAATCTCGAAAAAACTGGCTTGATTTTTAAGATGAATATATATTTATAAAAAAAATTATATTCTGTATTGTAATAAAAACAAACTGTAAGAAATATAAGTATTAACGGGAGATTAAGATATAAGAACAATGTTTTCCCATCAACCAAACCTCCTTCCCCTTATTGTCCTATGATTTCTATTTACCTAGCTTCAATATTCTTTACAACTCTTCTGTAATTCTGATGACGATTCAATCTTCTTTTAAATTCATAAAACAGAAATCTTAACTGCATACAGATAACTAAACTAGCCATACTCAGGAAAATGTTACCCCATAACTGAAAATTGAAAATAAAATAGATTGTGCTTGAATTTTATACAAATAGCACATTACACATAATATATGAAAGTATAAACAAACTGTACATAGACTTAAAATAATACGTATATTTATAATAAAACTGAAATTACATGTTAAACTCCTGTTACAAATAAACTTATCATAGATACCTGGATTAAAATTGCAGATACTGCTTACGTTCTTATCTTGAAAATTTAGGCTGTGCAGTTTTTATAAGGCTTTCAAACAGAAATTCAATTCTTAATTTGGGGTATTATGGTGTGCAGACTGACTGGAGGTTGTTTGTTTAAGTGGCTGCTCAAGCTGTTGCCATGCAATAAGAACTGTTCAAACAATGACCAGTTTTTAAAGATGGAAAAGAGTGCACACGCTGAAATGTCTTGCCTGCTTTACTTATGATTGGATTTATGTTGAAAGTCTAAAATATGAAGGTTTTACTACAAGTATCACATAAACTTAACATTGATGATCCATGAAAAAGAGGTCAAGGTCAGATGAACCATGCCAGACAGTGTTCCAGCTAGGATTTCAAAAGGGCAGGGAGCCAATCATGAAAAGGGCACTTTAGCACGATGATTGATATTTCAAAAAGGGCATGTCAAACATTGTCTTATGTTAACTGCAGGGGTTTCAGCTAGGAGTTTTGAGGGGGTTTAGTCACTTTTACGCTAGATGAAAATCAACCTTATTTTGGGTAACAGTATTAAAAGGACCATGCAAGGACGTATATTACTAGCTCAGTCTTCCCTAGAACATTTTTGATGCATGGTAGGTCTAAGGTTAAGTTGCAATGCAGAGAGCAGCAGCGTTTTGTAGAATTATTTTTATTTCATTAGTGAAATGAATTGTGCATGTCAGTTAAAATACTACACTAGATCTGCAATACAGTCAGGAACAATACCTTACATATTCTCCAGGGGCCAACCTGGATCCCAAAACTTTTTTCCAAGGACCCAGTAGAAATTTTAAGGCCCTACCAGGGTATTTTTACTACAGGTACATACTTATTAATAGTCTTGAATGTTCTTATAAAGGCAATAATATATGTTTGAAATGCCTTGTACATGTAGCCCAGTGTTTCTGATTATGATAGAAATAATAAATGAATAAAAATAAACCACATTGAGTTTTTCAGAATTAAAATCCATTTAACCATGTCTTTTCAGACTGTTAAACTTATATTTGTAATATTATATATAAATAAAATGCTCCGCTGGGGCGCAGCTTGATACGACCGCAGAGGTCAAACCCTGAACAGTTGGGGCAAGTATGGACACAACATTCAAGCTTGATACAGCACTGAATTTGGATTGTAATTAAATATTTGACACAGCATAGGTTTCTGACACAGAATGAAAGTGGTCTAAGAACTTATAATTTTTTAATTTACCTATTCATACATGTGATGGACTGTGAAACTCAGATCAGGAGATTGGGAAATTTTGGTCAGGAGATTAGGACTCAGATCAGGAGGTTTTTAATCGACATAAATTTTGTCGTAAATGTAACCGTGTGCTGTAAAAATGGTCTTTTAAAGTGTGTTTTCTTCAACTTTCCATCCAATTTATTATGTTTATAGTACCCTTGTACTTATAAAGTTTCTCCATCTTTATATTTTACATGTTCAATCTAACATTTTTTTTTTTCAGTATGTTCTTTAAATTTTTTACTTCATATTCTATAAAACATTTATTGCAACCAGAACATTTGTTTAACTATCTGCAAATAGCTTTTGTTTGCATACTCAGAAAATCATTCTAACTGTAAATCAAGGGTCATAGTTATTATATAAATTTCAATTTAAGCCTTGAAAGGAAGTATAGAATCCTCAAATAATTTTCAAATTATTATTTTTTTATTTGTCCTAAGACATTTAAAATCATTTATTTACCATCCTTTTATGATTATTTGTTCAATTTATATTTTATTTATATTCTTTTAAAAATTTTCATTATTAAAAGGAAAGTAACTTAAAACAGGATAAATCAAGGGAAGTAACCCAATAAATACACAGTTTTTGTTACACAACGGCAGTTAGCCTGAGGTAAAAAATCATTGATTACCAGTATGTTTGACACCCAAGCTGACAATTGAAGCCATATAATTATGCATGTTAATTGATTTACAGGTAAAATATAACTTCAGGTAATGTGAGTTACACCAGATGCCTGAGATGATATGTTGGGCAGAAATTTTTCATTCATGAAAAATTTCATACACGGGATTATAATTTTCCTCTTCAACCGGAGGTCAGGAGGAGACTCCTGAAAACAGGATTATTGTACACCTGTCGGGAGGTTCACATGTATGCTATTCAAACCATATCATTATTATTTGCTTTTATATATAAATCAGAAATAACCAATTTAAAATGGAAAATTTTAAAGAAAAAAAAGGAAAAAAAAATCCCCCCCCCAAATTTTTTGAACCCCCTTATGATTCATCGCCCCCACACTCAATCCCAGCTTTCCCTTTGTGGTATGGTACCTTGCAGTACAATTTTAGAGAGATCCATTCACTTGAACACAAGTTATTGTCTGGAAACTAGAAAAATGCTTGTTTTTTTGTCCCTTTTTGGCCCCTAATTCCTAAACGTTTAGGGCAATTACCCCCAAACTCCAACCCAGCTTTCCCTTTGTGATATGGAACCTTGCAGTACAATTTCATAAAGATCCATACACTTACAAACAAGTTATTGTCCTGAAACTAGAAAAATGCTTGTTTTTTGCCCCTTTTTGGCCCCTAATTCCCAAAATTTGGAGGAAATTACCCCCAAAAATCAATCCCAGTATTCCCTTTGTGATATGGAACCTTGTGATACAATGTCAGAGAGATCCATACACTTACACACAAGTTATTGTCATGAAACTAGAAAAATGCTTGTTTTTTGCCCCTTTTTGGCCCCTAATTCCTAAAATTTGGAGGCAATTACCCCCAAAATCAATCCCAGCATTCCCTTTGTGATATGGAACCTTGTGGTACAATGTCAGAGAGATCCATATACTTACACACAAGTTATGTCTGGAAGTTACAAAATTGCTTATTTTTGGCCCCTTTTTGGCCCCTAATTCCTTAACTGTTAGTACCATAACCCCCAAAATCAATCCCCACCTTCCTTTTGTCGTATTGAACCTTATGGTAAAATTTCATTGAGATCCATTCACTTAAACTAAAGTTAGAGTGCGAAAACTAATGTGTATTCGGACGACGACGACGACGACGACGACGACACCAACGTCATACCAATATACAACCACAAAAATTTTTTTGCGGTCGTATAAAAATATATAAAACCCCCCCTCCCCCCTCCCTTTTCCATTTTACACACCCCTAGATGTAGAGTATTAAAGTATTATCAGTTTCACCCCAAGAAAGTATTCATTTTTAATGAAAAAGACTTAGCAGTTAATCAAAATGAAAATCTTACTGTCTATAAATAACAATGAAATGTAACTGTTTCTTGTTAAAGGGGTTTTCCGATATAGATATTCAATGAAAGGTACAGTCAAGCATTGTTTTTACTTTCTTCTGGATTAAAACTAGTTTAAAAGATCAATTTAAAAAAAAACCTTTGACATAACAACAGACGATCTACGGATACATCAAAAGCAAATTGTCATCTTTTGAGAAATATTGAAATTTTAATGCTGACTGACCGAATTTAATGAGAAAAATTATTACAATGGTCAATTATGAAGTTTAATTAACGGATTAATGACCCATCCGATGTCGATAAGTGGTTTATCTGTAATCACAACTTATTACACCTGGCCTGCTGTAAATGTTAATTAGCTGAGGGTCATAAACTTGTCATAAATATGAAGACAGGTAGAATTAAAAACCAATTGTTCAGAGAACAATTGAAGGTCTTTCCACCAGTAAGGATCTATTTTGATATGAAATATTAAAATTTGGTTTTAAATGTCATTTCCAGAGTCAAATGACAGCTTATTGTACGCTGATTCCAAAAATATATGGTTTCTATACAAAAAGATATAAATAAGGGAGATAATTTTTTTACTTCCGGTTTGAAAAATGTCACTTCTGGTATTGTTTGATAGTTTACTTGACACTGATTCCAAAAATATATTGGTCTATATACTTTTACATTAATTAAATACAAAAAATAGCTACTTCCGGTTTACAAAAGGTCACTTCCGGTTGACTTTTTCAAGTTCAAATGTCTTGCAACCTAATGCAAAAACGTCCCATGGCTTTATCATGTATACTTATGAGGTAAAAGCAAAGGTCAAAATCTAGAACGTTAAATTTACCTATGACCTTGAGCTCAATTTCAAGATCATAAACCAAGGACCTTAAATCAAAAGACCCTAGATCTTAATTATATATGATAAATGAGTTATATCACCATACGTGTAATTTTAAATATAATAGGGGAGAAAACTCCCATTAAATGTCTCCGTACGCTTTCAACTCAAATTTACCTGTTACGACATGTCGCAACTAACAATTCTGTAAAATATTTTGTCGATATCTTATAAGATTTCTGAAAATTAGTGATAACAAGCCAAAATCAAAATTTTTAACATGACCTTGACCTTTGACCTTGACCTCATTTTCATTTATATTGACCAAGGACCTCAAATAAAAAGGCCCTAGGCATCTATCACTTATGGTTTACCAGTTAAAAATACATTTCATTTATATCAAATACAAAAGGGGAAATAACTCTCATATGGAGTCTTCGTAAAGCTTCGGTCTATATAAAACCTAACATCCTGAGGATATAACGAGCAATTTGGAAAAATTAATTTGTCGCTTTCTTTTACGGTTGCGGAGGAGATTTCATAACAAGAAAAACAGTGTTTGGGGAGATAACTCTTACAAAGAAAAGTGTTCGGTTAAACAGGGTCAGTTTCAAAAGCGTATAGACTGTAAGATATCATATACCAAAAAACTAAGCGACAACTTTTGAAACAAAAATACACCGCAAGAAAAAAATTAGGCGGAAGAAAAAAAAAAAAAAAATAGAACGTCAAATTAAACTTTGACCTTGACCCCAATTTAAAGGTCATGAAACAAGGGCCTCAAATCAAAAGACCCTAGGTCTCAATTATATAAGATGAATGAGTTATATCACCTTACATGTAATTTTGAATATAAAAGGGGAGAAAACTCCCATTAAATGTCTCCGTACCCTTTCAACTCAAATTTACGTGTTACGACATGTCGCAACTAACAATTCTGTAAAAAAAATTGTCGATATCTTATAAGATTTCTGAAAATTAGTGATGACAAGCCAAAATCAAAATTTTTAACATGACCTTGATCTTTGACCTTGACCTCATTTTCATTTTTATGGACCAAGGACCTCAAATCAAAAGACCCTAGGCCTCTATCACTAATGGTTTTCCAGTTACAAATACATTTCACATATATCAAATACAAAAGGGGAAATAACTCTCATATGGAGTCTTCGTAAAGCTTCGGTCTAAATAAAACCTAACATCCTGAGGATATAACGAGCAATTTGGAAAAATTAATTTGTCGCTTTCTTTTACGGTTGCGGAGGAGATCTCATAACAAGAAAAACAGTGTTTGGAGAGATAACTCTTACAAAGAAAAATGTTCGGTTAAACAGGGTCAGTTTCAAAAGCGTATAGACTGTATGATATCATATACCAAAAAACTAAGCGACAACTTTTGAAACAAAAATACACCGCAAGAAAAAATTAGGCGGAAGAAAAAAAAAAAATAGAACGTCAAATTAAACTTTGACCTTGACCCCAATTTAAAGGTCATGAAACAAGGGCCTCAAATCAAAAGACCCTAGGTCTCAATTATATAAGATGAATAAGTTATATCACCATACATGTAATTTTGAATATAAAAGGGGAGAAAATTCCCATTTAATGTCTCCGTACCCTTTCAACTCAAATTTACGTGTTACAACATGTCGCAACTAACAATTCTGTAAAAAAATTTGTCGATATCTTATAAGATTTCTGAAAATTAGTGATAACAAGCCAAAATCAAAATTTTTAACATGACCTTGACCTTTGACCTTGACCTCATTTTCATTTTTATGAACCAAGGACCTCATATCAAAAGACCCTAGGCCTCTATCACTTATGGTTTTCCAGTTACAAATACATTTCACATATATCAAATACAAACGGGGAATTAACTCTCATATGGAGTCTTCGTAAAGCTTCGGTCTAAATAAAACCTAACATCCTGAGGATATAACGAGCAATTTGGAAAAATTAATTTGTCGCTTTCTTTTACGGTTGCGGAGGAGATCTCATAACAAGAAAAACAGTGTTTGGGGAGATAACTCTTACAAAGAAAAGTGTTCGGTTAAACAGGGTCAGTTTCAAAAGCGTATAGACTGTATGATATCATATACCAAAAAACTAAGCGACATCTTTTGAAACAAAAATACACCGCAAGAAAAAAATTAGGCGGAAGAAAAAAAAAATAATCAGAAGAAAACCAATAGGTCTTTCCACGGAAAGGTGGAAAGACCTAATAATTGTATTTTCATCAAAATATTACAGCAATAAAGCATGGACTTACGAAAAAGGGCACAGGGCGTCAGTAAAAGGGCGGGCGGACCACCCTGTGAAAACGACCTAGCTGGAACACTGCCAGATAGACATGTACACATTGCAATCATTCCATACACCTAATATAGTGGTCATATTGCTAATAGATCCTGAGAAATAGACAAAACCATAAAAAACTTAACATAGACCAAAAGAACCATGAAAATGAGGTCAAGGTCATATACCCATCCACACATGTACACCTTTCAATCTTTCCATACACCAAATATAATTGACTTATTGTTTGTAGTGACTGATAAACTGACAAAACCACGAAAACTAGATATTGACCAATGAACCATAAAAATAATGTCACGGTCATATGAAATATGCCAGACAGACATGTAAACCTAACAACTATTGGTTTTTCAAGAAGAAATTTAAAGTTCCCATTGAATTAACTCCACAGAGAACAATAGCTATTGTATTTATTCAATAGGACAGTACACTTTGCAAAAATTTAAATGGACAGGTAATCTCCAACTGATTTTGGGGAAAGGTATGATAGCCTTGGGAATAATAGTAATAGCAACGTTGAATCATTTACTTTGTCCCAAATGAAACTGTACACTCTCTTTAAAAATCAAAATCAGACACCTAAATAAATTCAATACTGATACTTTTAACTGGCTCATTAAAATAGAAAACTTACAAGCATATGAAGATGATGGCCAAAGTCTATTGATATGGCTGATAGCTCAAATATTAATTCTGTGTAGTAAATATATATAGATCTATTTTCCCATACTCCATCAACATTCATCTCATACAGGTGAATCACATATCTAAAATTAGAAAAACAGGGAAGTTGCACATGATTTTGAAATTAATTTGCATGTCATTTTTACATATACTTTATAATATGCATGGTGTGTCCCATCAACCTAAGAAAGTGATTTTTAAAACAAAAAATAAACATTTGTTTTGTTACTGAACTAGCAAACTTCAGTTCAGAAACGTTTTAAATTATTCATAAATGTGAAATTTGAACATATCATGAAAATGTACTTCCATTCAAATGTCATATTTCAGACTGCAACCTATAAATTATGCATATATATGACTTTAGTATAATTTTGTGTTACTTTTTTTCATCTGAATTTCCATGATTACATGCACTACTCATTTTTTTTTTCTAGATTGTAATTAATGTATATTTTGCTCTAACATTAAATTAACTACGCGAAATAAATTTATACAGAAGAATACATAAAGAACTGTTGAACCAACGCCTCCCAAGTTTTGTGCTGGAAGAGATCCTTTAAGCTAAATGATGATACTGTGGATTCATTTGATTGCATAAAAACAGTTTTTTTTGTAGATACTTCATTCCAATGTTTTGCCATACATACATGTACAATCCAATAGGAAGTTTGTACTATGTTGAACACAAGATCGTGGTTTAGGTTTACCCATGTAATCCAGGAAAATCGGTACTCCAAGAATAATAATAAATCAACAGTACATCAAATTAAGACATAGCTAAAGAAACCATGAATGTAATCATTATTACCTTCCTAAGACATGCAGACATCTAATTGCTAGGATAAGGCACTACAAATAGAGAAAGATATATTTAATTTACACAGCATATATAATCATATAATGCAGTGTATTAGCAATGAAAGTCAATATTTTGAATTGGAAATATCTTTTTTTGTCCATAATTGTAGTTCGTTCAAATTATCTGAGTATATATTTCATTTGAAAAATTGTTTGATACATGGAAAAATGTGAAGAATGTTTACAATAATGTACTATGTTTTTGTTCTCTCAAAAGGAATCATGAGGTTTGAAAAATATAGCTATTAATCCAGTCTCATAAGGTCATAATTGGCAACTCTAGATCACCTTCAATTGTTTATTTCTACTTTATTTATATTCTGCATAATTCTAACAGTAAATGACGATCAGACATTTACAGCAACTTAAGTTGTATTGTCCCTTTGACACACAATAAACAAACAAAAGCTTATCTTGTCTCCTTTTAGTTAATGATGCCATCTACACACTTAATAATTCAGACCTTCATACTTTACCTCTGCAGCCATAAAAGCAAAGATTGTGATTCCTGCATGTAATCCAATGTAGGTGCAGGCACATAACAATACCATACAACTAAATAGTATAAATCCTAATAAACTCAGCAGCTTCATGTGCATCAATCGTGGTGTTGTTGGAGAAAATGACAACTGAAATTGACATATGTAATTAAAATGAAATTAGTAAAACAGTCAATTCAGAAATTTTTGCATGCATTTATTATTGCAGTCGTTGAACAGGGACACAAATGCAAGATTAATTATTGCAATTTCAGGAAATGCTTATAAATAATGCTATCTAAATGTTTATTTTTCAACACAAAAATTTTTGCAATAATAAAAAATAAAAATATTGAAAAACTTCTGAATTTGCTATATAGTCTGATATTGCCCTATTCAAAATGTACTAATAATTTCATAGGTGTTTTTTAAGAGGCATTCCTTTGAAAAGAACATGATCATGTAATAAATATGAGGTCATATGGTAACATGAAAATAAAATATACCCCATTTAAAAAAAAATCAAATTAAAGGAATTTAAATTAGTAATGGTGCACAAGTCTTGAACAACAAAATTCAGTAAGATGTTACTTGCACTAATTTTTTTGTGAATATCTAACAGTATTGAAGCTTATCATCAGAACACAACAGTGGTGGCCTTCAAATCATCAATTTTGTCTACTGTGGATTCATTTATTTTCGTGGGTATCAATTTTCGTGGATTAATGAAAACTTGCATATTCGTGGATATTTGATTTCGTGGTTTTGTCAATTTCTGTATGCAAAGCCTATTGAAAATATGTTATTCGTTGAACATTTGAATTCGTGGATCATCTGTACCCACGAAACCCATGAAAATTGGTATCCAACGAATAATAATGAATCTACAGTATTTTGTATTTTTTAATCAAATCATGAGTGAAAATTAGTTGGTTTACATGTTACATTAATATGTGTATAACATGAATCAGCTATGATATATCTCGCCTCTATGTAGAAATGATCTTTAGGGCTATTCCATTAAAATGTATGTGGGAGGGTAGGAAGGGACTTTCAAAATATCCCTACAACCAAGAACCATTTTTTAGATAATTTTGCATAATGGTAATAGACACATACTGAAAAGAGACCCAAGACCCATGACCCACATTCAAAATTAAACTTCCCTTCCTACCCTCTCACATATATTTTAATGGAATAGCCCTTATTAAACTTACATATTCAAACCTGTCTTTAGACAGCTGAGTCAAGAGATGGAAGAACCCAAGAAAGCTGAACCAAGCAACCCATACAAAGACTTCCTCCATTGTCTGGACATTCATCACTCCAAAGATGAAAATGAACTTGTAAAACAAAAAGTTCCAAAACTTATCCTTCAGATGCTAAAAGAAAGAAATAATATTTATTAATTCCTTGGACTTTTTAAAACAAAAAAAAAGAAACTTCATAGTATAGACCTCCAAAATTCTTTTAAAATCTTTAAAAAATTACAAATACAGAAGAGAGAACAGCAAAAAAAAATAGGTCACTAAAACCTGATTATCTACGTGTATGTTTGGTTAAGCACAGTTACAGTTTTAATTTCTTTTTAAGGATTCATTTTTTCATTTTAAGTTTATGAAATCATGATTTTAAGACTTCGGACTTGAAAAATCGGAAAATATGCACTATGTTAGATAAAATATAAAATTCATTAAAGTATGAACCTCAAAGATTTTTTAATTGTACAATATATAAGGAAATGTAAATGTGATTTATGCATGTAATTCTTCAACATTTATTTAAAACACAGACATGACCGATCATTTTGTTTGTGTTGAACTATTTAATAGTAAAAAAGATTTACTGTTAAGAAACTTTAACTGTGTAATCCTTATCAATCAGTCAAAATACACAAAACAGTATATGAACATTACCTGTTTTTCTACAACTCTCAACTCTCCAAATACAGCTTTTTGAATCAACTTGGCAAGAAGAATTAGACAGCAATATGCTGTGTTTACAACAGTCTGTAAAATAAATACATCTAACTTAAAAAATGTTAAAATAAATTGAAACATCAGAACATTAACACATACATGTACACAGTCATATGACAGTAAGAATAGTTATATAAGAAATAATCATGCAATATGTCTTAAGATCTTTTATTGTTTAAAATACAATATGGATTTTGCTCATTGTTGAAGGCTGTACAGTGACCCATAATCATGATAATGATCATATCTTTGTCCTTTGGTCTTTATGGATAGTCGTCTTATTGAAAATCATTTTTTTATATGTAACAAATGGAAAAAAATTTAAAAGGTTACTGAACCACAGTGCTGGGAATGCTGAAATTTGAAATTCACTAATTTTGTTGCTTATTTTGTTTTTTTACAATAATATGATCAAACAGTTTAAGTACATGGTCTACAGTCGACTGTTTTTTAATGTCATTATGTTATAATTAATATTGATGTGGCTTGAACAATTGGGGCTGCTTTATCCTTGAAGTGCCCTTTTCAAATCTGAATATTTATATTGCATAGCTTAAAAAGAAATCACAATCCCGTCCTATTCTCCTTGAATGTGACCTACCAAATAAGACTTATCAACAAGTTTGTACTAACATGAGCAACACAAGAGGTGCCACATGTGGAACAGGATCTGCTTACCTTTCTTGAGTACCTGAGATCACCCCTGGTTTTGTTTGGGTTCATGTTGCTCGGTATCTAGTTTTCTATGCTGTGTTTTCTATACTGTTATTTGATCTTTTTCACTTTTTTGCCATGGCATTGTCAGTTTGTTTTTGACTTATGATTATCCCTTTGGTATCTTTCGCTCTCTTTTACAAATAGTGGATAATCTTTTCTTTAACGAAAATCCAAAGGTTTAAAGACTAAGTTTTAATTCTTGAAATTGAAATCAGTTTTATACAATTTATTACATTCAACTGTAACTCAATGTAGAAACAAGATTTCAATACAGCAAAACTGAAAGCAAACATTTTTGCCTGTGTGACTGCAACTGAAGTCGTGGTCTTGACCATGAACTTTCCCCTTTTGGAGAAATGAGATATGCCAATACTAATACAACCGCATACCAAATATCAAGGACCATCCACTAGTAATTACTCATAAATTGACCTAATCACAAATTAATACATTGTTGATGCCCCAAATTTTGGTTTTCATGAGATACAGTTGCCGTATTATACAACTGTTCATCTATGAACAAAAAGAACGTGGTTTTGGTTGATTCTGTCACAAATTTTGATAAATTAAGTTAGCCATTTCTACAAATGATTTGTTGCCAAAGGTTTTTGAAGAAATCCTCACAAAAACACTATAGCTGGAACCATTCTATATATGTATGTGGTCGGTCAGGAAATCATGAACTCATGTTTGAGATTGGCCTTATCAATGTTCAAGTCCTTCTTCTTCTTCTTCTTCTTCCAGGTAAGGAACCGGATTCAAAACTGAATGTTATTGGTTCCACGCGAAAACTTTATAGAGTGTCGGGCAACACAGAAAGTTCTCTCTTGGCTATTTACAAATTACATTAAAAACGTTCGCAATATTATACAATTTAAATTATGTACAACTGGTGTTTCCTACTTCCTTTCAGAGCATGCCTTAAGGGCAGCTCTGAATCCCTCAAAGGTGTTGGCCGATGAAACTGATGTTGGTAAGTTGTTCCAATCCCTGATGGTCCTCTGGAAGAAAGATTGGCCGTAGGCGTCTGTACTTGTTCTTTCTTGGTAGAAGCCGTTTTTACCTCTGGTCCGGTTATCATTTGGGATTAAATATTGGTGACGGTCTATGTCTATAAGATCATACTGGATCATGAATAGCATGCATAGTCTGTTTGTTTTCCTCCGTTCTTCTAAGCTTTCCCATTTTAGATTTTTGACCATATTTGTGACACAGCCAGGTGTTAGGTCTGTGTAGTTGTTATTCACAAATCGTGCTGCTCTTTTCTGTACCTGTTCAATTGCCTTGATTTTATTTTGGGTTGTTGGGGGCCATACTGTGCATGCATATTCCACTGCAGGTCTTACCATGGATACATATGCAGCTGCCTTTACAGGTTTTGTACAGCCGTTGAGATTTCTACATATAAATCCCAACGTTCTGTTACCTTTGCCTACTGTATTGTCTATGTGTTTGTCCCAGTTTAGGTTCAACCTTTCCTAGACGTTTTCATTTTTACGTGCCTACCATGAACGTACATGTCAAAAGCTCCTTAGAGCTTGTGTTGTGTCTTTTAACTTATGCCGAATCAAAATAAAGTTTTCTTATCTTATTCTTATCTTATGTAACACCCCACTCCAACATTGAAATACAACAATGTTAACTGGTTCTAACGTCACTATTTCTGACTAGAAATACGTTTGAAGTAAAGGTACAAATTATAACACAAAAAAACAGTGTTCAATAATTTGACAAACTGCCAAATGTTGATGGAAGCTCCTCAATGACCCTTTTTGACTAGATGAAACAGTCTGACAATCAGACTGGCTAAAACATGAAATAGGCAGACTTGGTGAAATTTTGGTGGTCAGGACAGACAGTTTTTGTGAATTATGCAAATATTCCATACCAACAATTTCACTTGGGATCAAATATACTCACTGTGTTATATTGGCAGATTTGTCTTATAAGCCTACTTGGCTGTACTATTCTCTTATGTGTACCTACCCAAATGCACCATATTTCTGAAGTTAGTACATAAACTACATTCCACCAAAAACTATCATAAGGTAGCTGAATGTCAAATTCACTTGATATTGGTTCCTTTACTATATCTGGATCATTAAATATTTCACTGCTTTCTTTTGAACCACCGATGTTAACATTATGTTCGATTTCGGCTCCGTTTAGTTCAGAATGAGTGTTTGTTTGAAAAGCAAGAACACATTGATAGGCATAAAATACAGCACATGACAACAATAAGACAGAAAGACTAGTGTATGTACGAAGACTAGGCAACGGTATCCGTTCTAGAAGTATCACCGGCATTTTGGTTTATTTGTGTTTATAGGAAAAGATATCAAACCATTCTAGTGTGTCACCTGTCAAATTATTGCGTCAAATTCGACTTGGAATTTTGTTTGTTTTGGCGGTGTTGTAACCTTTTCTGTTATCAACCATGTCAAAAATAGAGACTTTTCATTAACTAATTTAACAAATGAATAAAGAAAAATAAAAGTTAGTAGAGAAAATACACTTTATTCGAAAAAAAAAATCCACAAAAATAATAGAATATAAATTATAAGAAATCGAGCGCACCTGATATATGGATTTACACAGTTTCGTATATACTCACACCCTCAATTTCAAACAAAATACATTGTAAAGCTCTCAAATCAGTTATTTGACCTTTCACATTTAAAGTTTTGAAGTTTTAATCAACAGATTTTTACATGCGAAACTATATTTTCCGACTGTCAAAAAGCTGTGATTACGCAACGTCTTGTTTTGACTGTTAACCGGCTAAACGACTGAAGCAGTTGTCAGCTTTGTAGATTGATTCACATAGAATGAGGGCTTTAATAGGTGATGCATTACTCTTGAGAATAAAGGAGGTGGTAAATATATGTCAATGAGACATCAAAAGAACAGCAAAAATTACCAAATGACATTTAGAGGACAATTATCTGATTATATATGTTACATGAGGGTAGTAGTAATGCCCTTTACTGTCAGGCGTCAAACGGTCATTTTCGGCTACCGTAAGCGTCTAATTTGTTAGTTTTATCGTGATTCGTCAAAATATCCTTATTATGATTTGTCAGAGATCTCAAATAATTATCGTTACCGTTATTTTTTAAAACAATTTAAAGTGATTCGTCAAAATCAGTCAATTTTTTATTGTCTAAAAGAAAGTGTACGTTTTATCGTCATGCACCAAAAATTACCGTTAACCTAATCGGCAAGAATTTTTACCGTTATTCGTCATGAAAGTACTCCCATTGGGACCCTCTTACATCAGAGTCAATTAGAAATTATACCCAAGATAAACAAATAGAAAATTATGCAAATATCATGCTGGTAAACGCATTCTAAGCATTCCCTAACAAGATTACTACAAACTGCACAGTTGCTGACAACGTTAACAATCTATATGAACAAAATGTACATTTGTGTTCATATATTCTCAGGTTGTTATTTTAGAAAATCTCTATTAAACATTTATTGATCAGAGTTTCCCATAATATTTTATTGTCTGACATCAAGGTGTCAGACAATTGGAATCAGTTTGAGGACTTCCATTTCAATTGATGTAGGCGTTGCAATGTGTGTAATATGAATTTTACCATTTTAAAGTTTAATTTTAAATTTAATCAACTGTATCCAAGATTACCTCCATTGACCTCTGTTTTATGTCGCATTTTCAACTTTTCACAGAATTTTCACTCATCTAATAATATTTTTTCAGTTGTTTTTCAGGACACATAATATTTTAGTAACCTTTGAAACAATGTCTGTTGTTCTGTTAAATATTTTTAATAATTTCTCTTATCCTTTTGTGTATGTGGTGGAATTATAGATTATTGCATGGCATTTTCCAATTTGGTCCTAGTATCAGCCAGAGACTCCCATGTCAAGCCAGAAGGCTAATCTAGGTCAAGGGCTGATACCAGGGCCAATATGGAACATGCCATGTAATGATCTATTTATCACATATTTTCATTATTGTTTTTGATTGACATGATTGACAGGTTTACCAGAACTTAAATTCGGGGGCTTAGTATGGATATTTGAGGGCAAATATCAATATTGGCCCCGAGGACAAATAATTGACTGAGACTTCCGGCTATTATTGAACATTAAAAAACGTACATATTAGTACAAAACATTTGATAATTTTTATTATTAAAGTCAAAACTTTTAAACTAGTATGCCCAATAACTAGGTTTTTGATTTTTTGTCTAGCCTGCGACTTCTGTCGCAGAAAGCTCGACATATGGATAGTGATCTGGTGGCAGTGTTAACTAAACTTCTTAAAAGCTTAATATTTCAGAAGGTAGAAAGAAGACCTGGATGCTTCATACTTTGTATATAGATGCCTTATGATATGAAGTTTCCTTCTGTCATATGTCCATTGTCCTTGACCTCATTTTCATGGTTCAGTGACTACTTGAAAAAAAGGTTATGATCTTTTGGTTATTTTTGTGGCTGGGTCGTATGTCTCATAGACATGTAATCTGCATCTCCTTTTATTCATAGTATTATTCATCCTTGATTTTCATATGATGAAAACATAATCTTTCAATCAGTTTATTTGAGGTCTGGAGCTGGCATGTCAGTAACTGCTAGTAGTCCTTTGTTAATTTATGTATCATTGTCATTTTGCTTAGTTTCTTTTGTTACCTATTCTGACATCGGACTCAGACTTCTTTTAAACTGAGTTTTACTGTGCATATTGCTATGTGTTTCTTTATTCTACATTGGCTAGAGGTATGGGGGGAGGGTTGAGATCTCACAAAACATGTTTAACCCCGCCACATTTTGCGCCTGTCCCAAGTCAGGAGCCTCTGGCCTTTGTAAGTCTTGGATGTTTTTTGTCGAGCCTGCAACTTTTGTCGCAAAAGCGAGACATAGCGATTCTACATTCCGTCAGCGTCATCGTCGTCCACAAATATTCACTCTGTGGTTAAAGTTTTTGAAATTTAATAATTTTCTTAAACTATCCTGCATTTCAACCAAACTTGGACAGAAGCTTGTTTATGATCATAAGATAGTATCCAGAAGTAGATTTTGTAAAAAAAAAAATCCTGTTTATCCGTATTTTACTCATAAATGGACTTAGTTTTCTCCTATTGAAGGTCGGTGGTTTTCTCCGGGCACTCAGGCTTCCTCCACCAATAAAAACTTTCCGCCACGAAATAGCCCAAAAGCGGTGCTTAAAAGTAGCGTTAAAACACAATAAAAAAAAAATAAATCAAATCTTATTTTCAAAATGTTTATGGTACCCATTTTACCACAAATGTTCACTACAAAAAGATATCAATGCATCACACAAAGACAAGAACATGACAAAGATTTTAAATGCCTCCTAAGGCGAAATTGCGAACATAACCAATGTGAATATAATCCAACCATGACAACATAAACTTTCTTTAAACAAAATATATGTTTATTTTAGGTGGAGGAACTGGTTTTGTAGGCCGTCATTTAACAAAAGCTTTACAAGAAAATGGTTATAAAGTAACAAAAGTTTCCAGAAAGACAGGACCAGACACAATTACCTGGGTAAAGAATAAGCTTTATTAGTTTGTGGTTAATTTAAAGATCCAAAGATGTGGTATGATTGCCAATGAGACAACTCTCCACCAGAGACCAAATGACGTAGATATATATATAATCATAGATGTTCTGTGAAAAGTTCCAAATTTTAATTAATTGTTGTACATATATATTGAATTCTTCATGCTCCATAAGCAAAATTAGTTTGTTTGATTGGGTTTGATATAAAAATTAAGAGATGAGGTATGATTGAATGAGAGAACAATCCACCATTAAGCAATGAGTAAAACCCAAACCATGTAGTAAGCTATATAATACACCTTTCCACTCTCCTATCAATCATCAGTAAATTCACCAATCACATGTGGTAAATGTAACACATGTATAAACATTTGATTGCAGCACATGTTGTCGGCCATAACCTCTGTCAAACATTCTTATCTAAACAGTTAATTTGATCTAACATTTCTTTAAATTTTCACAAATAAATGTCCAGAATTTAGTTTTTTTGGAATGCAATCAATGTAAGAGGGTAGCAGAAGGTCAAGTTGACAACTTGAAACAAAATAAAGACTTTTTTAATGAAAGACAGTTATAAATAAGTCAATTACGGTAAAAAGGAATAAGGGGCCAAAACAAGCATTTTTCTAGTTTCAGGACAATAACTTGTGTGTAAGTATTTTGATTGCTCTGAAATTGTACCACAAGGTTCAATACCACAAGTAGAAGGTTGGGATTCATTTTGGGGGTAATTGCCCAAATTGTTCCGGAATTAGGGGCCAAAAAGGGTCTAATTAGTTATCAAAGGTACCAGGATTATAATTTAATACGCCAGACGCACGTTTCGTCTACATAAGACTTATCAGTGACGCTCAGATCAAAAAGGGTCTAAAACAAGCATTTTTCTAGTTTTCAGACAATAACTTGTGTTTAAGTGTATGGATGTCTCTTAATTTGTACCACATTTTAGGGTGGGTAACATTTTTTATTTTTTTTGGGGGGGAGGGGCATTTTTTTTTCCTCAAAAGAAAATTCTCTTCAAATATTATTTTTTTTGGAGGGTGGTAAAAAAAAAAAATTTGGGGGGTAAAAGAAATTTTTTTTGGGGGGAGGGGGGGGGGGGGTCACAATTTATTTTGCTAATTCTTTGTATATAGTCTGAAAACAGATTTACTAAGTATTGCGCAACAGCACAGTGTATTGCACAACCGCAAGAAATCTTCAATTGAATATAAATTCAAATCATACAACCAATTTCAAGTTCTTTGACTACATTTATTCTGTGTCAGAAACCAATCTAATTAAAATTAAATCCTTTAATTATTGTGTCAGAAACCTATATTGTGTCAAATATTTAATTACAATCCAAACTCAGACCTGTATCAAGCTTGAATATTGTGTCCATTTTTGCCTCAACTGTTCAGGGTTGGACCTCTGCGGTCGTATCCAGCTGCGCTCAGCAAAGCAGTTTATTTTAATATTAAAAAAGGGTCAGTACAATGTGCAAAGATTCCTGTGAAGGACAAGAATTTTTAATAAAGACGAAGCACAATGGACAAATGATCAACTGATTTTCTTGTTTTCTTTGTATTTTACTTAGTGATAGGAATTTTCATTATCATTAAGTTATTTATGGATATAAAAGCAGACAATCTGTTGAAAGTTTTTTGATAAACAATGTAATAGGTACTGGAGCAATGATGCTTGTTTTACAAGTTGAGCATAATGGTGTGTTTGTCTACACAGTAAACACACTTATCAGAATTCTTTAGACATTCTTAATTAAACCTGTAATTTATCATAATAATTTATCATATTAATTATGTAATGAATTATTCTATATCTTGTTGTTAAACTATATTTCTGGGGAATGGGGGTAATTGAATAGCTTCAAATCTGCAACACTTTAATTGTTTCTTTTTATTCAGTATAAATTGACATAATTTCTTCAAAATTTCATACATTTATCTCTCATTTCCAACCTTTGGGAGTAATTATCTTATCATACTTTCACACAAAAGCAAAATATGTACAAACAATTGCTCTTTATTCATATTTGTTAAAAATTCCTTACTTTGTTATTATTCAATGTTAATAACCGCCATTTTGTTGATTAGCTTGACCTAGGATGCTGGGTTGCCATGTGTTGCTAAGGGAGGCGGGGCATACCAGTGAATAGTGGAAAGGTGTATTGACATTTGTACAGCCGTATAATTAACCGTAAATTTCAACATGAAGCTATAGAACATTTTACCACTGATCTTGTAATGGCACGAAATTTGATTTATAAATAACTTTGAAAAGAGCAATTGCTAAAACCACATATATAAAGTACTCTAGAAATAGCAAATTTTCTACAACTATTTCAATTGATACCAATAAAAATAAATGAATCCACGTTATTTTAATATTACGCGGTAGATATTGTATTTTTTAGAAAGATATAAATAAAAACGGAATACCAGATGATGTTACAGCTGTAGTGAATTTAGCTGGAGCTAATATACTCAATCCTCTCAAAAGGTAAGACATACACTTATCCTTTGCTACTGGAAAATAAGATATAACACTCTTAGAGTATTCTGAATCTTCAGAGAAGATAGTAATGTCTCTAGTTTCTCAAAAGTTAAAATGTTGAACATTTAAATCTGTTATGTATATGTAATTCCCACACTTTCAAACAAGTCTTCCAGCCCATTCCTCTACCTTTTTATGACATTTGAAAGAGGTAGGACATTTCCAAAGCTAAAGCCATAAAAAAATAACTAACTTCAATAAAGTATACACATTTTGGAGAAAAGGATGTCGCGAACCGCGATTTATTTTCTTTTCATCTTTTGAATGTGCTCCATATTTATTATTATGTAACTTAAGGATCCGTTCATTGTATTCATAACTCCGTTTATTGTCTATTATTTATGTAATTTAATGATCCGTTCATTGTATTCATAACTCCGTTAATTGTCTATTATTATGTAAGTTATTCACATGACATATCATCAATGGAGAAACAGAGTTGTATTGTGTATAAAAGAAATAGATTTGTAATTTGAAAGTTAGAGTAAAATAAATGTTATATAGTGATTCTGAGTTGTGTCTTAAATAATTCCAATGTTTGTGTTGACAAGGACTTACGCAACAAAGCATGAGTTGCTGAAGATGGTGCACTGATATTTTTTTGTGGCTACAATTGAAACAAATATATATTAATGAATCTTGAAACACAACTTTAAAACATCACATTTATCACAAATGATAAAAACAATACTGTTATGTGTAATAAGACAGGACAAGTATTCTCATATCTGTTTTCCCAAAGCGTCTCAAAATATCACATGAAGATCCACAAATATTATGAAGGAAATACTAAGATAGTTAAACATATTTTATTGTTCTAAAGGACAGATGGATCAGACACAAGTTTTTCAAATAAAGATATATGGCAAATTGTGTTGAATGTGTAGAAATGGATATCAAAACAACAATCTACTAATCAGTTCAACCATAATGTGAATGAAGAAATATTTTGGATAGAATCAAAGTCAACTACTGATAAGGATCCTGACTTGTATTTTGCACTTAGTTATTATTGTACATTGACTGCATATTTTTTATTTGATTGCGACTTTTACACGGCTTTTTGTATTTCTTCAGGTGGAATCAAGCTTATAAAGATGAAGTGGTCAATAGCAGAGTAGAAACAACAAAAACCTTAGCTAATGCAATAGTATCATCTAAGATCCCTCCTAAAGTATTTGCTACAATTTCTGGTGTTGGTAGGTATATATAGTGTTGTGTACATACAACTGATATTACTATATACATGTACTTATTTTGAAAATGTATAAAGGAGATCATGTGTGAAAGTCAACCAAACAATTACCCATCAATTCATGTATATTAAAACAACAACAAGAGATCACAGTAAATTCAGAAATTTTTGTGAGATTTTTGTTAATGCAAATAATGCAACTGGGTGAGTATTGCAATAATTAGAACTCACATTCTGATATATGATACATATATATGTATGAGGCTTTTCCGGAAATCGCAATAAATCTTCAAAAATTGCAATAATAAATGCACGCAATAATTTCTGAATTTACAGTACCACACAACCTCTTTTCATGTAACATTATAATAAGATATTGGACATTGTCACATAGTAATTAACATTGGAAATAGTTGTTTTAATACTTAGCCAAAATATTGTTTATTTAATGCTATTTTCAATCATTGATAAAATTATATTATCTGAGTTATCTCCACTTATGGCTAATTTATATTAAAAAAAAATGAATCAACCAAAACATAATCTGTATTTGTAAAACAGTTGTAATAATAAGATAAGACACATGATTTCTTCATTTGGATAAAAAGTCTTACAAGTGAATAACATCCCTCACAAACAACACTGAAAAGGCTCTATGCAATGGAAGATTGAACCCATGACATATAAATTTGAATGCAAGTAATAATGACACCAGTCTTAAATTGTATCATATAAATTTTAAATGTTTAGAAATATTTGAATTTGAATTTTTCAAAAATTAAAAGATAAATTTACAAATGAAAACTAGAACTTTGAGTGAGCTCACAAAAGGATTTCCCTGCCCTCAAATTTGATCATTTTCAGTTAAAAATGTTAGATGGGATCATGTTCCTTCCTGCACATTCTCAGGTAATGTTCTACAACTGTGTAAAGTTAAGCTGTTTAGGAGTTATGCTTACAAGGCACATGGACAGAGGGACTGAGTGATTCAGAGAGTTTGATAATAATGATTTTGATTTTATAGGTTAAGTTTTGATCAAATGATGCAGGCCCTTCTTTAAAAGCTATAATGAACAATTATCATTGTGAATATAACCAGTTACAAGTCAAAAACATGTGAATAAAGGTTTAGCAATATCAAAGCACAAAGTTTAATTTTATTATGTTCATTTGATTTACAGCAATATACAAACCAAATCCCACATTGGAATACACAGAGGATAGTGATGTAGAACCATACGATTTCCTGTCACAGTTAGTAGTAGACTGGGAACAGGCAGCCAAATTACCAGAATCTCATAGCTGTAGACAACTTACGGTTAGATCAGGTAATTTATACTTTGATAACTTAAAGTGACTAGGAACAGGAAGACATGTTACATAGCTGTAGACAAGTTACAGTGTTCTCCCCAGGATTTTTGGATAGCACCAGGGTAATGCCTGCTGACAGCTTGGTGAAATATTTCATACAATCAGTTGCGTCGCTTAGCTCTATTTCTAGTTACTGTAGTTCTTATGTCTCTTGTTTTGTTTTTATACTGTGGTACTGTATTATTTAGACATTGAGTCGGAAAATTATTGGTAAAAAAGAAGAAAATCAAAAAACAGTTTGTATACTTTAATATTTTTTTAAAATAAATAAATTATGATTCATATTCATCTGAATTTAAAGTAATTAAATTTTTTATAAAATCCAAAATCAATGAAAATAAAATATCATTCAAAAGAGAACAAAAATGTTCAATTTAAAAAACTTTCTAGTTTCTAGAAAGAAAGTTGTATGTGAAAGGATTCCTGTCATAAGAAGATATAAAATTAACAAGAATAATTGCAAATATTTTTTTATTATTTGAACCAGTTTCTATCTTAGATTTTAATAAAAAGAAATTTTTCATAAATTTTAGAACATTTTGCCATAGATTTCATGTAAATATTAACCTTTCTTGTCTTTGGTGATAATGAAACATATATACAGACTAAATACTGCACTGAAATCTAAATCTTTATTTGTCATGAACCATTTAAAAAGAATTCCTAAATCTATAAATTTATCTTTGGTCTAAAGATCTATAAGTAACCATATTCAATGTCAACAACTAAGTCTCCCTATTTTCCCGCCTAAATGACAGGAAGTAGATATAAATAGATTTAACATGTGCTTATGGATAAAATTGCAAGATTACTTCTGTTATTCATTAATTATGGCTATAGATATCCAGTTTGAAGGTACAGTCATGCATTTTATTTATAAAATAGAATAGATTGCAATTAATTGTAAATAAACTTGAATATTCTACGTGAACTAACTGGGTCATGTGATATGTACAGACAGATACTACAGTTTGAAACCCTACTATCATGCAATAACTATGTCATAATTAAAGATAATATTGGCCATGGTTTAATCAGAGACATATAATACTATAATATAAGAATTGAGAAATGTATAATTGTCAATTATACGAAATGAGCCACCTTTATGATGTACAAAAAATGTACCTATCGGGTCAAGACACTGTTTGTGTACAAAGTATTTGCCGACTTGTCACAGGTCAGTGCTTGGGTGGTGAGTGAAGCCATAAAATAGTTATCTGTGATCATAAAGTTATGAACTCTTAATTAAAACACAAAAGAATCATGTTACAAGTGTTAATTACATCTATTTAATCCAATCAACAAGGTTAACCTCATAAGGTAAATCGATCACGTGGTGAAAACAATCTGTGTTGAACTGGTTTGAACTGGTCAAATTTCACCTGGAATTTTATACCCCATGGAAAAGATTTAAGAAGTCGTTTAAAACTTTACCGATTTACGATTTTTTTACTGAAAATTTTAGCACCACGGAGAAAAAATATACATCGCGGTAAGAACGATACCACCACGGTAAAAAATTATACATCGCGGGCCCGCGGTCTTTTAAGGGCCTGGGGAGAACACTGAGTTACGGTTAAATCAGGTAATTTATACTTTGATAACTTAAATTGACTGGGAACAGGAAGACACATTACATAGCTGTAGACAAGTTACAGTTAGATCAGGTAATTTATACTTTGATAACTTAAAGTGACTGGGAACAGGCAGCCATATTACCAGAATCTCATAACAGTTATGGTTGAATTAAAAGTAATATGTTGGTGGCTCGGAGGAAAGTTATAGACCCTAATTGAGAACCAGTTTCCATGTAAGAATATTGCAACTACAAACATGTTATAGTTTGATAATTATAATGTGAGTATAAGTCAGTCTTGGAACAGGTTTAAACATTGCAAGAATTTTGTATCGAAATTTACGTGTTACAGTTAGATTTTGTCAAACTTTTATGGCTTATACTGACCTAAGTTATAGACTGACTTGCAATAAAATAGATGTAGCTTAAGTTAAGTAGATTTAGTTAAGTTTACTCTGATCCCTATTTTGCAAATATGTACTACCGGTACTTGTTACTCAGTTATGAAGATGATATAGTAAAATGCTTTTGTGTCCTAAATGATAGATGCAATAAAATTAGTCTTGCAATTAATAATCACTGATCTTGTGACAATGTATACCAATTTCAAGGTTATAGGTTAAAGGTAGAGATCACAGTAAGACATATTAGAAAAAGCTTGTAAGAATGAAAGAACTAAATTGTTTAAGATCACAAAAATAAAAATTAGTAAAAAGCTAGCTGAATGATGAAATGCTTCTTGGTTAAATTAACCTTGAAAGGTCTTAGGTATTTTTGCAAGAGGAATTTCCCTTAAAAATAGACAAAACATCAATGTTCATAGTTCATATCAAGAACATTCCAACTTAAGGTGGTTAAGACAGAATATATGTAGGACTCTAAAGTTTGATGGGGACGCTAAAACACAATGGTCACGCTAAAGTGCGATGGCCTATGCTAAAGTGTGATGGTTTGATACGCTAAAGTGCGATGGTCTGTGCTATTTAATGGAACACGCTAAAGTGCGTTTTTTTCCGCGAAAAGTGTGTTTGGACGTTTGCAACGTTAAATAGTATTTGCGATGCTACAAGCCTTTGTACAATCAAAAATGGACATGCCGGTAAACGAGAATGTATGTGCAGATGAAGGTTTTTTACTAGACAAGAAAATAGAAACAAATGATCACAATCCGGAACGGGGCGGGGACAAACGTGTTTCTGTCAGGATACTGAAAAAAAAATACTTCTCATAAACATAGAAACTGAAGATAGTAAGGGGAAGGTGTTTACCGTAAAAGAGAGCGAAAACGGCAAAACACACCAAGTGTCAAAGTATTTCATTAGTCCAAATTTAATTTAGAAACACCTTCAATGCTTTTAATCCCATGTCATTTACTTGCGTGAAATAAAAGCTACTTTTTATACGCCCGTTTACGGGACGTATTATGGTATACCGTTGTCCGTCTGTCCGTCCATCGTCAACATGTCGGATATTAACTCAAAAACGCTTTAACCAATTTGCATAAAACTTTGGTGAATTGTTTATATCTATTGATGTGAGCTCCCTTTTCGTTTTTTATAAATTTTAGAATTTACGTTTCCGAGTTATGGGGTTTTATTCATTAAAAAAGGGGGATTTTCCAGTTTTCAGGCAATAACTCAAGAATGCTTTCACCAACTTGCAAGAAATTGTGGTGAATTGTTTATATCTATTGACATGAGCTCCCTTTTGGATTTTTATAAATTTTAGATTTTACATTTCCGAGTTACAGGGTTTTATTCATAAAAAAAGGGGGATTATCCAGTTTTCAGACAAAAACTCAAAAATGCTTTCAGCAGTTCTTATGAAACTTTGGTGCATTGTTTATATCTATTGATGTAAGCTCCCTTTAGAATTTTATAAATTTTACATTTTACATTTTTGAGTTATGGGGTTTTATTATTTAAACTAGAGGCTCTCAAGAGCCTGTGTCGCTCACCTGTATTTACTGATGCTTTGGAAATCATGTAAAATAAGGTTAAAATCATAATTAATAGTATTAGATATTAGATATTATAATGATATCCAAGTTAATAACAAAAAACTGCAAAATTTTTGTAAAATTACTAACTCAGGGGCAGCAACCCAACAACGGGTTGTCGGATTCGTCTGAAAATTTCAGGGCAGATAAATCTAAATCTGATGAACATATTTGCCAACTGTCAGATTTGCTCTAAATGCTTTAGTTTCAGAGATATAAACCAAAAACTGCATTTTACCCCTATGTTCTATTTTTAACCAAGTCGGCCATGATGGTTGGAAGGCGGGGTCATCGGACAAATTTTTTAAACTAAATACCCTAATAATGATTATGGCCAAGTATGGTTAAATTTAGTTTCAGAGAAGAAGATTTTTGTAAAAGATTACAAAAATTTACAAAAAATTGTTAAAAATTGACTATTAAGGGCAATAACTCCTAAAGGGGTCGACTGACAATTCTGGTCATGACAACTTATTTGTAGATCTTACTTTGCTGAACATTATTGCTGTTTACAGTTTATCTCTATCTATAATAATATTCAAGATAATAACCAAAAACTGCAAAATTGCCTTTAAATTACCAATTCAGGGGCAGCAATCCAACAACGGGTTGTCTGATTCATCTGAAAATTTCATGGCAGATAGATCTTAACCTGATGAACATTTTTACCCCATGTCAGATTTGCTCTAAATGCTTTAGTTTCAGAGATATAAGCCAAAAACTGCATTTTACCCCTATGTTCTATTTTTAGCCATGTCGGCCATGTTGGTTGGCAGGCGGGGTCATCAGACACATTTTTTAAACTAGATACCCTAATGATGATGGTGGCCAAGTTTGGTTAAATTTGGCCTAGCAGTTTCAGAGGATAAGATTTTTGTAAAAGTTAACGGACGACGCCGGACGCCAAGTGATGAGAAAAGCTCACTTGGCCCTTTGGGCCAGGTGAGCTAAAAAAGGGGAGATTTTCCTGTTATGGGGTTTTATTCATTAAAAAAGGGGGATTTTCCAGTTTTCGGACTATAACTCAAAAATACTGTCAGCAATTCTCATGAAACTTTGGTGAATTGTTTATATCTATTGATGTAAGCTCCCTTTTGATTTTCATAAATTTCTAATATGACATTGAGAATTAATTCAACTTTATTTCTTTATAGTCTGAGAACAGATTTACTAAGTATTGCGCAACAACACAGTGTATTGCACAACAGCAAGAAATCTTTAATTGAATATAAATTCAATTCATATAACCAATTTCAAGTTTTATGACTACAATTATTCAGAAACCTATAATATGTCAGATATTTAATTACAATCCAAATTCAGACCTGTATCAAGCTTGAATATTGTATCCATTTTTGCCCCAACTGTTCAGAGTTGGACCTCTGCAGGCGTATCCAGCTGCGCTCAGCGAAGCAGTTTATTAATTTTCTAATTGAATTATTAAAAAAAAAAAATTTTACAATAGGGTTTCGTCATGTCTGTGAAAGAGATGGATACTCGTCAACAAGACAGTAACATAATGACCAGAGGTGTAGCATCATAATATGATTGCCAATGAGACAAGTCTCTGTCTTAAGCTTAATGTCATTTATGTAATTAACTATAGGTTACCGTATGGCTAACCCTGCAGATAGTATTCTATAACGACCAAAGGGCATCAAAACGACCAGTGTAAAACAATTCAAACTAGAAAATAATGGTCATCGCACTTTAGCGTGTTAAACCAACGCACTTTAGCGTGTCATCTGATTGCACTTAAAAAAACAAACAACCATCGCACTTTAGCGTCTGACACCATCGCACTTTAGCGTAGACCATCGCACTTTAGCGTGACCATCACACTTTAGAGTCCTACATATATATTGTGAAAGGCCAGAGGTCAAATGACAGGTCAAAAGAAAGGTAAAGCTTCTAGTTGAATGTTAGATACAGTAGGAAATTGGCTTAAAAAAAAACACAGTGCAAAAATTGGTAGAAATGCTTCATATATTACTTATTGTGGATTCATTTATTTTTGTGGATACCAATTTTCGTGGATTGAAGAAAAGTTGCATTTTCGTGGATATTTAATTTCGTTGTTTTGGCAAAGTCTGCATACATTCCTTTAGAAAATTTGTCATTCGTTGAACATTTAAATTCGTGGTTCCCCTGTACACACAAAATCCACGAAAATTGGTATCCATCGGATATTAATGAATCCACAGTATAATAAAATATTTTATAATGTAAAAAATATTCCAGTATATTTATTTAATTTAACAGGAGTGGTACTTGGAAGAGATGGTGGAATGATTCAGCAGTTGTATTTTCCATTTTATTTAGGTCTTGGTGGAACCATTGGTTTACGTGGTGACCAATGGTTGCCATGGATACATGTCTCAGATCTAGCTGGAATTTTCATGCATGCAATAAATAATGATAATGTTCGTGGTATACTAAATGGAACAGCTGAATCAGCTACAAATGCAGACTTCACAAAAGCATTTGCAGGTGCATTATGTAGGCCAGCCATATTTCCAACACCTGGTTTTGTTATGAACATTGTTTTTGGTAGTGAACGTGCTAAAGTTGTATTAGAAGGACAAAATGTTAAGCCTAGAAGAACATTAGAATCAGGATATGAGTATAAATATTATGATGTAAAATCTGCATGTAAAAATTGTGTTAGTTGAAGTGCGAATAAATTAAAAATTGTTTTCTATGTTATCTCAAAGTCTATGTTTGAAGGCTAATTGACCTAGACTATTATCTTTTGCATGTTTATCTAAGGAAATATCATATATATGTAGTAATAGGATTTGTCTGACTGAAATGAAATCTAAAATCTCAAGAAAATCTTCTTATTATAAATATCCACAAAGCAGCAGTCTTTAAACTAAATAGTTCATTTATTTCTTAGACTTCAGTGGGAACATATGTGCTATTGTAGTGGAAGTGAGCAACATCTTAATAAATAATTACCATCTCAATTACCAAATAAATGGAGAATGTGTCTATGGGACACAGATGTATATATAATGCCCCTGCTTGCATATATAACGTTATATAGGGACATTACTTAAGAACGATAAAAGTGATGCCATTTAAATTCAAACTTGATTTGTGTTTTGTGGTAATAAGCATTGTGTATAAGTTTCATAACATTTGGTTTAGGCAAATTTAAGTAAATGACTCACTGCCCAAATTCAAACTCTGTCTGCATGTTGTGGTTCTCAGCATTGCATATGAGTTTCAAAAAGATTGGATGAGACAAACCTAAGTAAAAGTGTGGAAACTGAAAGATTTGCAATTTTCCAAGTTATCAAGGGGCATAACTCTTAGAACTGTTAATGACATATTGCCGAAATTTAAACTCTGTCTGCGTGATGTGGTTTTTAGCATTGAATATGAGTTTTATAAAATTTGAATGAGGCAAATTTTAGTTAGAATGTGGAAATGAAAAAAATTGGCAATTTTCTTAGTTATAAAGGGGTATAACTCTAGAACAGTAAGTGACTCACTACCCAAATTCGAACTCTAACTGCAAGTTTTGGTTCTTAGCATTGTGAATGAGTTTCATAAAATTTGGATGAAGAAAACTTAGTGCGGAAACGAAAATGGGACAGTTGGACGGTCCAGGGTAACACTTAATGCCCCCGTTGCCTATGGCGGGGGCATAAAAACATAATGGTGTATTATTGACTTACAAGTCAATATTTTAACTTCTTGAATTTTATTCATATAACCTTTAGTGGAAACAGGTTGTGCATGTATTCCACATGTGATTCATTCATTAAAAAGAAAAGAATGTAAACATTGAAAAGTAGAATTAGTGAGACACTAGAAATAAACGTTTCTTTGACTGATCCCGCCCACAAAAATCATTCTTATACAGGTAGAACGATGATTTACATAAATTTTTAACCTATCACATGAATCAAACAGACCTACAAAATCTGTTTGCATGTGTTCGCTATCTATTTATATATATATGTTTATATCAAGTTATATGACTGTCATCAGTCTCGGAGGTCATCTCGATGGATAACTAAAGGGTGTCTGGTCTATAATACTCACAAAATGCTGATACATTATAGCAAGCCCATGCATTGTTAATTGTTTCTTTTGGACTTTGTAATTTGGATATACGCTTAAGTATGTTATAAATAAAATATTAGAATTTGGGTCAAATTGATGAACATGAATTTGACAGCTAATGCCCCTGTTAGTTGTAACATTTTTTTCAGGTGATGAGTATACCTGTTGAACATTATACCAGAAAATTTGTAAAGATTTTATGTGTGATTCAAAGGGCATGAACATGATAAAAATTTCCCTAAAGTTAGTTAAGCTACAACCTTTACCATGACCTAATGAACCTCAAATTCAGAAAGGTTTTCCTGCTCCATAATGGGAAATATGTAAAGTTTAACTTGTTAAAGACCAGAGGTATAACTCAAACGATGTTACATGTACATGAAACCACAATTTCTCCAAAATTGAAGTTTTAAATAGCTTATGCAACATAAACATCAATAAAGGTCTTGCTCTTCTTTCTCAAGTATTATTGCACGATAAAATTCAAAATATTTAAAAACCAAAACTTGGAGCCTAGTAAGCACAATATGAATAAAATGGTCTTAATGTTTTCAATCTTTCTGAATAAACTATTTTATCCACCATATATTTTGTTTCAATAAAATAGATGTACTGTACATGGAACATTCTAGAGATCTATATCCCCTTGGTTTACTATGACTCTGTAAGTTTCTTTTCTTTAACACTTAAGTGGATTCATTATTATGATGGTGTATGGAATGATTGTAAGGTTTACATGTCTGACTTGGCAGGTTTCATGTGACTTTAAATTCATTTTCTTGGTTCATTGGTCAGTGATTAGTTTTTGTCGAGCCTGTGACTTTTGTCGCAGAAAGCTCGACATAGGGATAGTGATCCGGCGGCAGCGTTAGAAAACTTCTTAAAAGCTTTATATTTTAGAAGCTAGAAGTCCTGGATGCTTCATACTTTGTATATAGATGCCTTATGTTACGAAGTTTCCGTCTGTCATATGTCCATTGTCCTTGACCTCATTTTCATGGTTCAGTGACTACTTGAAAAAAAAGTCAACATTTTTTGTAATGTTAATTTCTTTCTTCTGATGAGTAATAGGATAACTATATTTAGACTTGCAAGGTCCTCATGCCCGTCAGACAATTTTTATTTGACCTCGACCTCATTTCATGGATCAGTGAACAAGGTTAAGTTTTCATGGTCAAGTCCATATATCAGATACTATAAGCAGTAGGTCTACTATATTTGGTATATGGAATGATTGTAAGGTGTACATGTCCAACTGGTAGGTGTCATCTGACCTTGACCTCATTTTCATGGTTCAGTGGTCAAAGTTAAGTTTTTGAGTTTTGGTCTTTTTCTAATACTATATGCAATATGTCAGCTATATTTAGTGTATGGAAATATTTTATGATGTACATGTCAGTCTCACAGGTTTTATCTGACCTTGACCTCATTTTCACGGTTCATTTCTCAGTGTTAAGATTTTGTGTTTTGGTCTGTTTTTCCTCAACTATAAGCAATCGATCAACTATATTTGTTGTATGGAAGGATTGTAAGGTGTATGTGTGTCTGGCAGGTATCATCTGACCTTGACCTCATTTTCATGGTTCATTGGTCAATGTTAAGTTTTCATGGTTAAGTTTGTTTCTTAGATACTATAAGCAATAGGTCAACTATATTTAATGCATAAATTGATTGTAAGGTGTACAAGTCTGTCTGGCATGGTTCATCTGACCTTGACCTCATTTTCATGATTCATTGGTCAATGTTAAGTTTTCTTGGTTAAGACTGTTTCTTAGAAACTATAAGCAATAGGTCAACTATGTTTGGTTTATTGAATGATTGTAAGGTGTACATGTATTTCTCGTTTGGTTTATCTGACATTGACCTCATTTTCTTGGATCATGTTAAGTTTATGTGTTACTTGTAGTAAAGCTTTATATTTAGGACTATCAACATAAAATCAATGGTTTAGTAGAGAAGACAAGACATTTCAGCATGTGCACTCTTGTTGTGGTTTGGTTGGTTTTTCAGATACTATAAGCAATAGATCAGCTGTATATGGTGTACATGGCTGTCCAGAAGGTTTCATCTGACTGTGACCTTTTTTTCATTGGACAATGTTAAGTTTTGGAGTTTGGTCTATTCTCAGATACTATAAGCATTAGCGCCACTGTATTTGATGTCTGGAATGATTGTAAGGTGTACATGTCAGTGGGCAGGTTTCATATGACCTTGACCTCATTTTCATGGTTCATTTCTCAGTGTTAAGATTCAAGTTTTCATGGTTTTTTCAGTTTATCAGATACTATAAGCAATAGGTCAAACTGATATTTGGTATATGAAATAATTGTAAGGTACACATGTTTGTCTGGCATGTTTCATCTGACCATGACCTCCTTTTCATGATTATGTCTTTTTCTCAATACTACTATTCACTAGGTCAACTTTATTTGGTGTATGAAATGATTGCATGGTGTAAATTATGTCTCACAGTATTCATCTGACTTTGATCTCATTTTGATGGTTCATTGGTCAATGTTTGTTTTAGTAATTAAGTCTGTTATGTCAGATGCAATAAGCAATAGGCTAACTAAATCTGGTGTATGATATGATTATAAGGTGTACATGTCAGTCTGTTCAGGTTTCTCTGGCCTGACCTGATTTACATGGATCATTGATTATGTTAAGTTTAAAAGCCTGTCCTCAACCAAACTGTTTTTTTTTTAAAGACCACCATTTGCATTGATCCACCAGTAAAATTTCAAACTATCAAACAACAGGAAGTGGACACACAGCAGCTGAAAAAATTGCCTACACACAGCAACTCAACATTATCAACCTCCAGACCAAATATAAAATTATTCACTTCCATAGAAGCCGAAATAAGATTGATAAATATTTTCTGTGTATCAATCTTATTTCAATAGGCTAACTAAATCTGTTGTATGATATGATTATAAGGTGAACATGTCTGTCTGTCAGGGTTTCACTGGCCTTGACCTGATTTACATGGATTATTGATTATGTTAAGAAATAAGATTGATAAAAAAAAAATTCTGTGTACAATGAATGTGGTAAAATTTCAAATTATTGGCAAACAGGAAGTAGCTGCACCGCAGAGCTAAACATTGCTTAAACACTACAGCCCAACCACATCTAAATATAAATTTATTCCCTTTCATAGAGGCCAAGAAAGTTTTTTATCTGAAGTTTTTCGACGGAAGGACAGAGTCGAGCCATCACTGTAATGCTTTCACACTTGGCTATTAAGGTAAAAAGACACTTGAATACAATTTTTCTTAGTTGTCAGTTTATTTATGGATCTTTTTTGTTCTGCTTCATACATATACAAATACATTAACAATCAAAAGCATCTCCATTTTTTACACATTGCCTGAAATTTACAATATGTACATTATATTTAGCATGATATAAATTAGAATGTAAACAAAGGATCACATATATAAAATAAACTTAACAATTTGTTGACAGAATGGCAAACACAAATATAAAGCAAAATAAAACTTCAAAGAAACATTTCATTCTGTTTCATCGATTGATAAGAATCAATTTTTCTTATTTTACTTCGCATTTATTAGCACTACAGTGAAATCAAAAGTTTCAGTGTCAAAACTAAAGTATAAATAACTATTCTCTTTATTCATTTGTAATAGTTCAAAATAATACACCAGTTACGACAACTGTGTATTTATATTAATGCAAAGCCATTAAGTGTTCTTTTAAAGCAAGCTTACCTAGAATTTATAAACCTCCCCTATTTACCTACAAGATATTCAACAGTTATCTACTTAATTCAGTGGAGCTTATTGAAATATAATATCCATAGATCTCAGTTTCCAAACCTTAATATTAATAAAATATTTGATTTTCTAATAAACAGCTGAATTCAATTATAAACACATTGTACCAAGATTCAAAACTTAAACAGTACTAAAATATATATCTGTAAAATACAGATAAATAATTGAAGGCGGTAAAGGAATGTATATCTAGAACATCAACACCAATGAATTCTATCAAACAAAATGTTATATATTACGTTCTCAAGGAACAACTTATTTATTATTCAGATTATGCAATGACTATCCTATATAACTTTTTATTTGGGGATCTCTGAAATTTCAATCTATTCCAAATAATTTCTATGTAATTTTACCCTTGGACCAGTGCATACACATATTTTTTCCTAAATAACAGCACTGAGGACCAATAGTTTTTTGCTCAGAAATTGTCTTTTAGGTCATGGTCAGTGTTTTATTCTAGGTGAAGAGTTTCCAATTTACTTATATGTTTATACTGTGTGGAAAAAGTATTCTGGTATGCAGTTTTCTGTGTATAAGTTATTTTCCTAGGGTGAACAAATGATATCCATGGCTAATTTAAGCATATAAGAAATAATGTTTGTAAAGGAAGGAATTCACTGCAAGACTAGCATCAGTGAGGCAAAGGGAAATTTTCCAAAAATATTCAGACAAATATAATGCTGTCAATATTTTAATATAGAAATTAATGATTATCCTTTAAATAACAGTTTAGACTAAAAATAAAGACTGCAATATTAAACAGATTTATAAGTCAATACAAAAGGGACTATTTTCAAATCACATGCATATGATAAATAGATTGATACTTAATTGGAACTATATCTGTTTACATTTAAAGCCACACTGACTGACTGATTGATTGTTAGTTGTTTAACATTAGCCAGCAAATAGACATGCATATTAAGACAAAAGATCGGAAAAAGAATATTACAATTATCAAATCAAACTTCCTCTGTACAAATAATTCTTCAAATGCCTCAAACAGCTCGTCATCATTGACATTCTTCTGTTCTGCTGGTATACCATAGCATTCATATTGAATTAAATGTTGTAACAAAAACAAATATATAAAAGACACAGATGGAATGTTTATACATGTAAAGTAGCACTTTTAAGCATACTGCGGATTCATTATTATTCGTTGGATACTAATTTTCTTAGATTTCGTAGGTATAGGTGAACCACAACTTTTAATGTTCAACGAAGTATTAATTTTCTATAGGATTGTATGCAGACTTTGGCAATACCAGGAAATTAAGTATCCATGGAAACAACATTTTTCCCCAATCCACGAAAATTGGTACCCACGAAAATAAATCATTCCACAGTATTAAATATTATTTTTTTTTATCTCTCAGCACTTGATCTTTATCACATTTATTTCGCCAAAAAATAAAATTATATTTCTTTAAAACATTAAGAATTGAACATAATTTTTTGTGTTAATGAAGGGATAGATGAAAAGTTGTATACAGTATATGTTCAACACTACAGTGGAATCTAGTTAAACTGAACCATTCAAATTTTTGTGAATCCTCAACCAATTTTTCATCTAAAATGAGAACATCAATATCCAAATAAGTATTTACATTTGTATAGCCCTGCACATTATCTACATTTTGTTGAGATAGTTACATGTAACCTAAACATTATGACTACACACATCTGCAGTCTATAGTGCCTTGGGTTTGATTTGTTCCTACTGTGCATTTATGTGAACTCATTGCAAATCTTCTACTACCATGCTCATGAGCTTAGACAATAAATTTAGTCCTATTAAGAGTTCAATGCATACTGGTTTTATGGTTGAATTATACTAGTATGACATGCAATTAGCATTCATGTAAAATTCATTGTAAGATCTTTTCAGAAGAATAATATATGATTGAAGGAGCTCTTTCGAAAATATATCATACATTATTCCAATTACCAATAATTTTTCACAATTTTTAAAATATAAATACAATTGCTAAGTACCTATACAAGTCATTATTTATTTATTCAGAAATTTAAGCACATTCCTTTAATTTAATTTATTTAAGAAAGATCTTTACACAAGAACTTTAAGTACAGTTCTGTATTCCAAACATGTAACTACTTTCAATTTATAACTGGTGTGTCTTATCCTAGTATTGAATAATCTTCTTTCGACTCCATGATTAATTTGGACCTGAAACAGTACTGCATGCTCTAGATTGGAATATTGTACAGGAGAAACCAGATATAATAAACAAGGGTTTCATTCAAAAATAAAGAGTTTGTTAAAAACACTTATAACAAATTTAATTTCAATGCCAATGACTGTGAAAATGAAAATGAAAACAAAAATATTTCAATACAATGTAAATCATGTATGAATAAGTAAATATTAACAACCATACACTGATTATGTTGTTTTTTTTCACACTGAGAAAACAATTCATTGCAAGCATTATAATGCCTATGTAGGAGTTTTACAAGTCATGAAAAATGGCAGTTACTAACTAATATGCCATACAATGCTTGTATTTTAAAGTGATTGTGATTTTATTGAGGACAATGCACTCAGTCAGAACTCAAACAGATCAAAACATGATGAAACCATTTTATGTAACTAATGAAAGAGCATGCTTGGGCTTCAAACCTATGTGGCATTAAGGGGAGCTAAGCAATGAAAAATAAAAACAAATGTGTTAAGAGAGTTATACTTTATTTGATTCTTAAACCAAATCTTTCCTGTCTCCAGAAAGTCAGAATTTTCAACACTTTCTGTCTCCAGAAAGTCAGAAAATTCTAACAGTATTATGTCTGAGATCTGACTGACAGGACCTCCATAAAAATAATGATTTTAAAGGTAATTTTTTAATTGTTTGGACTTTTAGGAGTTATTAGCTAAGAAACAAACACATATCAGATTTTTGATCAAAGATTCGTTCGTGCTAAATTTTACTGCATAAATGACAAAATTTCATTACAATTGAATTCTTCTTTCACACAACCATGTATTTCATTCTTTATGCTCTTTTGAAATTTTGATACTTTTTAACTACTAAATTGGGTTTATACCTAATTCTGAAATAACAGCAAATCTCAATAATACTAAATTTTTGCATAAGTAACTTATTATCAGGTTTCCATCTTAATTCAAACCAACATGGAATTGCTTTTTGATAGCACAAAAGTATGTATAATAAATAAATGCTGAAAATGATAAAGACCGCTGAATTCAGTTTAAAGATACATCCAAACATCAAAAAAGTTTTGAAATTTCTATTGCAGACTAAAAAAAAGGCTGATATCTCGATCAACAAACTCATCCGAATGTGTCTGAAAATGATCCATTTAAAAACCAATCGGTATTTCATCAGCAAACATTTCTACAATTCTTCACATCCCATCTGCCTGCAAACTTTTCTAAATATGCTCAAGTATACATTCCCTCATATAATGTTAAAGAATATATTAGCCACTTTGACATGTTAACAAATAGCAACATTAAGTCTTGGACACCAATATCACATGATGAGCAATAATTACTACTTATTTCATTCACAGATCCTATGATGATCATGTGACACAAAGGAAGCTTGCACTAGATGAAGAATGAAGGTTGGTAAAACGTTTTATCATTGCCACAATGTCGCAGGGAATGAATTGACTTCGCCCATGTCTGTAACAGTTTGTCCATTATGACTATAAGAAATCTTAATCCTCATACGCAGTGTTTGCTGAAAAATATAATTTTCAATATTAAATTTACTGGTCAAGTTTTCTTTAATAACTGAATAAGATATAGATCTGGTATTTAAAATTTTGTAGACAGAAATAGTTTATCTTATTCATATTTGTGGTTGGATTTTTATGTCATTGTTTCAAATTGTGATATTCTGAGAATGTGATTTTAGCGAACTGATGTTAAATTTCTGAATCTGTCCCTTACAATTGGTATATTTTTTAGAGATAACTCTTGCTTTCACTTGCCTCTTCATCATTATCAATGCTTGACAGAAAAAGAACAATACTACAAGCTTCTTGTTTAGAAAAAGTATTCCACAATAAGGAAAAATCATCAATTAAGCTTAAAATAATTTGTCTTTTCCTTTCAACACTAGGTTGTGAGTTCAAATCTCACTTGTGGCAAGGTGTGATAGACTACAACCTTAATCGACTAGCATTTCTCTCTGGGTACTCCGACTTCCTCAACCAATAAACACTGGTTATCATGATATAGCCACATGTGCTTCAAGTGAGATTAAACAATGAATCAATCTTTTCCTTTCTCTACGGAGTTCTGTCTCTAGTAACTATATCATCCATGCCAGTAAACATTTTTTCTTTTTTCATTTTTTTTTTTCTTCAGATTTATATCATAATCATCAATTTTCAAAACTTGCTCTGCCTCTTCAAAAATATTTCGTAAATATTACTGAATGAAGACCTATAATAAACTTTGGATCAAATGCCTTTATTTCAGGTAGATAGAAAGATTTGATTGTAAATATTTTTCAATAAAATAGTACATCTTGCAAATTATCATACAACTTTCTACTCAATATCTACAGAACCATGAGTTAATTCATCACAGGTTCCCCAGCACTATAAGTTACCATAATTTATCAAATACTTAGCATTAATATGATAGTTTTTGCATATGTGTAAAGTGCCTGAGTAAACTAGCCATTAATTCACAACTTCACATGGTTTATCTGATATGGGGTTATCAGTCTGGGTGCGTTTGTATATTGGTAGGATATGATAAAAAGATTAATATATGTACTTTTCCATACGGGCCTAGGTTTCATCCCTCCACCCATATCAGCCTTCGACACACGTCTCTGAATGAAATGGGGTTGAAGGATAATACCTGGGCCGATATGGAAAAGGCCATGTGTAAATCTGTATATATTTAACAACATTATTGAGATTCCAGTAAAATATTTTCTCTGCTGCTTTGTTGATGAACTTACCTTAGAAGGATTTTTTACTTTAATTAATTGTGTAACTGAACCAGAGTTGGCTGGTGGTACAGAATTACCCGATGGAGGATTTAGTTGTAAATGGAATGACTGAAAAATAAAATATCAGATGATGTAAAAAAATTATTATTTAACACACAAGTTTGTTTGCATATTTTCTACAGAACATGAGAAAAATAAACTGTTATCACAGAGCAAAAGTTTCAAAGTCAATAGACCATGACAGGGGGTGGGGCCAAGTATTCTCCATGGAAATGAGATGTGCTAATGCTAATACAACTGCATACCAAATATCATTGACCTACCACTTATGGTTCCCCTTGAACTGACCTAATCACAAACTAATACATGTAAACTAAGCAAAAGTTTCGTTTCAATAGACCATGCCTGAGGGGGCAGGGCCAAATAATCTCCACGGAAAAGAGATGTGCCAATGCTTATACAACTGCATACTAAATATCATTGACCTACCATTTGTGGTTCACCATAAACTAGACCTTATCACAAACTAATACATTGTTGACGACGCCGCCGCCAACGCCAGAAACAGCATACCTATGTCTTGCTTTTTGACTCCGTCAAGGCGAGACAAAAATCCAAAATTGATTTATATCAATTATTTTTAACATGGTTTTTTATATACTGTCACATCACTTCATTCTTTTTTTTTTTAATTCTTCATCCAACATCTATGATTTTTTTAAAGTATTAACTTATGGAATTTGAGTAGAAAAGAAGAACATTTTATCTCCATCACATATTTTCCATCAAATAACAATTCCTAAATTAACAATTGTGAATTTCTAATAGCCAAGTCTAGTTAAATTCACACAACAGAAAATTCCTTAAATAAACTCTTTATATATATATTTGATACCTTAGGTACTGCAGCTTGAAAGACAAATTCAGACATAGGACTTTGTGTGGAGTTTGTAGCTTTGATATTTATTGATGTGACGTCTGGATCAGAGATGTCCTTTTCAATCAAAAATTCTACTAGTAAACCATTCTTGTTAAATGCAGTCATTGGCGGGAACCCTAAAAAAATATCATAAAACATATCTATATTAAGTTTTGCAGCTAATTCTTTTTATCCTTTTATCTCTATATAAGATTTTTTTTAGATATATATATACTGTCAACCAACTAATTTTCACGACTTTCACGAGTAGAACTAAGGTAAATATATCATCACCAACTTGTCAAACTTGGATCTTCTATCATATGTATACACAGTTAAGTTAGAAAATAGCAAAAATTATTAATACAAAATAGGCTAGAAAGGGCTCACAATGAAAAAAAGTTGGTTTACAGTATTTATGCCTCCACTTTTATTTTTTATTATTTAATTTAAGATATTTGTCTATAATAGAATCCCATGTTAAGTTTCTATTACACAATATGACATCTGCAATTTATTATTAATGACAGGGCGTTACACATAAGAAGATATTGATGACAGATAAATGAGTTGAAACAAGCCCAAGCAAACCATACTTCAATTGATACATTCCTTGTTTTTTAGTCAGGAGAATTAAAACTAGAATCACAACTCACTAATGTGGTAATGCCAGGGTTGAAGAAGTAGTGGATATGGCCTTAGCTGGTATCTAGCCAATAAGATGATTGTCAAACCAAATACACCTTTCTGCTAAGCTTCAGGGAGACATGAAATCTAAACAAACCCAAAGTAAGATAAAACTTACCATTTCCTCCATTCATTTGGTTACTAATTGGAGAGCCACCTAATAAGTCCATCAAATCATTACCCATTGGCACTGGTTGTGTATTAGGTATGGAAACCGGTGCTGAAACAAAAGTATAATTCAATTTGTGTACTTATAAAACATTGAGAAAAAACAAATGAGTGGTTATAACAACTGATATGTTGGTGAAATCATTTTTAAAAAATTCTCATTAAAATTCTGTGGTCAGAGATCAAAATAAGGGGTAGTCAGAACACTTTATCATTATTTAAGTCCATCAACTGGACCTGTCCTCTGAACCACATCGGCTATGCCTCCTTCAGAGATCAAAATAAGGGGCAGTAAGGACACCCTTTATCATCATTTAAGTCCACCAACTGCAGCTGTCCTCTGTGAACCACACTGGCTATGCCTCCTTCAGAGATCAAAATAAGGGGCAGTAAGGACACCCTTTATCATCATTTAAGTCCATCAACTGGACCTGTCCTCTGTGAACCACATTGGCTATGCCTCCTTCATAGATCAAAATAAGGGGCAGTAATGACACCCTTTATCATCGTTCAAGTCCATCAACTGGACCTGTCCTCTGTGAACCACATTGGCTATGCCTCCTTCATAGATCAAAATAAGGGGCAATAAGGACACCCTTTATCATTGTTTAAGTTCATCAACTGGACCTGTCCTCTGTGAACCGTATTGGCTATGCCTCCTTCATAGATCAAAATAAGGGGGCAGTAAGGACACCCTTTATCATTGTTTAAGTACATCAACTGCAGCTGTCCTCTGTGAACCACATTAGCTATGTGGCATTCAAAACTACTTTTACTGGTAATAAAGTTGTGATTTCAGATGAGAAATATTACAGGTAAAACCAGTAACCAGTGTCTTATTATTTAACCAACTAACCAATGTCAGAACATAACTTTTAAGTTCTTAGGGCACACAATTCAATGATCCAGAAAATTAAAATATTGTAAAAGTACATACCAGTAGATGAGGTAACATTAGCAACATCTCCTAGTATATCTAACAAATCATTAACTCCAGATTTAGGAGGTGGTTGTGTTGGTTGTGTTGGAGAACCCACATCTAGTATATCCAATATATTTTGACTCTGTAATTAAATAAACAAATTGAATTGATTGAATTGCAAAACAGGTGGAAACTAAAGGACAAGTGGGTTTAATTATTTAAACATAGCTTATATCCATGTAAGGCAGAAATTTTACCAATGTACCACTAGTTAATTCCTAAATTCCAAGGGGTTTTTAAGTTATAAAGGAGAAACCAAGAACAAATGCACAGGGGGTGGCTAAGTAGAACTAAATTTTTTACCATAACTTTCAATGTATGGTCTTCTTATTTGTATGGGACACATCCTAGTAGTGATGAATAATAATACAAAGTTTCATTACCAAAATCCAAGGGAGAGTTTATAGTTTAGAGAACTGAAATGATTTGTGATTGAATGACGGAGGCCAGAAACGATTTGTAATGGGACAATGGAGGCAATGAGGCATAACCTGATTACTGATTACTTCCACATAATTTGTAGGGCTCTAATGATAAGGATACTTATATTTTGAGATCTTATTCAATCTTGGATTTCCTAATAATTCAAAAATAATCAGATATCTGGATTGAAATAAAATACATCAAGAGAAATGTTCATTTAGATCATAACAAGAAAAAAATTTAAATCATTATTCTGGCTTCATAACTACATGTATGTTACTATGATTTCATCTATGATAAATGAGCAAAACTATAAAAAAGAAAACCTTTGTTCTATCTTGAGAGAAACAGACAAAGTTAATGAAGAACTCATGAGTTTGTATTTTTTTTTTTTACAACATAGAAGCCATGCCAGTTTATAGTTGATACAAGATTTAAATCAAATTGCTACATATTCATTCCAGTGAGTAGAAAAAGTAACAAATCCAGTTTGGCTTAGGGCTGTTCCATTAAATCATACATGGTACCCAGGGAAGGCACTTTAAAAATGGGATAACCGTCTATAGAGGCAATTTTTGAATTTTTTTTACATTTTCACTGTATAAAAAACCCACCCATAGATGAGATTTTGGAATGCCTTCCCTGGGTCCCAGGTATATTTTTATGGAACAGTCCTTATTTGTCAAGTTGACCATCAAACAAACATTATGTATAGCTGACTATGCGGTATGATCGCCGTACAGTGACCTATAGTTGTTAATTTCTGTGTCATTTGGTCTCTCGTGGAGAGTTGTCTCATTGGCAATCATACCACATCTTCTTATATTTAACTTATCTGTTTTTTAACAATTTGTACTGCCTGTTAAAAGAGTAGCAATCGTAATTAATAACCAATCAAATCACGGAACAAGTAATAAATGGATGACTGAAGTACAAGTTTGTCCAGCTTGTTTCTATATTTACAAAAGCTAATAAAAACTTCATGGTTCACTTAAAGAAATTTTGTATATAAAGTACAAATTCAAATAACTTAGTTGTAAAATTCTTACACAAGGGAAATTACTGTTTACATTTGAAGGTTAGAAATATAACATCAAGAATGAATATAAATTTAAAACCAAATAACATCTCTTTACCTCTTGTAAGTTCTTTTTATTTTCTTTCTGTACATCTCCTTCGTCAGAGACACCATTTAATAAGTTTTCACTACTATTTTCATGCAATATGTTTTTACTTCTACTTGTTTCTATTAAAGGCATTTGTTCTAGTAATGAGAACCTGAAAGAAACAGATGTTAAATCATTATATTTGCTGAGTACATCAGATGATTATTGTGTTTCTCATACAATTCAAAGGAGCGTTATCCCTTTGATGGTTAATACATAGTTGCAAAATAATTCATCAGTTGGTTTGAGAAATACATTTATATATGTTGATCTGTTAAGTAAACAGTTAAAAATTACAAATTCTCAGAAACATATAATCTGCACACAAACATTTTTCTTATTTTATTCACTAGTTAATCACAAAATATTTTACCCAGTCACATTTTGTATGTGCCTGACCCAAGTCTGGAGCCTGTAATTCAGTTGTTGTCACATATCATATTTGTTTTTTTGTTTGTTTTGAACATTTATCATGTTGTTAGTAATTAATGTTTTATTCGCTTTACATTTGTCATTCATGGGCCTTTCATAACTTGCTATGCAGTATGGTTTTGCTCATTGTTGAAGGGTGTACAGTGACCTATAGTTGCTAACTTTTATATCATTTAAATTTGGTCTCTAGTGGAAAGTTGTCTCATTTATAGCAATCAAACCACACCTTCTTATTTCTATATTTTAATGTAAAGAAAAATAACAAAGATAATAAATGATAGTAGTACCTGGTCACATCAAAAACAAATTTTACAATACTTACCGTAAACTATCAAATTTATTGAAAATTTGTGAATATTCTACAGATCTCTGTTGCAATTCTACATTAACACTTTTACCATACACACTCATTATATCTTTGATTCGCCTATAAATAGAAAATACAAATAAAAGAAATGCGACGAGTCCTTTCAACTCAAAAATAAACATCATCGCAAACAGTCTGCCATTCATTTTAACCTGAAAGGCAGCCATGAGAGTTTAAAATTATTTTTCATAACCCAATTAAGTAAAAATTTCATAATTACAAAGTGTCTTCTTGACAACACAGCTAACTGCATTGGAACAAGCACTTGTTAATAGAATTTATAATTAATCAACAATGCACACATTATTGTGTTATGCATACCGCCACGCGCAATTCAATGTACCGGAAAACAGGAAGAAATTGTCTGACAAATCTGAAAAGCAGTCACACATTAAAACTCATCACTGTCAAAACCCTGCACAAATTTTAAGTCACTCTGTTCAGTAGTTTCTGACAAGGTGAATGCAATATAGCCCCACTCCTAGAGTATACGTTAATCATATTCATTGTTTCAGGAAGATTTTAACTGTGTGTTATAATTATAAGAATACCCCATGTGTAAAAAGGCTAACTGAATTAAAAAATATGTTATAGCCAACCCTTCTTGAATGATTTCTTATAATAAAACCATCTCCAACCTTCTAACTTACTATTTGATGAGACATAAATAAATGTAATACATTAAATGACATACCCAATAGATGTTCTAAATCTAGAGCTGAGTTTCATTAAAGCTGTAATAGCATATTCTTTAGTAATTTCATTCAAGTTGTGGTTTGAAAGAACTTTTTCCAACTCTGTTACAACTTCATCTTCAGATGCCTGATAATAAATTAAAGAATAAACTTTGTTTTTCAAACCTTACACCATGCATGTTAACTTTCTCTTTACAACTTTAATAAGGAATATTTCCATAAGTCTCTTGACATATAAATGTGTGTGTAATAAAGTTGTTAAGTCAAGCTTAAACATTTGTAATAAAGTTATATTATAGTAAAAATCCATTTGAAAGGAGACCCATACATAGTATATAAAAAAGGCCATCAGCATTGCACTCACAATATAAATTATGTATTAAACATCATGTTTTGTTGCTACTTGCTAGAGATGCCAAAATAAAAATAGTTCTGCCATTTGACATTTTTGGTTAAGCATGGATAAATTTTGGATGAAAACTGTTTAAGTCCAGAACACCTTCCTGTATCTTCAATGAAAAGTTTAATAAACTGTTATCACAGAAATATGTCTCTCCTTTTTGTAATTTTGATTATGCAAATGTTGAAATTAAAATAGCAATACTTTAACATGTTACATACGTTATGCAAATATTCAAAGTCAATGAACCACGACTGAGGTACATGGCTAAACAATCTTCATGTAAATGAGATGTGCCAATGCTAAAACAACTGCATACCAAATATCATTGACTTATTATAAGGTGTTCCCTTTAAACAAACCGAAAACATAAACATTATCTTGTAACCTATGTAAACATTTCATAGTCAATGAACCATGAAAAGGGGGTGGGGCTATATAATCTCCATGGAAACGATACTTGCAAATGCCATTAAATTTGCATACCAAATATCATTGACTTAACATTAGCAGTTCATCTTAAACTGATCTAATCACAAACTAAAACATGTAAACTAAGCAAAAGTTTCAAAGTCAATAGACCATGACTGAGGGGGTGGGGCCAAATATTCTCCATGGAAATGAGATGTGCTGATGCTTAAACAACTGGATACCAATTAACATTGGCCTACCACTAATGGTTCCCCTTGAACTGATCTAATCACAAACTAATACATGTAAAATAAGCAAAAGTTTTGAAGTCAATATCAATACACCATGACTGAGGGGGCAGGGCCAAATAATCTCCATGGAAATGAGATGTGCGAATGCTAATACAACTGCATACCAAATATGATACTTTTTTTTGATAGACCTACCACTTGTGGTTCACCATAAACTAGACCTAATCACAAACTAATACATTGTTGACGCTTACGAAGCCGGAAACAGCATACCTATGTCTCGCTTTTTGACTCCGTCAAGGCGAGACAAAAACTAGATCTGTCCGAACATTTTTAGGAGTGCAAATTTTGAAAGTCCAAAGCCCGTAATTTCTGCAAAAATCTGCAAAGCAGAACCAAACGTCAAATCAATCTGTAACTCATCATAGTAGACTCACATACTTAAAATCAGCTCAATATGTGAAGGCGTTTAGAAAATAAAATGCTCCGCTGGGGCGCAGCTTGATACGACCGCAGAGGTCGAACCCGGAACAGTTTGGTCAAGTATGGACACAACATTCAAGCTTGATACAGCACTGAATTTGGATTGTAATTAAATATTTGACACAGCATAGGTTTCTGACACAGAATGAAAGTGGTCTAAGAACTTAAAAAAATTTTAATTTACCTATTCAAACCATATCATTATTATTTGCTTTTATATATAAATCAGAAATAACCAATTTAAAATAGAAAATTTTAAAGAAAAAAAAGGGAAAAAAAATCCCCCCCCCCCCCCCCCCCCCCCAATTTTTTGAACCCCCTTATGATTCATCACCCCCAAACTCAATCCCAGCCTTCCCTTTGTGGTATGGTACCTTGCAGTACAATTTCAGAGAGATCCATACACTTGAACACAAGTTATTGTCTGGAAACTAGAAAAATGCTTGTTTTTTGGCCCCAAATTCCTAAACGTTTAGGGCAATTACCCCCAAACTCTAACCCAGCTTTCCCTTTGTGATATGGAACCTTGCAGTACAATTTCATAAAGATCCATACACTTACACACAAGTAATTGTCCTGAAACTAGAAAAATGCTTGTTTTTTTCCCCTTTTATGGCCCCTAATTCCTAAAATTTTGAGGAAATTTCCCCCAAAATCAATCCCAGCCTTCTCTATGTGGTATGGTACCTTGCAGTACAATTTCAGAGAGATCCATATACTTACACACAAGTTATTGTCTGGAAACTAGAAAAATGCTTATTTTTGGCCCCTTTTTCCTAAACGTTTTGGGCAATTACCCCCAAACTCAATTACAGCTTTCCCTTTGTGATATGTAACCTTGTAGTACAATTTCATAAAGATCCATACACTTACACACAAGTTATTGTCATGAAACTAGAAAAATGCTTGTTTTTTGCCCCTTTTTGGCCCCTAATTCCTAAAATTTGGAGGCAACTACCCCCAAAATCAATCCCAGCATTCCCTTTGTGATATGGAACCTTGTGGTACAATGTCAGAGAGATCCGGATCCATACACTTACACACAAGTTATTGTCATGAAACTAGAAATTTTTTTTTTTTTGCCCCTTTTTGGCCCCTAATTCCTAAAATTTGGAGGCAATTACCCCCAAAATCAATCCCAGCATTCCCTTTGTGATATGGAACCTTGTGGTACAATGTCAGAGAGATCCATACACTAACACAAAAGTTATGTCCGGAAGTTACAAAAATGCTTATTTTTGGCCCATTTTTGGCCCCTAATTCCTTAACTGTTGGTACCATAACCCCAAAAATCAATCCCCACCTTCCTTTTGTGGTATTGAACCTAGGCAGGAAACAAGTATTATACATTTTTAACACGTATATATATATTTAACTTGACCTATGAACTTACCTGCACTGGTTCATCTTCTCCACATTCTCCAGTCAACAGATATTCTCCATATTCACCTATACACCAAACTGACACTTGAATTAAGGATTGTTCATCTAAGTGATCTTTAAAGTTTTTAAAAAGTTGTTGCACAATATATGGATGGAGTTCTTTCATTTCTGCAGCTAACTGGATGGTTATTGAAACCGTATCGTCTCTCACATAATTACCAGCCTACAGAATTAACATTCCATAATCAATAACTAATTAGCAAATGAATAACTTTCTTTTTTGTCTGTATATTTATAAATGTTATAGTAAAATACTTTTTTATATACTTTGTAATGATTAAAATTTTCTACAGTTATTTTAAGAATGAGATGATCTAAGTTATTTACAATAATGCCTTATTTTTGTCTTCCATTATTTTACGTGAATTTCTTTCGTGACAACATAATATTTCCGGACTGCAATTTAATCCTCGTGTAAAGTGTCTGTCTTTTACATTTCTGAAAATGATTGAGTTTTCGCATTTCATCTTAATTTCTTTATTTGATGGGGTTTAACCCCTTTTTCAAAACATTCTAATTAGAAAGGAGATTATTTTATAGAGTGAAGAAAGCATAAACTCTAGTAAAGCATGAGAGATTCAGTAAGCTAAGGACAGACCCTATCCTACGTTGGTAGATCTAGGTCATCTTGCCATTGTTGCAAATAACAAGAGGTTCATGATCCCATACTATAATGGTGATAGTATATGATGTACTTTTATTTTATTCAATATTTGTTCAAACAGTTATATCTTGTACTCCACTACTCTTATTAAAGTGACAGCAGAAAAGAAAAAATCTGTACTTGTAACTTAATATATAGAATTACTTTCATTAAACACAATTAACAAAGATATATTGACTTACTGTTATAAGAACTTTCATCACAGTATCTATATGCCACCTCTTTGTAGGGGAATGACTGAAAAAAAACAAAACATTACTATCTGTTACTTTGGGCATTTATGTACCTTCTTGGGCTAAAAAATTATAAATTAGTTTTGTTTAAATTTCAAAGTTCAGTTTCTAGCGGGCTGTAAAACAAAATATCTCAGGGCTGGAGCTCCATTCATATCATGGGGTACCACCAATATAATTTGTTTTCTATAATGAAACTGATGGAATAACAGCTGATGATCCCATTTATTAGAATACATTTTTCAAATTTAAAAATAAACAAATCTTTTCAAACATTTCCTGGTATCAAGCTAAAATGCAAAACTCACATTAAAAATTCACATCAGTTTCGAAACAAACTGTTTAATTAATGAGCTTAAAATAAAGCTCAATTTTCTTCTGATTTCTTACTTGTAGTGTGTATGCACTTACTTTTCAGCAGCCATTACAATTTTTGAACAGATATCAGGTTTAAATTCTGGTTCACACGTCTCCAAGAAGTGTAACAATTCTTTCATCATTCCTCTAACATTGCTTGTGTTTATAAGGGCAAATGACAGTTCAACAGCTCTCCTGTAAACAGATATATATTGTTATCTATTGGTTTATTTTTCAATAATGTATAACAAAATTTGTATTTAACATTGAATTATATATATACTGTTGTGCCGTATATTACTCTGAAATTAAGTTTTCTAAGCTTAAAATTGAAGTCCCCAAAAAATGACCTTCAAAGCAATAAAATGATAAACATGTCCAATACCCAAGCAAGTTTGAAGTTAGCAAAAATAGTAATTTGAATTTCAGGGAATAATTATTTGTATTATAGATGAATATGTGCAACCATTGACATGAACCAAAACAGGTCTATCAATAAATAAAATCAACAACCTCTTAAAGTTTCTTGTTACACTGGTCTTTCAATTTATGATTTGACACAACAACACTGCTTCCTTTTGTATGGTGTCTACTTGAGGAATTCTATCAACAAAAGACTTGACATAAGTTCAATTCATTGCATAAAAAATGTGGAAATAATTTACTTTTTAATGGAAACATCTGGATCCTTGAGACAATCAACAATTGTTGTTCTGTGTCTCTGGACTGCATTGTAATCTGCCTGTACCACTTTAAGTAAGGTGTTCAACGCTACATATCTGAAACAAACAAGTCAACTAAATCATACATGGATTTACGGAAAGTAATTAAGTAGATTGTTGTTGTTTTGTTGTGATTTCTACTTTATACCAATCTGCTTATTTTCACAGCTGAAAGTATTATTTGACGAGAAATTGCTATGCACAGAGTGAAATCTTGTGTATGACAATTAAATCACCGATTGCTTTATTATACTTTTTTTCTGTTTTAATGGGTGAAATAAACTGAAGTGTCTTTTAAAAATTTCTGGCATATAATCTATCAATTACCAGTGAATTGATTGTACATTGTCATTTTTTAATTTTCAGTATCAATTTGGGCAGATTGTCAAGTTCAAGAGTACAAATTTGTATTGAAACCATGTTCTAAAACAAACTTATTCATTAAGAAAAAAAATAAATGGTGGCGAAAACATGTGCAATACTCAAATGTACATATATGTATAATGAAACAACTCAAAATTCGTTCTGTACATTATTTTTCAAACTCCTTTTGTAGAATGCAAGGTAGATCAGTCTAACAGACAAAAAACATTTGAAAACAGTCACTGCCTACAGAAGAACATTTGAAAACAGTCACCACCTACAGAAGAACATTTGAAAACAGTCACAGCTTACAGAAGAACATTTGAAAAGTCACCGCCTACAGAAGAACATTAGAAAACAGTCACAGCCTACAGAAGAACATTTGAAAAGTCACAGCCTACAGAACATTTGAAAACAGTCACCACCTACAGAAGAACATTTGAAAACAGTCACAGCCTACAGAAGAACATTTGAAAACAGTCACCACCTACAGAAGAACAATTGAAAACAGTCACTGTCTACAGGAACTCATAACTTTTCAAAGAAAAATTAAAACTTCCATCTGCAGCATAACTCTTTTCATTGTAACTTGTTGAAATGACCAAAAATGTGAAATGTGTATCCCATAATGGTCACTCATTCAAAATTGATCATTAATACAACCTCACTTAAATGTATACACAAGCCCTACCCAATTGTATTGATACAGTTAAATCAATATTTAGTTCTGTGTAATCACCACAAATCAGTCTGATTAAAATGTATAATAGAAGGTGCATAATGCAATTATCCAAAAGTGTTTTCCTAAAAGTCTCACTGAAATTAGGTCTTTTGCTTATGAATTGGGAATATAAAATGCAGAAAAACAAATTAACAAATTGGCCAACAGACCTAATAAAATGCTTTGTTGAGCGCAGCTGGATACGACCGCAGAGGCCCAACCCTGAACAGTTGGGGTGAAAATGGACGCAATATTCGCGCTTTATACAGGTCTGAATTTGGACTGTAATTAAATATTTGACATATAATAGGTTTCTGACACCGAATAACTGTAGTCAAAGAACTTAGAAATGGTTATATGATTTGAATTTATATTCAATTTGCTTTTGTGCAATACACTATGCTGTTGCGAATTGACCCCCCCCCCCCCCCACATTTTTTTTGCAAAAAAAAAAAATATTTGAAGAAATTTATTTATTTTAATTTTGAAATCTAAAATGAAAATAAAATTGTACAATTTTGTTTTTGGATTACCTCCCTTACACTGCTTTTAAATTGTCCATTTACCAGGAAACCGTTGTTTTTTCCCCTTTTTTGCCCCAAATTCCTAAACGGTTTGAGCCATTACCCCCCAAAGCCAATCCTTACCATCCCTTTGTGGTATGGAAACTTGAGGTATAATTTCAGAGAGATCCATACACTAAAACACAAGTTATTGTCTGGAAGTTACAAAAATGCTTATTTTTGGCCCCTTATTCCTTAACTGTCGGTACAGTAACTCCCAAAATCAATCCCAACCTTCCTTTTATGGTATTGAACCTTATGGTAAAATTTCATAGGGATCCATTCACTTAAACTAAAGTTATTGTGTGAAAACCAATGTGTCTTCGGACAACGACGACGCCAACGTCATACGACCGCAAAAATATGAAAATCATTACATACCCCCCTGCTTACTAAATAAAATATATAAAAATCGAAAGGGAGCTCATGTCAATAGATATCAACAATTCACCCCAATTTCTTGCAAGTTGGTGAAAGCATTCTTGAGTTATTGTCCGAAAACTGGAAATTCCCCCTTTTTTTAATGAATAAAACCCTGTAACTCAGAAAAGTAAAATCTAAAATTTATGAAAAACGAAAGGGAGCTCACGTCAATAGATATAAACAATTCACCAAAGTTTTATGCAAATTGGTTAAAGCATTTTTGAGTTAATGTCCGACATGTTGACGACAGACGGACAGACGGACTGACGGACAGACGGACAACGGTATACCATAATACGTCCCGTAAATGGGCGTATAAAAATACAAGCAAGATGTATATTAATTTAATAAATCTTACCTAATATTCTTATCATTATTCAACAAAAATCTTCCTAAAATATTAACAGCTAACACCTGCAAAAATATATTCATTTCTATTAACTTGGAGCAGTTTTATTCCAGTATGAAATATAAATATGAAATTTCTCTCGATATTTGCCCTTTATGAAAATATATAATGAGATTTTTAGAAAAGAAAATGTACTAGTAACACACTCAATTTTCACTATCAATGAAGTGAATCTTTTGACAGATGAAAATGGATTAAAGATGTGATTCTGATCTTTTCAACTTCTTTATATTTTGTAGTCCTCTGACTTTTTCCTAGGCTATGCATTAAAATGGTTTGCACAGTAACCCATATATTTCTCAATATTTTTATAAACTTGCGTATTAAATATATGTCTGGTAAAATATTTTGAAACTACCTATTTCTAAGGGCTATTCCATTAAAACCTACATTATCCTACAACCAAGAACCATTTTTTAGATAATTTTGCATAATGGTAATAGACGCATACTGAAAAAAGACCCATGACCCACATTCAATAATTAAACTTCCCTTCCTACCCTCCCACATACATTTTAATGGAATAGCCCTAATGTATCCTTCAAATAGTTTAACATGCATTTCTTCCTATACATTTGATATGCAAAATCTACAAACTTTTTTAACATCAAATATTTTAATTTTTAAATTCTGATATCTCATATTATTAAAAGACAAAAACAGATCTTTTTTTCTTTATTTCTATTTTCGATGTTTTACCCATATATCTATTGAATATTCCTTACTTCAAACCTTTTTAAATCATAGTTTACTTACCCGAAGACCAGCTTCAGACTTAATACCCATTATAGTAAGAACAATCTCATATAAAATGGCATGACCAACATTTTTACTTGTGTCAGTATTTGTAGCCACCTGTCAATGTAAATAATTAATATCTTTATATATTGTTTCACAATTTCTGTTACTTTCTGTGAGGTATGTAATAATGTATATATTTGAAACTAGTACTAAGATGAGGTTTTTTTGGCTACAAATAACTTAGCTGGTGCTGAGTCAAAAGTGTATGGAATTTTTAACACCGGTGTAAAATTCCTTACTAAGAACTTCAAATACAATTTTTTACATAATGGGGTACAGAACTAAATTATAATATACTTTGACATTGCCAGGGTATATGTACAAGGATATGCTTAGCCTCTTTGCCATGATATTTGCCAAATTGTATAGGTATTTTTACCGTTCACAGAGACATTTGATCATTTGTATGCTTTATTAAATGCATTTGTTTTTATCCCCATGTGTAAATAGTTGAGCTTGGGGAGGTGCTATTTACACTTGGGTAATAAACCAATCAGATTGTAAGATTCTGTTATAAGAAACAAAGAGTTTTACAGGGCTCACATATAAAGCAATTGCTAGTTTATGTATAATAAAAATCTATACATTTTTGCAGGGTTTTTGTCTTCACAAGGTGTTTCCACAAAATTTATGTTATTTACTGTTCAAACATACCTGTGCTAATATATCATTCATTGTTTCACTCGCCTCAGTGTCATTCTTTCCTAATCTCCGTAATAATCTTAAAATCTTAACCTAAAAGAAATTACGCACAACTATATAAAATCAAAGTGCTTGTGAACAATGGATGGTAAAGATTGTTTTCATTTTGCAGTATGAAATAAAATTTAAACATCGCATTGTATTTAGCATTGGAAGGCAAGGCAATACTATGAATTGGAGTTTATTCTTTGTCCATAACTTTAGTCAGAACAAATCTTGATAAAATATATTTCTACTTCTCAATTATCATATGTTTTTTTTCTTAGCCCAAATAACAAAACAGAATCTATTTGTGTTTTGTTCTAATGTCAAAACATACCAACATTAAACCTTAATATAACTAAATCATAAATGTATGTTCCTGGAACGAAGTATTACAAGGCTATATGCCTTTTGGATACTATATATATATATGATGTTTTTTTGTAATGTGAAGTGCGTTTTTTGATTGCTTGTTTAGTGATCCTCAGAATATTTTTGTAAGTGTTATTTTGTTCTTATGTTTTGTGATGTAGAGTCAGATGGTTTTATTGTAGATGTACAGTAGATAAGGCTGGATGCCAGGTTGATATATGTTGTCTTTTACAAAGTAATTTACAAAGAAAAAATTTCCTTTAATTAATGGTACTAACCTGTAAGAAAGGATCACTAACACCAGAAACATCATGTTCAGGAGAATATCCTGCCATAATTAGATTCTTTAGTATTCTAACAAGCTGTGGAACAACCTACAATACATATAGCTTTTTAAATTTTTTGTCAAATAGTATCATTTCTTTAGTAGCTGTCTTTTTCAGATAAATAAAATCGTGCATAAACTAAGTTCTTTTGATCTGAAAAGAAATTAAAGAAAAATTTATCTCTTACATATCAAAGCTGCCATCATTAACATTCTGCCGAGTTAAATAATTTGGGTTGTTGTTTATGTTTGTCTCCATGAACATTTATGGAAAAGGTCAAATCTGCAAACCTTTATAAACTTTTGTCCTCTATCCCTCAATTGTGATATCAAAGAATGTGATGCAACACGAAATTTTGAATTGCAATGTGCAACACAACAGGTGTCACTGAGTTTGCTAGCTTCATGTCTATCATTCTTTGATTTTCTGTGTAGTATTTTGTTTTATACTGTCTATTGATCATTTTTTATTTGTCATGGTGCTGTCTGTTTATGTATGGTTTTTGAATGCCTCCTTGGGACCTCCTTATTTCTATGACCATGTGCTTTTATTTTTAAATTCTAACCACAGAGCATTCAATAGACTTCAAAGCAGCAGCTTTAATCCAACGTTATCAGTTGTTACTGATCTATTAATAGTATAAAAGTATAATAAGTAGGCTGCAACAGACCACTTTTGAGTTATGTCCTTCACTGGAAAAGTTCAATTATGCACACCTTTATGTTGTAATTTACCAGATAGAGGGGATCGCCTGTATCCCTGCACTATTAAAGTTCATCATGCGTCTTCGTGATCGTCATTATGCAGGATAAACTAGAAATTATGTTTGTTCCGTAGGTACTTAATCACAAATCCCTAATGACAGCAGTGCGAATTATCAATTATAAGAATTTAATTTGCCGAATAATTCATGCAATACAGCATTTTATTTTTTCAACCACTAGCTCAACATGGAAATGAAGTGACGATGCCCCTAAACGCACGAATGATATTCACTAAAACCAACTAACTTCAAAGTGGTCTATTGGTACAGAATCCAATAATAACTTTTAGAAGTCTAATGACCATTTACATAACGATAGAAACAAATCACAGACAAGATACCTTTCTAAAATGCTGCAGAGCATCTGGACTTTTCTCACACATCTCTGTTATTAAACATACTGCTGTCAACAACACTCCTTGAAAAGAAAGGGTAACACTGTTAAACTATGATAATACCTTGGGTATGGATACTGGCTAAATAACCATTTTCAAATATGTTCTTATTAAATAATAAACTGTCAACACTGAGATACAATTTATGTCTTGCAAGTGTGACCTAATCAAAATTTTAATAATTTGTTGACATTATCGTCACTCAAAATGGCACGCCTAAGCCTCACAGGTGAGACAAAAACAAAACAACATGTAATTAAGGTATTTATTTATTTATGTAAAGGTAAATTTTTCAAGTGAATAATCTCAATAAGAGAGAGAATTATTAATGCATCATATTCAAGTGAACTTTCTTAATAGAAAAATTTTGGAATACCTATAAAGGTCTATCATACTTATAATCTAAAGTCATGAAATGTTCTTTGATTTCAATCTATATTGGTCATGAACAAAAGACCAAAAGAAATTTGTACACATTGATCTATGTGCAATTGTGTGGTAATTAAGATTTATAAATAAACTACGGCAGAGGCATAAAAATAAGCATTTATCATTATACATGATTATCTTTTTCAAATTGTTCTTTGTATATTTACCATGATTCTTTTCATTAAGTAAAGTCCTGGTAGCTGGTATAAACATCTCCAGTAAATCTGGTACTTTTCTGATGATACAGAAGGCACACAGGATAGCCTAAAATACATTAATACAATGAAAAAAAATTCTTAGCAAAGCACATGTGGGCATTAAAACTATACTAAACAGAGATTTTGTCTTTAATTACAATGTATAATGAATGACAAGCATATATCCGTTTCTGATGGCATCGTAAGTAAACAAACAAATACTTAACAACAATAATTTTGACCTATGAATAACAAACAACAAAAATTTTGACACATGTAAAGTAAATATAGTAATTAAAAAAAAAAAATTTAGGTAAGAACCAAGGATCCGGAAATTTTCCCAAGTCATTTCGGTCATTTTTTTTTTTGTGATGTAATAATATCGTGATGCACAATAATGCATTTTTCTAAGGGTGACAAGTCTTGCACATGGACAAGTAAAGTCCTTTTTTGTGAAGTATTGGGTCAAACAAGTGTAACTGTACCTTGATCTAACAGTAACAGTGATGTCTCTGAGTTAGAAACTACACGAGGAGACGTTTTGTTGTTGTGTATTGCATCACTGAGGTCGTATGCATAACCCTTTAAATTTGCATAAATTAAAAGAGGAATAAAATACGGCATGTTTCATCATTTTGAAATAAAGTTATGTAAACCAATTAATAAACTGTGTTGAACTTCTTATTGCATGTACAAGATATCGTTTGTATTGTTCAAATTGCTGCTGTTTGGATGAGTGTAAGTGATTACCTAATACACAACAAGATAATGTGTATTCACCTGGTTTACGATATGAGGATCAATAAAATGCTTCGCTGGGGCGCAGCTTGATACGACCGCAGAGGTCGAACCCTGAACAGTTGGGGCAAGTATGGACACAACATTCAAGCTTGATACAGCTCTGAATTTGGATTGTTATTAAATATTTGACACAGCATAGGTTTCTGACACAGAAAGAATGTGGTCTAAGAACTTGAATTTTTTTAATTTACCTATTATGGTCCAATGTCCAAAATCAAAATACATGGTTAGATTCAGCATATCAAAGAACCCCATATATTCAATTTTTGTTAAAATCAAACAAAGTTTAATTTTGGACCCCAACTTGGACAAACTTGAAAACTGGGCCCATAATCAAAAATCTAAACACATGTTTAGATTCAGCATATCAAAGAACCCCAAGAATTCAATTTTTGTTAAAATCAAACTAAGTTTAATTTTGGACCCTTTGGACCTTAATGTAGACCAATTTAAAAAACGGGACTTAAAATTAAAAATCTAAAAACACGGTTAGATTTGGCATATCAAAGAACCCCAATAATTCAATTTTCGATGAAATCAAACAAAGTTTAATTTTGGACCCTTTTGACCTCAATATGAACCAATTTGATAGCGGGGCCTACAAATAAAAAATCTAAATACATGGTTAGATTCAGCATATCAAAGAACCTCATATATTCAATTTTTGTTGAAATCAAACAAAGTTTAATTTTGGACCCCAATTTGGACCAACTTGAAAACTGGGCCCATAATCAAAAATCTAAATACATGTTTAGATTCAGCATATCAAAGAACCCCATATATTCAATTTTTGTTGAAATCAAACAAAGTTTAAATACTGGACCCTATCTTGGACCAACTTGAAAACTGGGCCCATAATCAAAAATCTAAACACATGTTTAGATTCAGCAAATCAAAGAACCCCAAGAATTCAATTTTTGTTAAAATCAAACTAAGTTTAATTTTGGACCCTTTGGACCTCAATGTAGACCAATTTAAAAAACAGGACCCAAAATTAAAAACCTAAATACACGGTTAGATTTGGAATATCAAAGAACCCCAATAATTCAATTTTAGATGAAATCAAACAAAGTTTAATTTTGGACCCTTTTGACCTCAATATGAACCAATTAGATAACGGGGTCCACAAATAAAAAATCTAAATACATGGTTAGATTCAGCATATCAAAGAACCCCATATATTCAATTTTTGTTGAAATCAAACAAAGTTTAATTTTGGACCCCAATTTGGACCAACTTGAAAACTGGGCCAAAAATCAAAAATCTAAATACATGTTTAGATTCAGCATATCAAAGAACCTCATATATTCAATTTTTGCTAAAATCAAACAAAGTTTAATTTTGGACCCTTTGGACATTAATGTAGACCAATTTGAAAACTGGACCCAAAATTAAAAATCTAAATACACTGTTAGATTCGGCATAACAAATAAATAAATGTGATCAAAGATTTTACAAATCTAATGCGCCATACTGTGCAATTAAAGATTACTTCTTGAAATTTTTCAATATTTGAAATTTGAAAAAAAATAATATTTGAAGAATAATTCTTTTTAATTTCTGAAATCTGAAATGAGAAAAAATTGACCCCCCACAATTTCTTTTTATCCCCTCCCCCCTTTTTCCCCCAAAAAAATTCTTTCCCTCAAGATATGGTCATAATCTCAATTCAAATTTCCAATGGAGTTGGCAACCATAATTACCCATTTAAATTTACCATAGTGCTAACTTAATCTATTTTATAATAGAATTAATAAAAATATAGTGTCAAATCTTTCATATGGATTTTTTTGTAAAAAAATGAGATGAAAACATTTGCAGATATTTTTACTGGTCTTCCTTTATAAATATGCATTTCTTTAAACATAATTTAAAAGCAGTGTAAGGGAAGTAACTAAAACGTTGTATTTGGATTACCTCCCTTACACTGTTTTAGATTATCTTTATTGTTCATTAACCATTACTTTATACATAATTTAAAAGCAGTGTAAGGGAGATAATTTCAATGATGTATTTGATTTATCTCCCTTACACTGCTTTAAATTATGTTTTGTACTTAAGTATTTGTCCATTAACCAGGACAACCTTGTTTTTCCCCCTTTTTTGCCCCTAATTCCTAAACGGTTTGAGCCATAACCCCCCAAAGCAAATCCTAACCATCCCTTTGTGGTATGGAAACTTGTAGTATAATTTCAGAGAGATCCATACACCGTTCCACAGTTATTGTCTGGAAACTAGAAAATGCTCATTTTTGGCCCCTTTTTGGCCCCTAATTCCTTAACTGTTGGTACCATAACCCCCAAAATCAATCCCAACCTTCCTTTTGTGGTATTTAACCTTATGGTCAAATTTCAAAAAGATCCATTCACTTAAACTAAAGTTAGAGTGCGAAAACCAATATGTATTCGGACGACGACGCCGGACGACGACGACGACGACGACGACGACGACGACGACGACGACGCCAACGTCATACCAATATACGACCACAAAATTTTTTTGCGGTCGTATAAAAAGGGGAAACCATGAATTCTGTTGGTCTTTACAGAGAGAATGTATGGCTTCACTTGGGTAAAAATCGGAAGTTTAGCCAGGAAAACAAAAGAAAGGATAACGCCCATTACATTCTGTGAGTAAGATGGTTTCAAAAAATCGGAAGTGCAAAAAAAAAAAAAAAATCGAGATTGTTCATTCGCTGAGTATATTTCTTAAATAGGCTGTATGGCTTCAAATCTAAATTACGTTATATAGATTTAATTCCTTTTTTAAACATTTTTTTTTAATTCTGCATTCCTATAAATTATACGCTTTACCACTTTTGCAAATCTATTAATATCTTTATCTGCCATTTCCTACCGAAAAGTTAACAGTAAAATCGATCTTTCAAATAAGATTATCAATTAACCCATGTTGATCCCCATTTTCCATGCGCAAACTCAGTAAACATAAATCTATATTTAACAAACGTTGACCAAATCAGCTGATCGATTATAAATGGATTATATGTTTTATTTGGATAAAAATAGACAGATTCTCGGGTCAACAGTGTTATTTGTCTTCTTTAATGAATAAAATAATATCTGTTTGGGAAAATCTAGGTCAGAATGGTTAAAACGTTAAATTTGATGCACAGCAAATCGCCATATTGTTTTTATTGCTTAACAGGTGTTTACAGGTGAGATTTGTGTACATGGCCTTTATGGCTTTAATCAAGACAATAACGACACCCAAGCCGAATTCAAACTTCCTGGACATTGATTACTATCCTTACTATGTAAACAAACCTAGTGGCTTGAACCCAGACTTACCCCACGCTGTGACTCGACAGAGTCCTGTACATTGTTTTTACTTACATTATAGAATAAACAACAGACTAATGATAAATATTATTAAATCACTAACACAAATCAATAAAATTTTTATTTTGTCTCGAACAAATCTATTTTTCTTGATGACCTGAAAACAAAAATAAGTTCAAAATGGCGACCGATAAAACCCTGATCTCAATGAAATGACCGAAATTATTTCTGTAAAAAAAAAAAAAAAAAGACCTAAATCCCAATAAATCATTTCGGTCTTTTCAGTTTCCAAATCGGTCATGTCTGGCATATATGACCGTTTCCGGACCCTTGGTAAGAACTGAATGCATATTTTGTTAAATTCTGGACCAAAGCACAATTTTAGTGTATAAAAGTAGTTAAATAGTTTCTGTTTTTTTTTTACAAAGATTAAGTGCTATAGTAAAATAGTTTGTTTTTCAATTGCAAGTAATCCAAGTATAGAGTAATTTTACAACAAATCAGTATCAAGTGTATTGGATGATTATTTCATTGGAATAGTAAACAAACTTTATTGTGATCTTTCCATAAAATAAAATACAATTTCATTATAGAAAAAAATATCTTATAGACCATTACTAATACTAATTATACTGAACTAGGGCTTCCAAAAAATCTTTGAGCCAGCTGGACATTTTATGTCTTATCCCGATTTTAATCCCTTAAGAATTAATAACAAAAGGCAATTATGGTAATCAGTTGGCCATCATATAACCAATGATTGACAATAAAAAACGATACTAAACTTTACTTTGATATAAATTCAATGTTCTGACGTAAACAGTAGAATTGACATTTCATCATTTGAAGTGTGCAACATCAGTGTACTAATATCTGCCTTAGACTCTTTATTTGTGCAAAATAACGTTTTCAAAAACTTTACTTTCGTTTTTGAAAAGCACATTTTTTCTAATATCGGATGTTGACTTGACAACGGTAAAACAGGGACCAGAGACGGATACGTAAAATCTGTGAGCATTTACAAAGCACCATTGATTTTAAGTAGATCTCTCCATGTTATTTTTTCAAGAAAATACTTGAAATGAACGTTAGATAAAGGTATCAATGATAATTTTAGCATTTTTTGAAGAATCGGGATGCATTTATTTATAATCAAATTTCCCACCTGTGCACATGCGCACTAGTTCAAACAACATTCAAACAACGTGGTTCTGACGACCTTTTTAAATTTTTCATCAAATCATATTTATAAACATATTTCTGATAATTTTAATCTTTTTGAATAAAGTAATTAGATGTAAACCGCTGAAATGCAAGAAAATAACTTTGAATAGACCAATCAATGTCCAGTACAAAATAGTTTACCTGTCAACTGAACAGGTAAAGTTCAGCTGTCCGACAACTAATTAACCTTGATTATAGTGAGAAGGTATTAAAGTAGGGTTTGTTTTTATAGTACTTATTCATCATGTCACTTTAATGACAGGAAATGTCTGGCTGTAGGCAAAAGGACGGGTCAAAAAGATCGCATAAACTTCCAAATTTTTTGGTGAATTATGTTAAAATGACTGTCTCTTAAGAAAGCCTTGAAAACTAAAAGTAGATGTTCGTTTCATGCTTTTCCCAGACGGACAATGTCCGGACAATTTAAAAATGTCCGTAATATATGACCGTTTGGAAGCCATGTTAACTAAACCAGTTCATATAAATAAACTCCCCATTAACTTACATGAATAACATATTAAAATAAAGATTGTACATCATGCTTACAGGGGAAAGATGAGCAGGGGCAGGGCACAGTAGCCCAGGTTACTAAATTTTGGGCTGGGCCAATAACTTTTAATAGGTCATGCTATTCTTTCGTTTTGTAGCAGTTTAGGTCCTTGATGGAACTTGTTAGTTTATTTCCTTGGTCAATATAAAGCGTTTAATCAACCTGTTTAATGACTAAGATAGTGTGAATTGAATTTACCTTTTTCTTGATATAAGCATTTGATGACTTAATCATTTTCTCTATTTCTCCAGCCAAATCTCTGCTCATTTCAGTAGAACATATAGATCCAAGAGTACACAGGGCTAAACTTTGAATATACTGTGTCTGGTGACCCAAATCACTGAAATAAATCAATCACATTTAATGTCTTATCAAACTGTGAAATAATTTTTGCTACTGATTTTTAAGATTGTCTAACATATTAATGCAGAAAATATATAACATTTCTGATCATTTCTGGAGCTTTAATTATGATAGAATCTTCAAGAAAATCATAATGCTGAAATTGAAAACTGATATCTTAATTTAATGTGACGATATGACATGTGCAATCTTTGTTGAAGTTGAATATCTTTTTCAAAAGTAATATAGAAAGCTTACCATTTTCACTGTATACTTAATTTTTTGAACATTTTGATCAATAAATAAGCAACTTAATGCAGACTGAGTATCACTTACTTCTTAAGTGAATTAGTAACTAAAAGATGAACTTCCTGTTTTTCATCTAGCAAAAGCATAGCACCAAGGTAACCAATTCTTTTATCTGTAAATTTCTGTGATGCCACAATTTTCAAACATTCAAGCTGAAAATAAAAAAAATTAAAACTATCACTTACAAATATGCTTTTATTAAACTAAATTTACAGGATCAACCTCTTCAAATTCAAAACATTTCATGATGTATTTTCCGGGGAGATTATTTAATTTTGGCCAATCAGAATAAGATATTGACTCTGGCAGCTTTGTTATTTATACAATCAGAACAAAAGACAATCATTTGTAGAAAATCTTTCAATTTCATTCCAAATTTTTTTTTAAAATTGGCAATCTAGTTTGAGGGAGAAAATAAATGTGATTTTCAATGAGAACAAGAGAAAACTGACATGTCAGCAAGGGCCTCGTTTGCACATTTTTATGTGAGGCAAAGAGACTGATGCATACAAAGAAAATGCTCATAGGTGGTCAATTTTCATGAATTTTGACACCAACAATTAATTTAGGATGTGTTCTCGATTAATATATGTTTTGTTAAAATTCAAGCAATATGACATGTATTTTGGTTGGCATTTTCATAAATGGTGGGCAACCAATAATTTTGACAGAGAATCATTTTGTAATAGCAAATGATACTTTTTCATTTAAATCCTAGAAAGAAATATGATTCTCAGAATTTATCATTAATTTTTATAAACAAAAGTGCACATGTTGAAATGTCTCACCTGTTTTACTTATCACTGAATTCATGTTGAAAGTCTGTTAGTATTAGTTAATATTACTTCAAGTATCACGTACACTTAACATTATCAATGATCTAGGAAAATAAGGTCATCGTCAGATGAAGCATGCCAGACAGACATGTATAACTTACAATCATTCTATACACCAAATATAGTGGTCAATCACTAATACTAATAGAACCTCAGAAACAGATCAAACCAAAAAATCTTAGCAATGACCAATGAACCATGAAGATGAGATCAAGATCATATGAACCCTGCCAGACAGACATGCACACCTTACAATCATTACATACACCAAATACAGTTGACCTATTGCTTATAAGTATCTGATAAAATAACAAAATTACAATAAAATGCTCCGCTGGGGCGCAGCTTGATACGACCGCAGAGGTCGAACCCTGAACAGTTGGGGCAAGTATGGACACAACATTCAAGCTTGATACAGCACTGAATTTGGATTGTAATTAAATATTTGACACAGCATAGGTTTCTGACACAGAATGAAAGTGGTCTAAGAACTTAAAAATTTTCAATTTACCTATTCATACATGTGATGGACTGTGAAACTCAGATCAGGAGATTGGGAAATTTTGGTCAGGAGATTAGGACTCAGATCAGGAGGTTTTTAATCGACATTAATTTTGTTGTAAATGTAACCGTGTGCTGTAAAAATGGTCTTTTAAAGTGTGTTTTCTTCAACTTTCCATCCAATTTATTATGTTTATAGTACCCTTGTACTTATAAAGTTTCTCCATCTTTATATTCTAAATGTTCAATCTAACATTGTTTTTTTCCAGTATGTTCTTTAAATTTTTTACTTCATATTCTATAAAACAATCATTGCAACCAGAACATTTTTTTAGCTGTCTGCAAATAGTTTTTATTTATTTTTTTTTTCTCTTGCAAATAGTTTTTATTTGCAAACTCAGAAATTCAATCTATCTGTAAAGTTAGGGTCATAGTTATTATATAAATTTCAATTTAAGCCTTAAAAGGAAGTATAGAATCCTCAAATAATTTTCAAATTATTATTTTTTTATTTGTCCTAAGACATTTAAAATTATTTAATAACCATCCTTTTATGATTATTTGTTCAATTTATATTTTATTTATATTCTTTTAAAAATTTTTATTATTAAAAGGAAAGTAACTTAAAACAGGATAAATCAAGGGAAGTAACCCAATAAATACACAGTTTTTGTTACACAACAGCAGTTAGCCTGAGGTAAAAATCGTTGCTTACCAGTATGTTTGACACCCAAGCTGACAAGTGAAGCCATATAATTATGCATGTTAATTGATTTACAGGTAAAATATAACTTCAGGTAATGTCAGTTACACCAGATGCCTGAGATGATATGTTGGGCAGAAATTTTTCATTCATGAAAAATTTCATACACGGGATTTTTTCCTCTTCAACGGGAGGTCGGGAGGAGACCCCTGAAAACGGGATTATTGTACTCCCGTCGGGAGGTTCACATGTATGCCTATTCAAACCATATCATTATTATTTGCTTTTATATATAAATCAGAAATAACCAATTTAAAATGGAAAATGTTAAAGAAAAAAAAGGAAAAAAAAAATCCCCCCCCCAATTTTTTGAACCCCCTTATGATTCACCGCCCCCAAACTCAATCCCAGCTTTCCCTTTGTGGTATGGTACCTTGCACTACAATTTCAGATAGATTCATACACTTGAACACAAGTTATTGTCTGGAAACTAGAAAAATGCTTGTTTTTTGGCCCCTTTTTGGCCCCAAATTCCTAAACGTTTAGGGCAATTACCCCCAAACTCAATTCCAGCTTTCCCTTTGTGATATGGAATCTTGCAGTACAATTTCATAAAGATCCATACACTTACACACAAGTTATTGTCCTGAAACTAGAAAAATGCATGTTTTTTTTGCCCTTTTATGGCCCCTAATTACTAAAATTTTGAGTGAAAACCCCCAAAATCAATCCCAGCCTTCCCTTTGTGATATGGAACCTTGTAGTACAATTTCATAAAGATCCATACACTTACAAACAAGTTATTGTCATGAAACTAGAAAAATGCTTGTTTTTTGCCCCTTTTTGGCCCCTAATTCCTAATATTTGGAGGAAATTACCCCAAAAATCAATCCCAGTATTCCCTTTGTAATATGGAACCTTGTAGTACAATTTCATAAAGATCCATACACTTACAAGCAAGTTATTGTCATGAAACTAGAAAAATGCTTGTTTTTTGCCCCTTTTTGGCCCCTAATTCCTAAAATTTGGAGACAATTACCCCCAAAATCAATCCCAGCATTCCCTTTGTGATATGGAACCTTGTGGTACAATGTCAGAGAGATCCATACACTTACACACAAGTTATGTCTGGAAGTTAAAAAAATGCTTATTTTTGGCCCCTTTTGGCCCTTAATTCCTTAACTGTTAGTACCATAACCCCCAAAATCAATCCCCACCTTCCTTTTGTGGTATTGAACCTTATGGTAAAATTTCAATGAGATCCATTCACTTAAACTAAAGTTAGAGTGCGAAAACTAATGTGTATTCGGACGACGACGCCGGAAACGACAACGACGACGACGACGCCAACGTCATACCAATATACGACCACAAAAATTTTTTTGCGGTCGTATAAAAACTTAGGCTTAAATTAAAATATTGTTTGTTTGCAGTTTACCGACCGACCCTCGAAAATCCGCCCGACTGTGAAAATATTATTGCTTTTAATTTGAAGAAATTATTTTTATTTTTCTATTGACGCAATCCGGAACTTCTGGTCGTTTCCGGAATTGATTAAAAGTCTGGGTCGATTACACGTTTCAAGTTCGGTTTTTCTTACCTTCTTGTCAAGCGTACATGGGACCGTTTAATAATAAAGCACATGGAGATTGTTTACAGGTATCGATGAAGACATGGAGGAGTACTTTGCGCTGTCGTTTTCTGTCAATTTAAAAACAAATAACAACCAAAAAAGTTTAATAGTAAACTGTTTATACAGATTCAGACATATATCATTGGCGATTTGAGAACGCATGATGCAGAGGATATTCATAAAACCGACACGATAACCGTTTCCATCTCAAACAGATCGGGTACAGAATCTCTTGAGCCTGACTTTATGGAACCAATATCAGTGGTTAAAGAATTTGACAGCAGCCTGAAGTATGCCATAGTTTCTATAAAACGTTGTGAAGACAACAAGGATGAAACCACTTCTCCATGACTTCATGGATACCTGTAAACACGCCAGGAAGGGCACATTTGAAATTTATTATCGATTGACAATGCCAAAACTATAAGAAGCCACAGAAACTACACAAAGATGTAAAGAAAATGAATGGTTGGCTTGTAAAAATAAATATACTTTCTCTGTTCTCTCTTCTATTGCCATGACTATGCTCCTTTAGGATAAGGGGAGCTACCCCACTCATTGCAATTCTTCTCCCTTTTATAATATTAAATATACCCAAACAGTGTGGCTTGTGTGAATTTAATTAAAACATGTCCTTAGGAGCTATGCTGCCAACTTTTTTTATGCAGTCAAAACATTTCAGTACAGACCATTTACTTTTAAAGGGGTGCTTTTGATTTCACCCCGAAGTCTAAGATTTTTTTGGTTTTAATTAAAGCCTGATCACATCAACATATCTTTCAAAATATAACCTTATTACATATAATTAGATATTGTTAGATTTATGAAAACAGTCAGATGTCAAATATATTTTTTCAAGTTGCCTTTTTTTTTTAAATTGAGGAAGATTCAACGGTTAATTTTTTTTTATTGATAACACACTTACATTGTCTTATGAATCTTTGATATCTACATTTTCCTAATGAAAATACTCTACTCATGAAAACTTTCTAGTAAAGAAGCATATGTCAGTGAACAATTTCTTTAAAACAATTCTAGTCATTCCTTGTTTATAAGATCTTATAAGTGTTCCAGTACTAGTATTTAATAATGTCATAAATTGGATAATCACACCATGTTATAGTTTCAATTTTGGTTGAAAAGTTTTTATCTGAAAATGCCTGTTCATTTCATGTTGGTTTTCAGCGTTTGTTGTTTAAAAAAAAAATTTCTTCACAAGAAACTTGGTTTGTGTAACTGCTTGTTTAAACTTCATTTTGGCTGATAAAATAAAATATTTTTCCTACCTACCGACCCTTCAGTCTGAAGGTACAGTCGGAAAACTGCAAACAAACATATTTTTAAGGTTGGCCTTATCATTTACCAATGAACCATGAAAATGAGGTTAAGGTCATATAATGAACTCTACCTGATGGACATGTAGACATTGCAAGGATCCCATATACCAAATATAGTTATCCTATTACTAATAATACACAAGTATTTCTCTTGTCAAAAACAATTTTTTTTTCAAGCAGTCCCTGAACCATGAAAATGAGGTAAAAAAAATATGGACATGCAATGTATGACAGACATAAATTTCGTAGCATAAGGTTTCTGTATACAAAGTATGAAGTATCCAAGTCTTCTACTTCCTGAAATATATTGCTTTGGACTAACAGTTAACGACTTTGCTGCCGCCAACAGATTGTAAACCCTATGTCTCGCATTTTGCAACTTTCGTCATATGTGAGACAAAAACTAAGTTTTTAACACAATTTTGACTTGAGGAAACAATTTGGAATGCATATTTTGCCTAAAACATTATAAAACATTATAAGAAGACATTTCTCAATTTTTTTATTTTTTTTCAAAATTAATGAACGGAGTACTAGTTTCACCAAAATATATAATGCTCATCTGCATTTTATGCACAGCAACTATACAAAATCTTATTGGCCTCCTACCTATACTTTTGGGGTTTTTGTATTTACAAAAGACATTTCACAAACTTGAAAAAAAAGTTTTTTCCAAAATTAATGAGCTGAATTTCAACAAAATAGAATATGAACATTGTCATATTATGCACAACTGTGCAAAATTTTATAGGCCTCCTACCTATACTTTTTTTTTTTCGCTTACAAAAAAAGACACACAGATAAAGTGAAAATTATAGGGCTTGTGCATCTTGATGCAGGGTCCTAACAATGTGTCTCGACATGCTCAATACTGCCACTGGGCTACTAAGGGGGAGTATGTACTTATGTATTAATTGCTTATACCTGTCCAAAATGTGCTGGATAACCCAGCATGTGGATATAAAGCAGTTTGGCAATATTCCTACATCTGTATGTATTGTCTGGGTCTCGGAAGGAATCCCTTATTGCGGCACATTCTTTTTGTACTACTGCTCTCTCATCAGCTGCTGTTCTGGCTGACCTGATCTCTCTAATGAGGTCCCTTAGCCGCTTGGGCGTAGGTGTAGTCAGTGACCTGTAAAAATCAGCAAATTTACATTGAATTAAGAGATCATAAACAATCGCTGTAATTTATAGATTAACACTTCAATCATTTAACAACAGGTAAAGTGTTTGCTGAATCTTGTTTACGATTGTGAGTCTTGTACATGTATAAACGGAATCTTCTAATAATCAACTTTTTTTTTCGCTGGATGAGCACCGAACAATCAATCACTTGAAGTTATGTTAAAATCAAAAGACATTTTACAAACTATATTCTTAATTTCTAAGCAATGTTTGTTGTCTTTCAATGCTATTACAATCCAAATTACCTCTGTTGCATTTTTTCGTTTCTTTTTCATTTGCTTTCCCCTATGTGCTTGTTTTCATTTTGTTTTTGTGATTAAAAATCAATATTTTTTATTAAATCTTATATTAACATCAATGATAAGCAAACAGAAAATACAGATAATGTTTTGAACTTGAAGCAACATGTGATTACAAATTCGCAATTTCTAAACACATTTTTAGAATAAAAGCCAATGTGGGGCAAATGTCAAGGAGACCATAATTTTGAAACTATACAAGTTAGCCAAAATAGTGTTACCTTCATAACATGTTATTGTAACTGAACAATATTTTAAGGATTTATTCTAATTTCTTTTTTCACAAATGCAAAAGATGTGCATTCATCAAAGACTGAGCAATCTCTTTCACTTCTAGTCTAAATAGCATGTATAATTATGTGAGGTATACATGTATATGAATTATTAATGGTGTTAAAATATGAAAAATTACAGTTAGCAAATTATAGAAAATATTTACACCAACACCAAATATAATTGTTCGGGACCAATTATACTAAGTTCAGTTGTGACTTATGTTGGTCTTTAACAATTTTAATTACTGCTACATGAATACAGACATGTACAATCTATTTTTTTCTGAGCCCAGTGAGGCACAGTTGTTTCTTCATAATAAAAAGAAAGAAATTGGTAAAATGTTTCATTACTCCAGCAAAAACATGCCAGAAAGTGAACACAGTATAAAAGGTCCAAGCAGTTCTTAGAGATTGTTTATTCTGATTGACATGATTATGAATGCATTATAATACGTCAATGTAAGCTATAAAGAAGCTTAAATAGCGTTCATTTAATTGAAAAGTTCAATACTAATACCGGTAATAGCTGCAGAAATAATAATCGATAACATTGTTATAATTGATTATGGAAATGCTGCTTCTGTTCAGTCATTTTCTTTTGAAGACCAGAAGGTTTCAAATTAGTCCCCTTTTCTTGTGTTTATTATGAGCACGCTTATTTCGTTGTGCGAAAATGTCTGATCAATAAAAAGCTTTTTAACCAATCTTAAAGTGTACAAACATAGTTTGACTGTTCTTATGACAAGAGAAAGATAATCATATCACACAGAATTCCTTTACCTGATAATGGTTGACATTTTGCAGGAATGTTTTTCTTTGAATGGACTGCAACAGGTTTACTAACAAACTCATGCAAGAATCATACTAGCAGGATATATACCTAAAAGTCACAGAAGCAAACATATAATACTTAATACACCTTGACCACTTTCTCACATGCATTAAATGTTTATACAAAAGGACCGTAAACTATATTTAATTTTTTTTGAGTAAAGAAACAACTTGTGTTTATGCAAAAATCGAAAAAAACGGCAAAGAGCGAAAAAAAAGACAAAATGTATCATATAACTAACCATTATTTAGCATATATTAAAATGTACGTTTTATAAACTAAAGGAGGAATGGATATGTTTTATTTCTTTAAATTACAAACACCATAAGTGCCCTTTGGTTTTTTCCTATTCACAAAAAAAGCCCTGAAGAGTCCATTTAAATCTTAAGAACAGACAAAGTTACTCAATATATAATTAACAATAAGCAAATATAGGAGTGGGTAGTAAACTACAATAACCATTGATCGTTTTACTAAAAAAGTGAACGCTGTAAAAATTATTTTTTGCAAAGCAGTGAAAGGGTTTTGGTGTTTGGCATTCAAAGGGTCGCTCAGGAGACATGAAAAAGACAAAAATTTGTTTTTGGTCTTACAGAATTTGGAAATGTTTACGAGCTGAGAAGTACTGTCTAATGAGAATCCGAGTCCGTTCGCCCTGATTCGCATTCGCTCTAGTACCTGAAATATTTGGTCAGATCATACGTTTTCTTACGTCATATGAATTCGTACTATGCATGCTTTTTCAATGGAAATTGTGACGTCACAATGCATTCTAAATAGCACGAAAACCCATGAGACGAGGATTTATGTTGTATTGATGCTACCAGATAATGATTTTTCTATTGTGATTTGCATTGAATATTCTTGCCAGAATATTCATCATGTTGAATGTGGACAGTATTTTGAAGAAGAAGTGTTCAGGAACTGGAGACCAAGTTATCTGTATGAATTTATCTTTTTTGAAACCTTGTAACATTCAATACAATCCAAACAGGTATAACAAGATCCAACTCACTCAACACCTTGAGATCAAAGAAGCCAAGCGACGAAAACAATTTCCCTTTAGGCCAAAAAAAAATATATGTCTGTTTACATTTACCCGACCGACCCTACTTTTGAGCGCCGACCCTTAGTCATTTTATTTCTGTCGTAAAGTGAAAAATAAACTGAACTCATGTCAAAAGTGAAGTTAGTGTTGCCAATAATATAAATCAATTGCCTGATACATCCCAATGTTCACAATCGTGAATATGACAGCTGTTTTAAGGAAATTCGCGACTCGTGTGATGAAATAAACACTTTGCCGCCATTTTTTTCCAACCAATAACAAAGGGATATAATCCAATCATTAAAAATATGGGTAAACTCGGCCCATGATTAACTCAGACCATGACAAGACGAAATCGCACGACTCAAAATCATGTAAAAAAAATAAAATAAAACGGAAATACCGACCTACCTACCCTATTTTTTTAAAGTATGTATCCTTGAACAGACATTTATTTTTTTTTGGCTTTAATGTCTTGTTTTAACTCATTCCAAGCTGACTTGTTTATTTAAAATAAAAAACAATTTCATTATTAATCCATCAAAAACAATAACTACAACAATCAGTGAGACCAAATACATCGTAATCATATCTAATCAGTATTCTAAATTACAAAACTTTGAATACTAAGGCTTTTCCACCTCAGAAATATATTACCTTAGCTGTATTTGGCAAAACTTTTAGGAACTTTGGGTCCTCAATGCTCTTCAACTTCGCACTTTATTTGGCCTTATTAATTAACTTTTTTGATTCGAGCGGCACTGATGGTCTTTTGTAGACCAAACGTGTGTCTGGCGTAAAAGTTTCAATCTTGGTATCTAAGACGAGTTTATTTACAATCAACAGTCATTAAAAGTAATTCTGAATGAAAATGCAACAATAAAGCCAATTAGCCTGATTAATGCTCCAAAGCAAAAACCTTTGGAAAATTTAGATACATTTTTAATATTTACCATTTAAATATCTGAATAAGATTACAAAACTTTAAATTAAACCATTAATATAATTTTTTTTATAAAAGTTAAGGCGAACTGACCCTGGTCGAATGGACTCTATGGGCGAACGGACTCAGGGTGAACGGACCAAGGGCGAACATGTAATTAGGGTGAACGCCAGAATGGACCCGATACCATCTAATGTAGTAATGAGAGGTCTTGTTGTGATATTTATCTGAGCAGGACTCCTGCAAGCGGTTTCTTTTATATGTTTGGCAACTCAAAATATTATTATTGCAGGATTCCTGCAAGTGGTTTCTTTTATATGTTTGGCAACTCAAAATGTTATTATTAACATGTTAAAGAAGACAATGACCAATCAGCATCCATACCAGACATAACTGTCGTTAGGACCACTATCACTGTACTATATCAATGTGAGCAAATCATGCCAAATGGGTGGGCTTAAAAAAAAATCCATGGCTGCAACATTTGTTAAAAGCTTAATTAAAATTTAGTTCGCCGACCGGTTATGCTAGGTAGGAGGGTCAACATCATTAATCAACAGGTAGAAATCTAATTACCGCATCATTTTGACAGTTAGTAAAGTTTCTGTCTATTCTGGTATTTGTTTATCTATCAAGTATACGGACTGCTTTTAAAATCTCCCAAATCTAGAAATAATCAGTCTTTCAGACCGGAAATTGTCAAGGAAAAAAGGTATCTTGTCATCTAAATCTATCAATATGGCTGTTGACCGAAGAACAAACTACGCGTAAATAAAGTAGATCGCTATATCATTAATGGTTCTGTTAATAAACTGGCATGTTAGTACATATGATACATGCATAAATAAGATATATGTAGAATTAAAAATGGAATATTTACTTTCTGTCCATGTAAATTATAATTATAAATTCCGGATGTAACAGTGTACAAACACCGGAAGAAAAATAGTGCCAATGTGGCAAACGCTACGTCATTTTACAGTGACACCTGTTCCGCTATTATCTACCCTTGATTTGCCCGCCATTTGTGTTTCTTTAAAAATGCACTTATAAATTATTTTATGTATTTTTTTAAGTGATATAAATATGCTTGTAATGCCGTCTCTGCATTTTCCAAATTAAAATCTTGCAATCTCACTCGTGTATCACCTACCACATATATTATCACGTAGTACATGTAGTTTTTTATTAAGTATGAACAAGGATTTGTATAGTACCTTTAGTACAGAACCACACTATCCCCAAGTGTGTCATGGTTAAAAATAAACATTGAACATCCATTACCGATCACACGATCATTACTAGTAGACATGCGTTTCTAATATATATGTAAAAGTTATTATGTACAATTATATACAAATAATTTTTTGGGTGTATCTAATGGCTTTTTTTTTTTTTTTTTTTTTTTTTATGTCATATTTTTTTATTAAAAAATAAAGTTGACTCTGAAATCGGAATCAATATCCGATTAATGACCTCATTAAGATCATTACATATAACTATAATGCTTATCCTGGCATGTTCAAATACCATGAGTATTATCATTTCCATCATCTAATAGTCAAAAATAGGGAAATCTGTTTTTCTTTCAGTCGAAGGGGATATATATCTTAGGAAAGGCAGCAACTTTTGATTTGACGAATCACTATAAAAAACAAAAGTTCTAAGATAAGATGAGATATTTTATTGGTTTAAAATCCAAAATTACAGGATTGATACCAATTTTGACAATAATCATTGACTATACATAGGCCATACAAACACATATCTGTCAACATTTGTATACAGTGTATATATATATATATATATATATATATATATATATATATATATATATATCTTGTTAAAGGGGTCTAAATACAGCACAAACAACATTTTCCAAAAGACCAAAAATGTGAAAAAGTATATTTTAATTATACAAAACGCATTTGACTAACAGGTCGAACAACAAATGTTCTTAAACCCTGCTGACTGCCATTGGCGATTGCCAAATAAACGGATCACAGATGTAATAAATGGATCTTAATTATAAATTTAATATTAAACAGAAAACAATAAACTTGCGGAAAAGATGGTATACCGCAAACAAAAGGTGCAAAGATTTTTGAACACCATATCCGGATTTCGACAATTAATGTCTCTTCAGTGATGTTAGGAATCGAAACGTTATTTGGAAGGCCATATAATTTACCTCAATTTAGGATAGACTCTTGAATTTTGAAAGAGTCGAAATAGGATGAACGGATCATATAAACCCGAAGGCAAATATAATACAAGCCCAAACGAAAAAATATAAACAAGTCTATATATATATATATATATATATATATATATATATGCCAATGAACGTCAACAAGTGACAAATAAAATTATTCAATTTAATATGTCAAAAGTCAGATTTATTGTTAACAATTGGCAAACATTTTATTGGTTTTCAATAATAAAGACAAAACCATTTTATGTATACTTGCAAATTTCATGCAAACTATTTATGAAGTGAGAAACAAGGACATTCTTAATATATGTTTACATATTATTTCTCACGGTAAACATTTTGTGTTATGACATCATACAAAAGATTTAAACTGTACTTAAATCATTTAATATAACTACTAAAATAACGTCATATGTCAGAACATAGTTTATATCATTGCTACCTCTATTTGGATCATTCAATTCACATACCATGTATGTATCTGTATATGCCCCACAAGGGCTCCGAATTGGAAATAAAATATGTTTAATGTTTAATGTTTATATGATGAACACGATGAACGTTCACTCGAAAGGTGCATATCACACAAATTAAGAGTTTCAAAAATGAAATTTTGCCGTGACTTGTTCAATCATATGGTAATCATGACCAACTGCGTATATACTCATATGGACCGACCATACGCAGGGGCGGATCATCAGGCGGGGCGTGGCAGGCGTGCGCCCCCCCTAAAATTTGCAAAGCTGGTGGTTGAGTTTGGTATCGATATATACATCGATGTCTAACCCCTCTGTAAAATCTATCCTACAACGCTTACTTCTAGATTTGGATGGAGTATAGAAGTATCGGCGATGGCATGCTTTCTGTGAGCTGTATTGACTGGTGACAATGTCCGTCTAACTCTTGATGTTGGTTCTCCACGATACTTTGTTGGTGTGAGTGGTATAAAAAAATATACCAATAACTGTGCCCCTGGCTTGCGCTTGTCAGATGTTGTCTACGTTTGTACTGGTGGTAGGTTCATGGGTAGCAATTGAAGCAACGGCTTTTTTGGAGTCCATCCACTGGGTGAAACGCTGAGCATTTCGTCTCCTGGTAGATGGAGGCTTCTGTTTCCTTTGTAGGACCAGCTTAGGGTTCCTGGATGTGGTGTCCGGGTCCTTGGCCTTGATCCAGATGAGTTGAACTGTAACATGGTTAGAACTAGCGGTAAATTTCCATTCTGGTTCGTTTCCTTCTTTAACATCATGGTGGCTAGTAGCGCTTTTAAATCATTTGGAATTTCCATAATGAGTGCTCACGGGGTTAAAGGTTCAAAGTATAAAGTAAAAATTACTAAGAAGTTATAATTATAGTAAAATAATTTTTACATGGTTATTATTGATTTGTCCTTACGAAACGCAATATGTCGACTTTGGAAAATAACTTCTAGAAATATCTAAATGAATTGTTAAACAATAAGTCACATGCTTAACTCAAAGGAACGTTGCATGGTCATTGAATCCTCTTTTTCTTTATCAAATTTCTTTTGGTGTTTAAATTTGATTTTATTACATTATAATTACTTAACAGCTCACAAATTCAAACCCAATTCCCCAAATTAATGTGTATATGGTAAAGTTTAAGTATTGCCATGATATGGGAAGCTCAAAATCATTCGGATGAAAGAGAAATCACAGTTTCTAAAAGCAAATTCAAAGCCAATTACAACAAATGAATTAATCATGTCCCCAAGACTTAAATATCAATAAGTACACATCCAGACGTCATAAGCAGTCTAGCTAATTTTGTAGATATGGCAAATTTCACGTTTTGTTCTTAGAACCGGAAAAATAATTCACAGGAATAGGACAGTGACATAACGGAAGAGAGATTCTTAGATTTCATTGAACAGTTTAGAAGTGTTCCGGTTAAGAAATGCTTACAAGATGTTTAAATGCTATAACTGTTTATTGCAGATAAATCTTATTCTCAAAATATTATATTTATGGTCATTTCTAAATACATCTAAATATTCTGTTATAAATCTTGCAGAAAAGATTATTTCAAGAATTCGTTTGAACAAAAAATAGACAATGAAAATTTAAAAATAAAATTACTTGCATTTCTTTAGAAGAGCGCTCTAACATTACATTTGAATTTTATAAAGAATTTTGTGTGTCACACTGACAGTCCTGCATCGAATACAGTAAAATAATAACCTTTGAAATAAAAGATAGAGACATTTTCTTTTTGGGTTGTACTTTACGGAACTTAAAATGAACGAATATAATCACGAGATGAAATTTACGGTAACAAAAAACTGGGACTAGTATCCTTCGGAAAACTGATTTCGAGGAGGATGGTTATGATGTCATGATTGGGAAAGAAGTCTATGCATTTTATTTAATAAACTTTAATAAAAGATTGCTGCATTTTGTATGGGCCATTAAAATTCTATTTGGGCAACCAAAATTTGATTCTCTGAAAAAAGAAGTGGCCCATTTTTTTTTCATTTGTACCACCAGGGTAAACAAATGAGTTTCGAGCACTGAGAATACTAACAATATATTATGTCCCAGCAAGAAAATAAGATAAAAACAAACACAACAACTGCTTGAAAAGGACGTTTATTTTAAATCTGTAGCACCATATTGATTCAGCCGGGTCTACTTAGTTTATTTGTCATTTTCGTTGGTGAATTTCTAGTCCTTTTCTTTGGTCTTTAAACTTCAAAGAACCTTTAACTGTAAAGCCGTATGGTTTTTTGACAATTAGCGTACCAAAGAACTACGGATTCTATGGTCCGCAAATTGTCAAAAATTATCATAAGGACCTAGAAGAGCTACGGTTCCGCAACAAACACCAAAGTATGATTGTGGTCTCTTCTGACGTTCTGTAGTGCCTGTGATCGCACATGTATTTAAATTCTTATTGAAAAGGCCAGTTTAAGGCCAAGATTTGTTTTAAAGCTGGCTGTGTTGGCCTCTTTTGTTTTAAGCCAGGATGCACTTCCCTTTTTTAATTTGACGGAGAATCTCTTTTTGTTCTTGATTTCCTTTATGGTTTCTGAAGGCAACATGGCGGACATTTTGATGGATCTTGTAACCTCGGATTTTAAAGAGTCTAATACCGTTATACACGCATTCAGATATTGATGCAGTGCAAATGCAATGCATCTTGGATATCTATTAAATATAAAAAAACATGTTCCTACCTTCAAGTATCAGATTTACTCCCGTTTGAGCACCAAGTTCTTCGAACACTCATTTTGTTTACCAACAAACTCAAGTTCAACCTTTGTTTTTAGGACGAAATGCGTTTAAACTTTTCATTATCTGTTTTGGAATACAAGGTTTGATCCTACCAATGGTTTCTACGTCCATAAATTCAGGATCCTTTGGTTCACACAAGAATTTCCACCATTCAAAAGTAACTAGGAAGCACATATACTCAAGTGGCCATGTTTCCATGTTTTTTCCGTGTCAGTTTTCTTGGTGCTCTCTATCACGTCCGCGTTATTAACATAAACGAAGCACCTGCAGGAATTTTGTCATTCTTGTTTTATCAAGTAGTCAGCAAAAGTAACATATAAGAGAAAAAAAAAGTAACAAAGATGCCAAGCCCAAACAGACGTTCACGATCCAGGTCTAGGAGTAGGAGCAAATCTCCAAAGAGGAGTCCAGCCAAGAAGACCAGAAAGACACCAAAAAAGCCAAGAGCAAAAGGTGGAGCCCTGAAGCCAACAACTTTATCCTTGATTGTTGCTGCGATCAATGCAATGAAGAATAAGAAGGGATCATCTGCCCAAGCCATCAGAAAGTACATCCTAGCTAACAACAAAGGGGTTAGTGCAGCTCGTCTAGGAACTGCCATGAAACTAGCCTTTGCAAAGGGATTGAAATCTGGTGTTTTAGTCAGACCAAAATCATCCGCTGGTGCATCTGGTGCAACTGGTAGCTTCCGTGTTGGTAAAGCCCCAGCTTCACCCAAGAAAAGGTCAAAGAAACCAAAGTCACCAAAGAAAAAGAGATCAAAGAAACCCAAAAACAAGTCAAACAACGCCAAGGCTAAAAGGTCGCCGCGAAAGAAGACTGCAGTTAAAAAGTCGTCGAAGTCAAAAGCAAAAACATCAAAGAAGCCGAAATCTCCTAAAAAGAAGGCCGCCAAGAAACCAGCAAAGAAGAGAGTAAAGAAATCACCAAAGAAGGCCAAGAAATCTCCAAAGAAGTCTAAGAAGTAGACCTGAATCGACAGATTAAAGAAAACCAAAGGCCCTTTTCAGGGCCAACCAATTTTTCCAAAAAGAGTCTTATATGTTGTATCAGTAAACAATTAAATACTCAAATCTGAAGACAACTTTGCCATTGATCGTTTGACATCAATTTCGTTTGGTTAAATCCTCTTCTCGTTTCCACTCTTCTTTCTACATGGCCACAAATATTTTTCACCTACTTTTTTTCCTATATATTTCGTATAAACACACATTTTTTCAAAATTATTTTGAAGGCATTTATGGTTCGTTCGACTTTTACAAATAAGGTTTTGAAAGACACAGAATTGTCTAAAGAATGTTTGTTTATTTGATGAACATGTATAGTAATTTTTTACAATTTAATTTGGTTGAAATATATAGCAACTTTCTTTACAGAAAATAATATTTGTGTTTATCTTGCGAGAAAATAAAAATGCTCCACAACAAATATACAACCAAACAAACAAATAAACCTATGAAAATTCTGCTTCTATCGGTACCAAGTTATTTAAAATCAAACTATAAATTACCCCAAAATAATATTTAAAAAAAACGTAATTTTATATAAAATATATAATGAAAAATCCCAAGTGACGAATACTTAAGGCCACACTCTGTATTTAGATTTCAAAAGGTAATACATATATATAAATAACTGGTTACTGTAAATCGCATATTTTTATTTTGAATTATGTATACCGGTATCACTTTGGCTAGCTGCGAAAACGTAGCTCTATTGTCCTTTGAAAATTTGTTTGCCAACAAATACTTTTTCCATATCCTGTTGGTAAAATACCAACAGAATGGTTCCCCCTCAACACATTCTCCATAACTTTAGTTTGTTTTTCTTATAAGGGGAAGGGAAATTTATATTTTACCCTAATTTTCTCCTCATATATCTTTTCCACATCCATTTTGGCTAAGAAAAATCCTTAATAAATGTTTTTTTTACAAGTATCATATTTTACAACTTTTGTCAATAAAATGTAAATTCAACAAAAGTATATTTTAACAAAACGCATTTGACTAGCAGGTCGAACAACGGATGTTCTTATACCCTGCTGACTGCCATTGGCGATTGCAAAATAAACGGATCACCGGATCTAAACTATTCATTTAATACCACCAAACAGAAAACAATAAACTTGCGGAAAAGATGGTATACCGCAAACAAAAGGCGCAAAAATTAATACACCATATCCGGATTTCGACAATTAATGTCTCTTCGGTGATGTTAGGAATCGAAACGGTATATGGAAGGCCATATAATTTACCTCAATTAAGGATAGACTATTGAATTTGGAAGAGTCGAAATAGGATGAACGGATCATATACACTCGAAGGCAAATATAATACAAGCCCAAACGAAAAAATATAAACAAGTCTAAATTGAAAACAACGTTCAAACCTATAATTGTGTTGGATAAAAACCGCAATTTTTATACGTCTGTATGCAAAACAAATTTCTTGGTAGAGGGGTCTAATATATATACAAGGTTTGACGTTGTTTTTAATTTAGGCTTGTTTATATTTTTTCGTATGGGCTTGTTATGCGTTTACTTTTCTACATTGGCTAGAGGTATAGGGGGAGGGTTGAGATCTCATAAACATGTTTAACCCCGCCGCATTTTTGCGCCTGTCCCAAGTCAGGAGCCTCTAGCCTTTGTTAGTCTTGTATTATTTTTAATTTTAGTTTCTTGTGTACAATTTGGAGCGTAGTATGGCGTTCATTATCACTGAACTAGTATTTATATTTGTTTAGGGGCCAGCTGAAGGACGCCTCCGGGTGCGGGAATTTCTCGCTGCATTGAAGACCTGTTGGTGACCTTCTGCTGTTGTCTGTTCTATGGTCGGGTTGTTGTCTCTTTGACACATTCCCGATTTCCATTCTCAATTTTATTGTATTATATTTGCTTTTGGATGACATGATGATGATGATGCCGATAAAGATAACGATAATTAAAGTCCAGAGACAATTTGAAGGTATATTCGAGATGAGAACATGTTAATAGATATAAGAAGATGTGATATGAGTGCCAATGAGACAACTCTCCATCCAAGTCACAATTTGTAAACGTAAACCATTATAGGTCATAGTACAGCCTTCAACACGGAGCCTTGGCTCACATCGAACAGCAAGCTATAAAGGGCCCGAAAAATGACTCGTGTAAAACCATTCAAACAGGGAACCCAACGGTCTAATCTATATAAAGAACGAGAAACGAGATATCGGTGAGCATAGCAAGGCAAAATTTTTTGACAATTAAATGCAAACAAATATTTTTTCCATTCAAAAATTTCTAAGCACTCTAAATCTGCCACAGTTAAGAGTCTGCAGGAAGACATATCAACTTATTTGGGCACATTATTCTGAATCCTAACCAACCAGTCTTTGCTCTTACTCTAGACTTGCTACATGTCCCTTCCTTAATATATTTTTTTAATTTTGCCCCTTTAACAATTTTACTGCTATATTAAACTAGGAGATTACCATTATACTGACATGCCCAGGTCCTCCACCAATATATAACCGGGGGTTTTCCGGCTATAGTAATTCAAAGACGGAATACCAATACTTTCAACTTTATTAGCAAGGTCCGGACAGTACCAGACCTAAGACCTAAACTGATTTCAAAATAACATACAAAAGTATAAATAAAACAGTATCTATAGAAAAGGATTAGTGTCCAACGGATTAACTTCTTATCGTCAAGGTGGTTTCCATTACGACAAACATATTTTTAACAATTGAATAAATTAAACACAAAGAAAGGTAAAAGGTGAGATAAACGGATTAACAAATTGTCACTTAATTTAGCACTTAAAATATATTGTCTGAATTGGCTTTATTTCTACTTCACTTGTGTCCAAATCTTCCTGGTTATTCTTTCTCCAAGGGTAATCAGTATACTGGAAGTTAACAGTAAACATATAAATTAGTAAGAAAGAAATAAAAGAAAGGGAATTGCAGCAAGTCTACTCTTACTCCTTAATGCCATGTGTTTATCACAGAAGCAGCAAATATCAATTTTAAAATCTTTGATTTGTTCAGCTGGGGATTGAACCCACGACCTCCAACACTCAAGACTGGTGCACCAAGACATTTAAAAAGCAATGAGACCAAGGTCAGGTGAATCCTGCCTGATAAGACACGAGGAACTTATAAGAATCTAAGATACCAAATTGTGCTATCCTATAACTCATAATAAGCAAGAAATTCATGTGATGAAAAAGCTATGGTATTTTAGAAGTTGCTGAACCATGAAACTGATGTTAAGGATAATAGATATATGCCAAATGGATAAATTAATGCATCTGTATACTAAGTATGAAACATTTAGATCTTCTACCTTCTGAAACAAACAGCTTATTACAAAAAGTTTACCTTGTAAATGCTACAACCGCCATAGTTTTGAGATTTTAGCAACTAATTGGGTTACAAATCATTATGGAAGGACAATAACTCCTATAACTTATTTGTAGTTCTTGTCTAGCTGATAATGTTTGCTTTAAAAGTTTATCTTTATCTATTGTAGCTTTCAAGATTAAAGCAAAAAAAAAATAATGGACAAAAATAGTCATTGAAAGGCAATAACTGCAGGTACTTTTTTATGCAATGATAAAGACCCCTCCCTCTTTCTTTCCACAATGAGTTTGTTACCTTGTGGAAAGGGAGAATGAGGGGCATTTACCATTGCATGAAAGAAGTTCCTGTGGCAATAACTCCTATTCAAAGTTAATGACAATTTTTGTCATTTCATATCTATTTGTATATTTTATTTTGCATTTATCCTGTTTAGATATCCTATCTACTATAGTTCTGCCAAAACACAAAACAAATTGTCAATTTTCACCATTTAAAGGTCAATAACCCGTTTAGGACTCTTATATATATGTAAGGTACAGAGTGATATTGGTTCCTAATGAAGCCTTTGGGAAATAAACTCTTCTGCTACTCTTATGCCAATTCTTTTAAATTTCTTATTTTCTATTGATGGGATTAAGAACTTAACTATTTGGTTCTGATTAGTCAAAGTTTCTTCTCTTCTAGAAATATGCTGCAGAATAATTAAGAATTCTTGAGGAATTCATATTTGATTATCAATTGAAATACATATTACCAGAAGTTTTGCATTACAATTGATGTACATTCTTTCTTTGTCTGTGAATCTACAAGGCTAAATATTCTAAAAATGGTTTGGATATAATGACCGAGACCCTCTTTACAATTATTCCTCGCTTGCTCCTGATCTATACATGCAAGCATTGCATCATGTCTTATCACTAATTGTCCACCATTACTGGACAACACAGATGTTTCTGTAAAATTTACCGTCTGACACCAGAGAGAAGGTCTGATGGCATAATGCAAAAGTGATACTTGTATGACATTTTTAGTTCAATTCTCCCAAAATCTCAGCGTTGCAGTATCCAACAAGACCAATACTGGGTCTGCCCCAGCATCGCTGCATGTAGCTGTTTTAGGTAACATGAATACTGAAGCATAACAAATCATTCCCTTATATTAAAGACAAAAAAATGTGACAAAATTTTCCTTATACAATGAGTGTTGTAAAATTTCGAATATCGGCAAACAGGAAGTGGCTACATGGCAGATGTAAAAAATGTTACTCATTACAACTAAACATAATTGAGCTGCAGCCAAAACATAAAATGATTAACTTCAGTACAAACCAAGAATAGTTTGAGAAAAATTTTCCTTTTATAATGAGTGCTGTAAAATTTCAAACTATTGGCAAACAGGAAGAGGCTGGAGGATGGATGTAACTATTGCTTGCTCGCTTCAACTTAACATAATCAAGCTGCAGACCAAATATTAAACCATTCCCCTTGATAGAAGCCAAGTAAAGTTTGACAAAAATATTCTTTGTACAATGAGTGGTGTAAAATTTCAAACAATGGCAAACAGGAAGGGGCTGCAGGGCAGATGTAAAAAAATTGCTTACTGATTACAACTCAGCATTATCAAGCTGAAGACCAAATAATCATTCCCTTTCATAGAAGCTAAGAAAACTTTGATGAAAGTGTTCTACCCAAGGTCTTTTGGATGGACGGAAAGATTCGAGCGGTTACTAGACCTGCTTTGCCTTTGGCAATGTAGGTAAAAATAACTATAAAGTCTAATTGGTACCTACAAACAATGTTTCAGGCATATAAAAGCCATTATTTTTACATATTAAATTTATTACTAAGGATTTTCATTTTCCAACATTTTGGGTTGAACTAATTAATAACTCTGCATTTAAATTAAAAGCCTTCAGTAAAGTATTATTTCTGCTTGTTATTTTCATAATGAAATTGCACATACAACTCAATTGGCTTCTTACTTTTATCTCAATACATGTGATGGAATGGATACAAAAATACACAAGTTTCATCCTACCTACATCACACAGTACAACCGATTGTTAATGTGTGTTACAAACATGAAGGCTACAATAATGCACAACTATAAAGCACAAAGAAGGATTTTTTTTCAATCTTTTAATTATTCACTTTTTGAATAAAATATGCTATAAGTTGCTCCATTTTAATGAATATTGGCAAATAAATCAGCACAATTAATGATAAAGTACATTTTTCCATGTTTTAAACTGTTTATTTTGGATTATGAACAGAATCTTTATGTATTTTCTTTTGCAATCCTCAATAAGATACTTGACGAAAATCTTAACCACATAATAAATGAATTTCATAGCAGATTTTCCCTTCAAACAGAAAGAAAAAGGAAAAATATGTTATTAATTTAAACAACACATGTTTAGCTGTTACTGTTGTATACTTCACTATCTATTGGTACATGTATTATATATCTCTTAAATAAATTGTATTATACTAATACAAATGTATTATACTTGATAATATATAAAATTCTAAGTAACTTTTATAAGAGTATGCACAAAAATTCTATCATTAAAGACAGTTTACAACACAAATAGAATTTAGCCAATAATCATGATAATGTGATGGTATTACTTATATTCTAGTTGATAAACTTATGCAAATAATCAAATGTTCACAGTTCTTTAAAAGATGCTTCAAGATTAAATTACAATCTATTTATGCTGCTAAACCAAACATCTGATAAATTCTCCTCATGATAACATGAATGTTTTTGTTTTTTCCTTAGTTGTGTTGGTAAAATTGTTAATGATCATAATTTTGCACATTCTGTACAAAAAAATAAATGAAAATGTGTTACATTAATGACATTCAGGTTCATCTTTCAAAACACCATTAATACCTAATTTTATCTTGAAAGCATAAATGAATTCTTTAAAAAGGCAATGGTCTGAAAAGAGAAGCGATAAAAAAAGGCTAAAAATGACTGATCCCTATATTTTAATCGAACTTTACATAATAAATAATTTCAACAACCGTCAATATTTCCTCACAATTTACATTACTATCCATACATGCATTCTTCTTTTATGACTATAAAGCTGAAATATGGCATTTGTTAATTGTTTTGCGACATAAAGTATCTATAAACAAGAGCTGCAGCCAATGCCACACCAAATGGAATCAGCCATCCTGTCCAGGCACTGAAAAACAAATTTATTATGTGATGTTAAACAAATTTTTTGTTCTTTTTGTTTTGAACTAAGTTGACAATTCATAAACAAAATTATAGCAACATATATTTCATACGAAAAGTAGAAGTCTGAAATCTTAAAAACAGGTATGAATAAATGAAGACCTGGGGTATACATCAATGATACAGTGACAAAATAACACAAAGACAAAAGATATCAAGGTCAATAGTTCATTTTACCTTTCTTCTTGTTAAAAATTAACTCTAGCATATGATTATCTGCTTGATTAAACAAGGAATCGTCATTGATTGATTCATTAACTGGTGTGTAACGCACCTTTCAGCACTATTGTACTATTTCATGTCAGTCAGTTTTTATTGGTGGAGGAAGACGGAGTGCCCAGAGAGAACCACAAACCTCCAGTAGGAAAAATGAAAATCTTAGTCAATTAAGGTTGGGTCAAGTGCACCTGCCACGTTCAGGATTCTAACTCACAACCTTAGTGTTGACAGGCTAGTGATACAGTAGTTCGACTACTTAGACCACTCGGCCCCCAGGAATCATGACCAAATATATATCTTATAATGGATTCAAAATCAATCACCACAAGCATTTATTTCAAAGTTTAAGATCTCAAAAGAGTATATTAGATGAAGCCTCTATTTCTAGGTTAAACTTCATATTAAGATTTAATGGCCATCATCACAATAAATCATTGCCATAGTTAAAAGAATGAATAGATAGGGAAGGAATGAAAAAATATATTATAATTGTCAATAAAATTCAATGAAAACAATCAGTTTCATATTAACTGAAAACATTTAGGGCATGCATTGACAAAAGATAGATCTTTAACATTTTGTTTGTTTAAATAAATAACCTATATGACTTGAATATTTAGTTTGTCAGACCATGTGCTCTATCTAGGCCTTAATGTGTTTAAAAGCAAAATCTCTATTGTTGCTATTTGAAGTGTATATGTTAATCCTTTATAAGAAAAACTTCTCAAAACTACTTTTATTTTACTTTCTCATATATTCTTGAACTTGAAATAATGTACTTAATATTGATACCAAATAGGATTCTTCCCACTCCTACTGCTATATATACTGAAATGTTTAAATGCAGGGCAGTTAGTAACTTAGTACGATACAATAATTAAATTATTAATTATTATAATTACCTCCCCTGGTTTGATGAAGGTGCGTTTATTGTTGTATTTTCCTGAAAGAAATGTCAAATATGAAGAAATATTCAAAATAAAGATTAATGTTTGGAGTGAATTAACATTCACAATAAATATATGTTTTTCCTTTGCTGTTGTTTTGTCTCATGGTTGTTTTTTTTGTTTTTTGCTATGGTGTTGTCAGTTGGTCATTGACCTATGTGTTTGAATATTCCTTTGGTATCTTCAGCCTCTCTCTCAGCATTGTAAGAAGAAGGGGAGAGTAACTGTAGATTCATTTCTTTTTATTGATACTTTATTTAATGGGTTTAACAAATTCCACATGAAAGCCTATAGGAAATTTGTATTTTGTTGAACACTTAAATTTCTGGTTAAACACTTTCCCCACAAAATCAACCAAAAATTAGTATCACAAGAACAATTATGAATCCGCAATATTTTCTAATGTTCAGATCTCAATTCAGCATAAATGTTTTGTATAGTTTTTTGTGCAGATAAGATGATATTATGATAAACTAATTAAAATCAGGAATTCTAAAAAATAATAATCAAAGAGTGACAGAAGAACACAATACCTATTTATCAGAGTTGTTTTGTCTGGAGTTAAATATTTTGATATTTAAATTCTTGGAATACTTTCTACTTATTATTACATTGACTTTAATTTAAAATAAAGTTGTAAAAATCCAAGATATTACATATTTCTCCGTGTTTTGAAACAACTTCAGTGACAATGTTTTCACATTACTTATTGTTATTTGACGTCAGAAAAGTCAAAATACAGTGTTTTTTAAATGTTGGTATTTATTTGACTTGGAAATCACAGTATTTTATTGCAACTTATGTTATAAACTGATTTAAACCATGTCTAAAATACTTGGAGACGTATCCAAGTGTGGAAAAGGTCAAGAACATCTTTATACGTGTAATTGTTATTGGAATTTAAATTTGTTCTAATTCATGTGACAAAAAACCTGTCATATATTTGGCTAAAACGAAAACATTATAAAATTTTTAAATTTAAGCTACATGTAATACATGTGCTCCAGCTAGAAATCAAAAGGGGCAAGGTGCCAGTAGAGGGCAGGGCACTTTTTTATGAAAGGAAAAGGCACTGCTCATTTCTTTTGTCTATGTTTCTGTGTGTATCACGAGTTCACATTCTTTTTTTTTACTGTATATGTTGTTAATAAAGATGCATAAGTTGTTGTTTTGATTATTTATTCTATAAAAATTTGCATTAGAAAATGTAATTCATACGACATGTTCATAAAACATGTCAATACACATTCATACATCACATCACTATAAACCAATAGAGGCAAATTAACTTACTATTCCCCCCCCCTTCCCCTTTTCCAAAAAAAACAACATAAACTAAACATCTCATAGTTTAGCATACATGTGACAGAGTTATATCAAAATTTTCGGCTAGAGTTTGGCCCTCAAAACTTTTTTTCATTGTTTTAAGGAATTATTTAGTAAAGCTTCATCAAGTTGATGTCATGATGGATTAACTTCACACTACCCATTTTTGTAGGATTGCAGCTTAACATCATCCTATCAATTGAACTCATAAATTTCTTAATTGACAATGTATAGAACATGGATTGCTAAAAGTATGATTATCAAAAATAAATTGCAATATATTTTTTTTTGGTATGTTCAAAGACAGTTAATATCCTTAAGGTAACATTCTTAAATAATTTTGTATTTAATTGGTAATTTATTCCTATTTTTAATACTAGATAATATTTTAGGAGCACAAATTTGTAATAAGCTAAAACAGGGGAAGTAACTCCAAAATTAATTTCTAACACGTTTAATGTTTGCTTGTCGCTCACAAGTTGAGATCGACAGCGTTTCTGTGAAGGCATAGTTGTATTTTGATGACTTAAATTCTATTCTAAAGTCATGAAAGTCTTCATTTATACACTCTTCTTGGAGATCGAAAATGCTGACCCAAGCTAAAATCACTCGCTGACACATTCATCAAATTTATGACAAAAAGGTACATTGTCTTAATTAAATTACCTAGTTATTAACACCTTTGATGTCTTATCCACTGTAATTGATTGTAATGACATTATTAACCTGGGGGCAATCACCTGGTGTCATATATGTAATTTAACTTTGTGATAAGAAATCCATGAAACAAAAGGCAATTTTACCAAAACGGCACAAGGGTTTTTGGGGAAAAGGCGTCAGGGCAGAAGGGCGCGGATGAAGGCACCCAGGGCGCGGCTGAGGGCACCCAGGGTGCGGCGCCCTTCTATTTTGGGCTAACAAGAACACTGTATGTGTATTATAAATACAGGTAAATAAATATTGTCTTATTGGTACCCAACAAAGAACTAAATGAAAAAGGCCATTTTGGGACGTCTTTAAGATCATGTACTATACACTGTAACTTTGGGACTTAAAATACTGTATATATGTAGTTGGATTTTTGGTGATGAGATGATAGGATTCAAGTAAGACACTAACTTTGTGAATTGTGGATGCATCCATCCACACACGACATGACACATTAATCTAACTAACCTTTATTGGTATGGATTTCCTATCATCCTGCAATAAAACCAATATAATTTTATCATCTTAAGTTTTGACAGTAAAATATTTACTGATCACATTTTCATTAATATTTTGTATCACTTCATGAACATCCCAAACAAAAGCATCAAGATTTATTTGTCCAGATCTATACCTTTTTTATATTAACTATGAAAATATAAGGATATAGTATATTTCTCACATACTTTTAAATTCAAATCCAATTAAATTTTCTGCACAAAGCAGGGTTTATATTCATATCACATCAAAATGTTCTCATCCTAATATGCATGTAATATTTGTCACTGGGCGTTTAACATGGCTCCATCCAACATTAATTCAGACAATTATATCTGACAAGATTAATATTTGGACTGATTTAAATTTTCAATGATTATAAAAGGCATTTCATGTGTATACCTAACAGAGTTTACACTCAATTTAAAATAAGTGATTATTTTTGTATTGCTATCTCTCTTGAACATGTTGAAAAATGATTTGTTATGTGATATGACAGTCAAACAACAAAAAACAACCAAATATGTGTCCTTAAAACACCATGCCTGTTCACACTATCACATTTTCAATTTTAAATATGGTTTATATAGTTATGTTAAAAATTAACATCATAATCATTATTAATAAAGATGAATACTAAGTTTCAAGTTGATGCCATGGTTAACTGTCTTAAACCAAACTTTAATCTAATATATAGGACTGACGAAAGCACAGACCAGAAATCATAATGCACCCTAATATCTTAGACAGGGCTTAAAATTTACAAAAGCTTGGTCTTCAGATTACATTTAACAAACCTCATGTAATGTTCCTATTATGTAATCTTTCATTAGATCTCTTGCGTCAGTTGAGTGGCCTACATCCTCAAATGCTTCAGTGGCATCTCGACCTTAAATTAATATGTATAAAAATTCATTCATATTTTCATATGTGAAATATATCTTGAAGAATGCAAATTGTCTTTAAGAGCTAAACAAATCTTGTGTGTGGCTGAAATTAAATGCCATATGGTGACCGTAAGATGTTTATTTTTGGTAAACATGTATTGTTAGATTGCTGCCACATTGACATTGATCCCACATCTTCTTTCATTCAACTACAAATTTTATGGTGAACTCAATAATTCAATACACCAAGTTATCTCAGTATAAAAGTTCTCTATGGGTAAGGATAAATTAGTTCTGTTTTGTTAATCGTCCCAAACACCCTCTATGGTATAATGTAAAGGCCAGGTCTTTCTCATACAGGTCATTCTAGTAAGTTCCTGCTTCTTTCATCAGCATACAATATTTAAAGGATCTAGTTTTAATAACAGTGAATATGACCTTAGACCTGTTGAGCCCAAAAACAATAGGTCTCTTTCCCATTCCCTATATCCTCCATCTGTATAAAATAGAAAAACAAAGGATATGGAGTATCTATCTATGACACAAAATCAGTACATGCAGAGCAAAAAACACACAAAAAGCAAAGGAACAGCATTTTTATTTTTATTCATCTCAGTCACAGTGAGGCTTTGAACACAGAGAAAAAAATGGTCACCTCACTGCAGGTTTAAGACAGCCCCTAGCAGTGGCTTGAGTGGAATTCTTAGCAAAAATAATTTGGATAGACTTTGTATGATGTAACACCACCAAATCAGGTTTCATTCAAATCAAATAAGGGAAACTATACAAAAGCTACCATCTGTTTCAGACACACAAGCAGGTAAAGTGATTATTATATGCTCCTAAAAAAATTTCAAAGAGCATAAAACAAAATCTGAATTATATTTTGGAAAAGTATTATGCTGCATAGTTTCCCAAGAAGTGATTTTTTTAAAAATTTGAATACTTCCTGAGTTATTTCATTTTTTAATCATTAAATATTGATGATTTTTTCTAATACCTGATTGCTCTAATAATACTTCTTCTCCACCAGGATGCTGAAATAAAGGAAATTAATATCAAAATCATATTCATAATGGAAGCAATCACTCATTAAAACAACAAATAACATGAACAGAAAGTTAATTATTTTAAGTACACTTATCACTTTTGTTTGACTAAAGTATTTACATGTCAGTCTGGAAATATTTAAACTCTTACTGAACCTCAAACAATCCCTGGTAATCAATTTTTCTTAAAACAAGTTTAGTGTCAAAATTACAACTTTATTTTGGGATTTTAACTATTTTTTGTATTATTTGGGGTATTCCAGGTACCCTTTCCAGATGAATAAACGGATAATAAAGCAAACTGCTTGTCATTGCATCATCTTCTGACATGCATTATTGTAAAAGATAAATTTTATCATTTAAAAATTTGTAGTTGATTTTGGTTTAATATTTATTTTGTTAATATCAAATTATAGCTATTCTACATTGTTCTAACTTAGAATCAAACTGTAACTTGTTTAACAGTGTTGGGTATGATGTAATGGTAAATATATAAAGGTCAAAATATGGAATGATCTAGACCTGCAGTTTGTCACATGCAAATATATCACTCAGAATGACTAAAGAATATTTAAAAACAAAGTAGCGATTTTACTATGAATGTACAATAATATTTAAGTTTTGAAAGAAGAATTTATATCTGTTGTCCATAGACCAATCCTGAGTTGTATTTTATGACTGAGTTACACCGGTTGACTTGAGGTCAATAGGTGTAAATGGTGTTTTTGAACAATCAGTTCTTACTGTGATGTAACACGGTGGCGGATCCAGAACTTTTTCGTAAGGGGGGCCCGCTGACTGACCTAAGGGGGGGCCGCTCCAGTCATGCTTCTGTGATTCCCTATATAATCAACCAAATTTTTCCCGTGAAAGGTGGGGGGCCTGGATCCTATGTTACAACATAATTAGCATTGTGACATAGGAAATGTATTCAGAAATGCATGAATATGAAAGAAGTCTATTATGTAATGACGAATGCATGCAAGTGTCTTGTAAAATTAAAAATTTTGAAAGAAACAATACATTATAAAAACATGAGATTAAGATTCATCAAAAACACCACTGGTCAGCACAAAAGAAAGGGTGAAATACCCACAAATTATCCTTTTCCTTTTTGTTTCATTTGTCCTACATCTTGACCTTTATGATTATGTGTCCCCAATGTCAAGTCTCTAAAATCTTATGGACATCGTTCCTTACCTCTTCAAGAAACTTTGAAACATCATAAACATTATCGTGAATGACAATTAGTGTCTTTGATTTATCTGTGTTGTTCTTTACGTCGGCTTCTCTAAATACTTTCGACATTTTGCAAAAGTCGAGATTTCGTGAATGTCCCGGAAATGTAAGAAAACCTATAAAATTTGAAACGGATGAAGAGAGTTGCTCCCCTTGATTTATTTTCCGGATTAGCATAAAATTCACTTCAAAATGTCCCAAAATGATTTAGACAATGCAAATCCTACAATATACGAAGTTGGTTCTGAGAGAGCGGTCCTACCAGAAGAAGAAGATGAAAGTTTTACAGACAAAATAGATGATAGAGAAGTTTTTGGTAAAGATAAATAATGACTGGATAAATGTTTACTAAATTAGAACCATGTGTAACACTTGTTGTATACATCTTATTCAAATTCCATCTTATCACTCTAATCGTTTGCTTATATCTGGGACTCTGAGCTTAGACTATTATACAAATGTATAATAGTTCCAGATTGTATTGCTCAAATTTTGGGCACCATGATTGGTTAAAATATCTTTTCTTATAAAAGCTGCAACTGGACTAATTTACCCCTGTATTAATCAATCAAACTGACAGGTCTGTCTTTTCATCCTTAAACACCAGAGCACATTGCCTTACATCTCAAAGCACCACCAACCCCTAAGGTAAACATGGTAAACAGTTAAATATGAACCAATAAAATAATTCAATTGCACAATAAAACAATACAATGATTTAGTTACCTTACTTTAATATTAATTGTGTTAATTTCCATTTATTTTTCATATTTTACGTGCATTTTGACATTAAAGAATAACTAGGGTTAGGAGCCCTTAGTTCAATGCTTCCTTATGCATGTGTTATGCAACTTTCTATCAACGAAAAAAATAAGAAAGCACAAACACTGGGATATAATTGCATCTATTGGGAGATATATATATATATATATAGGCCTGTCATATGCTACTGGAATGTTGTTCCACAGGAATGGAAAGGTTACAATGGGATATCATCTCTTTTGTTATAGTTTAAATTTACATGGTTTAAGTGTTAAAAATATACAAATTCACTATAGTCGTCAGGGGGCGGATCCAGGATGTTAGGTTAAGGGGGGCGCAAACATAACATTTTGCTGAGCTGAGCGAGGCGAAAAATTTTTTGAGGTAAAATTATCGAAATATTTTTTATTAAGCTGAGGACAACCCATGCTTTGCAAATTTTAGGGGGGGCGCACACCCGCCACGCCCTCGCCTAAATCCGCCCCTGGTCATGTCTGAAGAAATTGTAAAAACCATGAAATCTATGCATGAAAGTTGATGCCTTTGATAGCATGAAAAAAATATATATATATATATATTAATCTAAATTATTCTCTTGTTCAATTTCTAAAAGTTGACATACTTCATGTAATGTAGCCATTTACAAATCTCAAAGTTTTTTTCTTTCTCCCTACTAGTATAATGAATTGTCTTTACTGTAACATTGCTTAGTGCAATAATATGATAATTGTCTTTACTGTAACATTGCTTAGTGCAATAATATGATAATTGTCTTTACTGTAACATTGCTTAGTGCAATAATATGATAATTGTCTTTACTGTAACATTGCTTAGTGCAATAATATGATAATTGTCTTTACTGTAACATTGCTTAGTGCAATAATATGATAATTGTCTTTACTGTAACATTGCTTAGTGCAATAATATGATAATTGTCTTTACTGTAACATTGCTTAGTGCAATAATATGATAATTGTCTTTACTGTAACATTGCTTAGTGCAATAATATGATAATTGTCTTTACTGTAACATTGCTTAGTGCAATAATATGATAATTGTCTTTACTGTAACATTGCTTAGTGCAATAATATGATAATTGTCTTTACTGTAACATTGCTTAGTGCAATAATATGATAATTGTCTTTACTGTAACATTGCTTAGTGCAATAATATGATAATTTCAGATTTGATCCGTGTTATAAATGACCCTGAACATCCACTTACATTAGAAGAACTGAATGTTGTAGAGCAAAGCAAAGTGAATGTAAGTATGATATTATCAGCTGAATACAAAAAATATGATGCCAGTAATTTTAATACCTAAACCTGACATGTCTGAGGTATTAACATGTTTGCGGATGACTGTCTTCTGAGCTGTACAGTTCATTAATTATCTTATAATTAAGAATGCACTGTAAAATGGACTCATCTGTAGTAGGGACAGGAAAATATTTAATAACTACAAACAGATATAATTTATGGACAATTAAATGTTTTAATTTTACCGATGTTTGAATTAAATAAACTTATATCTTCAAGATATATTTTCAAGAGACTGTTTTAAGTCTGTTAGTGGTAAATATGTTATCATAAAATTCATTAAGGTGGTACCTAACACTACAGGGAGATACCTCTGTAAAAATCAGCTGAACGTTTTAATTACGTTGTATTGTTAAGGAAATATTAAGCTTCTCAATGATCAAAATTAGTGTTTGTCAAACTGCTATATAACCAAAGAAATTTTTCTGATAAAGTGGTTGGTTCAAATTTTTTGAAATTTTTATATTTTTGTCAAAGGGTCAAAGTAAACATTTTGTCAAAATTTTAGGAAAATTAAACGAGCCAAATTAATGTTAGTCAAGGTGTTGGGTACCACCTTAAATCATTCATATAACTGCATATATCAATCAGTGTTAACGTCAGAAATCCCTTATCAGATGTTTTCAGACGAGCAACAACAAAAATCTTAATGGAGCAAAGTAAAAGATCTGATTTCAATCAGATTGAGAATAGAAGTACTACATGTATTATATTTATTTCATTAAAATTGTTTGCACCAGAATGTTATGTAAATTTTTCTTTCAGGTTGATGATGATGCTAATAAAGTGACAATAGAATTTACTCCCACAATTCCACACTGTAGTATGGCAACATTGATTGGATTGTCTATTCGGGTCAAACTTCTGCGATCTCTGCCACCAAGATTCAAGGTAACAAAAATGTTAATATAAAAACACAGAAAAACAATGTTCAGAATAAATAGCATTCTTTGCTTCAAAAAAGTTATTGTTAAGTTTTTGATTTTTATTGGAGCAAGCAGTGTAAGGCCTTACATAGATTTCTATAAGTTGGGATCCTTTTATCTCGTATGATATAGAGAGACATGTATCAATGATTCAGTTAACGAAAAAAGAAAATTATCAGAAGTTTTTATTTGAAAATGACACATTTTGTGCTTTAGTTCAAAAATTTTGCTTCTCTTTTTAGCTCACCTGGCCCAGAGGGCCAAGTGAGCTTTTCTCATCACTTGGCGTCCGTCGTCCGTAAACTTTTACAATCTTCTCCTCTGAAACTTCTGGGCCAAATTTGACCAAACTTGGCCACAATCATCATTGGGGTATCTAGTTTAAAAAATGTGTCCGGTGACCCGGCCAACCAACCAAGAGAGCCGCCATGGCTAAAAATAGAACATAGGGGTAAAATGTAGATTTTGGCTTATATCTCTGAAACCAAAGCATTTAGAGCAAATCTGACTGGGAGAAAATTGTTTATCAGGGCAAGATCTATCTGCCCTGAAATTTTCAGATGAATCTGACAACCTGTTGTTGGGTTGCTGCCCCAGAATTGGTAATTTTAAGGAAATTTTGCCGTTTTTGGTTATTATCTCGAATATTATTATAGATAGAGATAAACTATAAACAGCAATAATGTTCAGCAAAGTCAGATCTACAAATAAGTCAACTTGACTAAAATGGTCAGTTGACCCCTTAAGGAGTTATTGCCCTTTAAATTCAATTTTTTACAATTTTCATAAATTTTGTAAATTTTTATAAAATATTTTCCACTGTAACTACTGGGCCAAGTTCATTATAGATAGAGATAATTGTAAGAAGCAAGAATGTTCAGTAAAGTAAGATCTACAAACACATCACCATCATCAAAACACAATTTTGTCATGAATCCATCTGTATCCTTTGTTTAATATGCACATAGACCAAGGTGAGCGACACAGGCTCTTTAGAGCCTCTAGTTAATGAATAAGACATATGAAAATGAATCAAAAATATCTAAAAAGTTGTAGAAATGTTTAGTAAAGGCAAACTTGTATAATAAATATCAAATTCTAACTCAACAAATTTGTAATCACTGTTTTGATTGGTCATATATTTTGAGGCGGTAGATTCCGCTGTTTACCAGTCTGTTAGTAATGGGGGCACCATTTTGAATTCTGGAATTTGTTGGTATGTGATTTCTTTGATAAACAATACAAGCAGATGACTCACCTGAAATTATCCTTTTTTTAGATCACCAGGCCCAAAGGGCCAGGTGAGCTTTTTCATCACTTGGCATCTGTCGTCTGTTTACTTTTACAAAAATCTTCTCCTTTGAAACTACTGGGCCAACCCTAACAAAACTTGAACACAAATATCGTTGGGTTATATAGTTTAAAAAATGTGTCCAATGACCCTGCTTGTTGACCAACATGGCCAACATGGCTAAAAATAGAACATAATGGTAAAATACAAGTTTTTGTTTATTATCTTGAAAACCACTATGAATGGAGAAAATCTGACAGAGCCAAAAATGCTTAAAATGATGAGATCTACTTTTTGTCTATTTCCATCAAAACTGTCAGACTGTTTCTTATAGGAGTTATTGGCCTTACATGACAAACTTTACCAATTTTTTCCGTTTTTTTGTAATATCTTGAAAACAATAATAGATAGATGACAACTTAAAAAAACATGATCAGCAAGACTAGATCTTCAAATAATTCAACATGACCAAAATCGTTAGTCGACTCTTTTTTGGAGTTATTGCCCTTTAATGATAATTTTTACATTTTTTTTTTGCATTTTTTGCCTATTATCTTGAAAACTGTAATAGATTAACAGAAACTTTGAAAAGGACAAAAATCGATAGAATTTTTAACTTTACCAAAATTTAATTAGTATCATGTTTTATTCAAAAATATGATAAAAAAAAAAATTCAAAATACAGGTTGTGAAAACTGTCAGATTTTGCATAGATTATACATGGAAAACTCAATTTTGTGTGATAGAAAGAAAACTAAAAAATAGAATTTCAGATAAAATATAAGAAGATAGCTCTTATGATGTGCATTTAGAAATTGAAAATTGAAATTAGGGTCACAATATTCGTTTTTTATACGACCGCAAAAAAATTTTTGTGGTCGTATATTGGTATGACGTTGGCGTCGTCGTCGTCGTTGTCGTCGTCCGGCGTCGTCCGAAGACACATTGGTTTTCGCACTCTAACTTTAGTTTAAGTGAATGGATCTTTATGAAATTTTACCACAAGGTTCAATACCACAAAAGGAAGGTTGGGATTGATTTTGGGGGTTATGGTAATAACAGTAAAGGAATTAGGGGCCAAAAAGGGGCCAAAAATAAGCATTTTTGTAACTTCCAGACATAACTTGTGTGTTAGTGTATGGATCTCTCTGATATTGTACCACAAGGTTCCATATCACTAAAGGAATGCTGGGATTGATTTTGGGGGTAATTGCCTCCAAATTTTAGGAATTAGGGGCCAAAAAAGGGGCAAAAAACAAGCATTTTTCTAGTTTCATGACAATAACTTGTGTGTAAGTGTATGGATCTTTCTGAAATTGTACTACAAGGTTCCATATCACAAAGGGAAAGCTGGGTTTGAGTTTGGGGGTAATTGCCCTAAACGTTTAGGAATTTGGGGCCAAAAAGGGGCCAAAAAACACATTTTTTTCTAGTTTCCAGACAATAACTTGTGTTCAAGTGTATGGATCTCTCTGAAATTGTACTGCAAGGTACCGTACCACAAAGGGAAGGCTGGGATTGAGTTTGGGGGTAATGAATCATAATGGGGGTTCAAAAAATTTTGGGGGGGGATTTATTTTTTTTTTCCTTTTTTTTCTTTTTTTCCTTTTTTGGTTCTTTTAAAATTTTCCATTTTAAGTTGGTTATTTCTGATTTATATTTAAACTCAAATAATAATGATATGGTAGGAGATACACACCAAACAGGATGTGTAAATTATTATATAATAAGTATTGTGCAATAGCAAGAAATTTTCAATTGCACAGTATTGCACAATAGCAAGAAGTCTTCAATTGCACAGTATTGCGCAATAGCAAGAAATCTTCAATTGCACAGTATTGCGCAATAGCAAGAAATATCCAATAGCACAATATTGCGCAATAGCAAGAAATTGTCAATTGTACAGTATTGCGCAATAGCAAGAAATATTTAATAGCACAGGATTGTGCAAAAGAAGATACTTCCTATAAATTGCTTATTTCTTGACCAATTTCAATGGGGTTTTATTCTTGATTTCATGGGGTTCTTTAATATGCTGAATCTAACCGTGTATTTAGTTTTTGGATTTTGGGCCCTGTTTTTAAATTGGTCCACATTGAGGTCCAAAGGGTCCAAAATTAATCTTTGTTTGATTTCATCAAAAATTGAATTATTGGGGTTCTTTGATATGCCGAATCTAACTGTGTATTTAGATTCTTAAATTTTGGTTCCGTTTTCAAATTGGTCTACATTAAGGTCCAAAGGGTCCAAAATTAAACTTAGTTTGATTTTAACAAAAATTGAATTCTTAGGGTTCTTTGATATGCTGAATCTAAACATGTATTTAGATTTTTGATTATGGGCCCAGTTTTCAAGTTGGTCCAAATCAGGGTCCAAAATTAAACTTTGTTTGATTTCAACAAAAATTGAATATATGGGGTTCTTTGATATGCTGAATCTAACCATGTATTTAGATTTTTGATTTTTGGGCCCCGTTATCAACTTTGTCCACATTGGCCCGAGAACACAGTTATTTCGTAGTGCATTTCTTTTAGCCAATAAATTCAAATTAAAAAAATCGCACCTGCTCTATCTCAAAAAGATTTTTACAGTGTAGTGTACTACTATTGATACAAATAATATCAAAATTATAGAAACTTCTACCAGCTCTAACTCAAAATATTGACAGTTCTGTGTTAAGGGGGCTAAAATTCAGTTTGACAGCTTCAGACATTCTAATTTTTGACCTTTTTTAACTGGACCAAATCACTACTTAACATAAAGATTCAGCACCCAAATTTTTTTAACATGTAATTTCATCCCCTTACTTAATATTTCATGCATAAAATATCAAGAAATAAATTGGGAAAGTGTATCAAAAAAAAATGCAAGTTATACACTGTTCACACTAGGGACTATATTTGTAGACAACGAAAACCAAAGGACGATAACTGTGTCCTTGGACCTAATAGGATAGAAAGACTTGTCCAATTTTAATAAAACTTTGCATGACCTAAGCTTAGGCAATTATAAGATAGTTGGCCAAGTTTCATGGCCATAGGATATATATTATAGAAACTAGGGCCATTTTAATATTGAAATTTGGATGTTTATTTTTGACGTTTAAATCAAATATTTTCAACTGTCAAGATTTTGGCCTAAAAAATTTAAATACTGCAAAAATTTGCTTTTTAAATACTCTTGAATTTAATATAATAAGTATTAAAAGCAACGGAACACTCATTTGATTTATCAGATTTATTACAGTTATTCAAAAGTCAAATTTATATGAGCCTGTGCCTGAAAATAGAGATTTTCGAATTAAGGGAAGCCTTACATAAACATGCATTTTTTTCAACCAATTTGAAGTTTTTGAAGTTTTTTAACCATACATTATTCTTCCATATATATTAAATGTACTTTAAATGTAAAGAAAAGTTACAAAAAGCATACCACATGAGTATAAAATGGTCTAAGGCCATGTAAGACTGAGAATTATTTAGAGTCGATTTAGGCCGTAGCCCATATTTACATATAAAAATGCACACAGAGGCTATAAGAAATTGAAATTTGTTACTTTTTGCTCATTTCTATGCTAAGATGTCATGATACAAGAAGTCTAATTGCAAAAGGACTCTTGAATTTAAATTTTTTTGGCAGACAGTATGGTCTGATGACCAGTTTTTCACTTTTCAATGGAAAACTTGCATGTAGTTTTAGTCTCATTTGGCATATATTTGAACCACTTACTATCCTAAAGAAGAAAATTATGGTAGCATATGAAATGAATAGGGTGAACTGATCATTGTAAAGTGCTTTTTTTACAGATTTAGTGAAATATTTGTGATGGACTACAGATTTTATGTACAAAGCTCTTCACATTTCACATACATCAAACAGGCCGTTTAACCAGGGACATAAATACAAATATTCTGCACATTTTTTCTGTGATAATCTACTTTTCTCTAGATTCCCAGTTCACAAATGGTTAATTAAATTTGATTTAAGCATAGAAACACAAATATCAGGAACATAAAAAGCTGTCAGATAGAAAGTCAGCATGGCTCTTAGGCATAAAATGGAAACTGCTTTAAAATGCTTATTTTAGCCGTATAATGCCAAAATGGGACATTTTAACAGAATTTCTGTCAAACAAAGATGTAAATCCTTTACTTTTATTGAGTTTGACAAATTGAAACCAGCAAACCATTCAGGAAAGTTGCCAAAGTACAGAATCTACATTTACGGAATTCATCTCTTAGGCCCGAGAACACAGTTATTTCGTAGTGCATTTCTTTTAGCCAATAAATTCAAATTAAAAAAATCGCACCTGCTCTATCTCAAAAAGATTTTTACAGTGTAGTGTACTACTATTGATACAAATAATATCAAAATTATAGAAACTTCTACCAGCTCTAACTCAAAATATTGACAGTTCTGTGTTAAGGGGGGCTAAAATTCAGTTTGACAGCTTCAGACATTCTAATTTTTGACCTTTTTTAACTGGACCAAATCACTACTTAACATAAAGATTCAGCACCCAAATTTTTTTAAAATGTAATTTCATCCCCTTACTTAATATTTCATGCATAAAATATCAAGAAATAAATTGGGAAAGTGTATCAAAAAAAAATGCAAGTTATACACTGTTCACACTAGGGACTATATTTGTAGACAACGAAAACCAAAGGACGATAACTGTGTCCTTGGACCCATTGAGGTCAAAAGGGTCCAAAATTAAACTTTGTTTGATTTCATCAAAAATTGAATTATTGGGGTTCTTTGATATGCCGAATCTAACCGTGTATTTAGATTCTTAATTTTTGGTTCCGTTTTCAAATTGGTCTACATTAAGGTCCAAAGGGTCCAAAATTAAACTTAGTTTGATTTTAACAAAAATTGAATTCTTAGGGTTCTTTGATATGCTGAATCTAAACATGTATTTAGATTTTTGATTATGGGCCTAGTTTTCAAGTTGGTCCAAATCGAGGTCCAAAATTAAACTTTGTTTGATTTCAACAAAAATTGAATATATGGGGTTCTTTGATATGCTGAATCTAACCATGTATTTAGATTTTTGATTTTTGGGCCCCGTTATCAACTTTGTCCACATTGAGGTCAAAAGGGTCCAAAATTAAACTTTGTTTGATTTCATCAAAAATTGAATTCTTGGGGTTCTTTGATATGCTGAATCTAACCATGTATTTAGATTTTGGATATTGGACCATAATAGGTGAATGTCCAATTTAAAATTTTTAAGTTCTTAGACCACATTCAATCTGTGTTAGAAACCTATGCTGTGTCAAATATTTAATCACAATCCAAATCCAAAGCTGTATCAAGCTTGAATGTTGTGTCCATACTTCCCCCAACTGTTCAGGGTTCGACCTCTGCGGTCGTATCAAGCTGCGCCCTACGGAGCATTTTATTTTACTACAAAACAAAATAGGTAAATTTATAACACATTCCTAAATAAAAGTTACGATATCTGAGTTATCTCTCCTTATATGGCAAAGTTTAATAAATTGAATCAAACAAAAAAATATTCTGCATTTGGAAAAAAACAGTTGTAAAAATATGATTAAACACATAATCTCTTTCATTTAGATGAAAATTCTTACAAATGAACTACATTTTTCTCTCATAATTTGAACATTTCAATAAAGATCTAGACCAATTGTTTTCTGCTATTTTACAATCCAAGATGGCAGAAGATTCCAATCTGCATTAAATGGCAGTGGTTCATAGTTGCTGTAAGTGCATTTAAAGCATATATGTACAAATGTATATGTATTAAATCATGTCATTTTTTAATTGCAGGTAGATGTTTCTATAACACCTGGAGCACATGCATCTGAAGAAGCAGGTAATTTAATTAAAAAATTTGAATAAACCATATGTATATATATATATATCTTTATTCTCCTTAACCAAAGTATAATGGTATAGAGACATATACAAATAGGTTAACATACATATCATAAAATTTAATTACAAATGTAATGGAGAGACATAAAGTAGTTACCCAGGATATTCTAGGTATTCAATTATTATTTGTATAGATTTGTTTAAATCAGACCTCTCATTGGTATTTACAAGATCTTGATATTTTAAAATATTTTGTCTGTTTACAAAATGATGCTTTAAAAGCATTTGACTACTTTTGTCTATTGCCAAACATTCTAAAACAAAATGAAACTCCTCACCAATATCACTGGAATTACACAAAAGACAAATACGATGTTCTCTGTGAACATTTTGCCATCTACCAGTTTCAATTGGAATTTTTGTGTTTAAAGTTCTAAATGTACAACAAGATGCAATATTTTTGTCATCTAGAATATGAATTTATTTAACTCTCTCTTTATGGCCTATGAAACTGAAAGGTTCCACATAAAGCCTTTCCTTGGGCATCAGTATGATGTCACAACATTGGATCTTATACAAAATGAGAGAAAATTAGGCTTTTTGTAAAGGATTTAAGTGCAAACATCATCTTATTTAAAATTTTACCTGTTATTTATTTTTTAGAAAATGTGCACTTTCCAAGGGTTAAAATTTGCTCCAAGTAATGAAAGATCCAGGACCATATAAATATTCAAGTGAAAGGACCTCTCTCATAAAGTCTCATCCAAGACAAGACTGGTTGAGACTGGTTCTTGACCTTGGACCCACAGTAATTTCAACCATTATCTATAAAAGATGATACTTTCACAATAATCTGATCATTTTAGTTTTATATTTCCAGTAAACAAACAATTAGCAGACAAAGAAAGGGTGGCAGCAGCTTTGGAGAACAGTCATTTGATAGAAGTTGTTAATCAGTGTTTGGATGACCAAAAAAGAAAAATCGGATAATGAATTACTTAACCATTGACCTAAAGCCATGCCTTTTCATAGCTTTTTAGGCCAAGGGCTAACAAACCAAACTAACAGACTTTTGTTTTTACAAGTGATTGACTTGCATAGTATGTAAACGCTTGAGAAAAGCCAAGGACCTTCAATCATAAGAAAAAGTTTTAACACCCCCCTATATATAGGCTGATTTGCTGTTTACTTGCTTGAAAATACAGTAGAAAAATATAGTTTAACCAGTATAACTGTATTTTTATACATAAAGCAAAATGAATAAATCAAAATTATTTTGCAATACTATACTGCAAAATGTTTACGCAGACATTGATAAAACCTCATTAAGACATTTTTGGTAATTTATAATTATTATGATTGTAAATAATTTTATCAATAGTGACTTCAAGTAGTTATTGCCTTCACAAGTTCACATTGTCATTTTACCTCAGATCTTCATATTTATTGTCTTAAAAAGGTCCAGGCATTAAATAAAAATATTACATATTATAGATATAAGAAGATGTGGTATGAGTACCAATGAGACAACTCTCCATCCAAGTCAAAATTTATAAAAGTAAACCATTATAGGTCAAAGTACGGTCTTCAACACTGAGCCTTGGCTCACACCGAACTGCAAGCTATAAAGGGCCCCAAAAATTACTAGTGTAAAACCATTCAAACGGGAAAACCAACGGTCTAATCTATATTAAAAACGAGAAACGAGAAACACTTATGAACCACATCAACAAACGACAACTACTGAACATCAGATTCCTTACTTAGGACAGGTGCAAACAATTGCATCGGGTTTAAACGTTTTAATGGTACCAAACCTTCACCCTTATCTGAAACAATAGTGTAACATTACAACATAGAAAAACACACTATAAAATATCAATTGAAATGGCTTAACTCAATCAAAAGACATATTAACACCAGTGAACATACACTGAACAAATAAATATGATCTATGTTACAATGCAAATACAAAATAAATAAACTAATGGAAGAATAATTAAAGTAACATGTTATACCGCTGTGAAATGTTAAACAATTTAAGAAAACCAATATACTTGAACAAAAATATCAGCCATTTGCAATTACTTTAAACACAGGTAAATAAAAATAATTTTGTTCTTAGGTATACGTGTACAGTTCAAATAGAGAAAGGTAATATTTTTACAAAATAAATAAATTTGATGTTCATAGTACAAAGAAGTGAAAATTTATAGTAATACCAATATAGACCTTTATATGAAACAATTTTCAATCAATGAAAATTCTATTGAAAATAGTAAATTTAACTTCTAATTTATTTTACTCTGAAAACATTGTGTTAGTTTTTAGTGGTTTCTATATAAAATTTAGATTCTACATCATTGTCAGAATTTAAAAAAAACTTTAATTTTATGAGTGGAAAATATATTAAATTGAACATAAAATATTGAAATTAAAGTATATGTATATGAATAAAATATTAAGTATCCAACTATGCTGGTAGTTACTTTTTATGCCCCCGCCGTAGCGGTGGGGGCATTAAGTTTTACCCTTGTCCGTCTGTACGTACGTCCCAAAATTGGTTTCCGTTCTCTACCTTGAGTTTGCCTCAACCAAATGTTATGAAACTTATACACAATGCTTATTACCACAAAACAACAGATCAAATTAGAATTTTGGTGGCGTCACATTAACCGTTCTAGAGTAATGCCCTTTATAAATGGAAAAATTGCAAAATGTTTAGTTTCCGTGCTCTAACTTAAGTTTGCCTCAACCAAATGTTATGAAACTTATACACAAGGCTTATGACCACAAAACACAGATCAAGTTTGAATTTTGGTGGCGTCACTTTAACGGTTCTAGAGTTATGCCCCTTTATAAATGGAAAAATTGCAATTTTTTTTAGTTTCTGTTCGCTAACTTAAGTTTGCCTCAACCAAATGTTATGAAACTTATACACAATGCTTATTACCACAAAACACAGATCAAGTTTGAATTTTGGTGGCGTCACTTTAACCGTTCTAGAGTTATGCACCTTTATAAATGGAAAAAATTGCAAAATTTTTATTTTCTTTTAAATATCAAGTTATTTTTAAAATTGGAGTTATCTTCCTTTGTCCATGATTATAGTTGAATCCACTACAATCAATGCTTTATACAATGCAATGTTTAATTTTGACTTCCACTGATAAAACACAGATCAAGTTGAATTTGGGTAGTGTCACTTTAACCATTATTGAGTTATGCCCCTTTATAAATAGAAAAAATGCTGAATTTTTAGTTTCTGTTCTCTACTTAAGTTAGCCTCAACCAAATGTTATGAGACTTACACACAAAACTCAGATCAAGTGCAAATTTGGGTAGCATCACTTTTACTGTTCTTCAGTTATGTCCCTTTATAACTATATGATATGCAAGCGGGGGCATCATCTGTGTCCACATGTGGACACTATCCACATTTTTTTTAATTATTAACCATGGTAGTTACTTTTTTTAATTATTAGCCAGAGTTATCTCCCATATTAAATTGGATGCTACTTTCTTTTAGATACTCATGTTGTTTCATGTATTTTGAATACAGATAGTATATTCTTCTCTTGGTGTGAATGTTTCAAAATGTATGCCAAATTAGGTTTTTCACCCAGATTTTATTGTTCATTGAACATGGAAAAATGTGAGCAAGGCATGGCATCCATATTCTTGTTAGCCAAAAAATTACCACAAATCTTCAAACAAGTTACCTAATTAAAATGCTACAAAAACATTTACTAGTTATCAGATTATGTTATTTCTGAAAAGTCTGGCATGGTCCATTGCAATTGTGATACCTGGTAAAAAATAACCCAGATATTGTAAACTTTCTTTTCATTTAGTTAATTGTACAACTGAGAAATATGAAATGAGTTTTTGAAAATCTCAGGTCTACTCAATCTGATTAAAATCCGATTTTGTAATATGCTACGCTCCCTCTAAGTTAGGGTGGAGAGTATCGTAGCGAAAACTAACAGCTGATTTTAATGAGATTGTGGTCTACTGAGATATTTATTCTAAAATTTTATACAGATTATTTTGCAACTTCAAGAGTTATCTCCCTATTGTAATTCTTTCTATATAATTTATATCTCCCAATGACCAGATGACAGATGCTCCAAACAGCAAAGCTAGATATTGTGTGTGTGTGCTCATAATACATTAAAAATGAAAGGGGGTTTTGAAAGTCTCTATAGGTTGCACTTTGTAAAAACAGCTGTTTCTCAAACCACGCCTCTTTTGGGGAGATATAGAATATTCATAGATAATTAATTTTGTTTACATACTGGTTCCCAGTTATGATCTCTAGGTTTCATTTCATAGAGACATAACTTAGGAATGTTACCAGTAAATATACATATGCATATTGTCTATATAGAAATCTGTGGTAATCCTACAGTCAAGGTGGGGATAGTTAAGAAATTTAGTGTTAGTTTAAACTCTTAGAAGTTCAGGGCTGTAAACGTTGAAAATATGCTGCACAGCCCTATATTTTGATCTTTGAAAAAAATTGTAGTGCATATGAACTTTCCATTCTAGGATTATGATTTTTTTCAAAACTTCATAGTAAAAGTGGTACAGTTTTAGCTGTAAAAGGAGTTCCTATGGCAAATTGCATTGTCAATATTTACAGAAATGCAACCTATATTGGGTGAAAAAAGAGAACATACAGAATTTAACCAAATTTGGTTTATCTCACAGATTTTAAAGAAATTAACTCAAATATGAAGTTTTATAAGTATTTCATGAAGATTGAGAAAATCCTGGGCTTTAACTATGATGACTCAGCATAAATTCACAGTTTACAGTATGCATAGTTTACTTAAAGCCCTGAATGCAAAATAAATTCATAATATATGCATATTTGTAAGTTAAATTGTTTAGAAGTGCTTATATTTACTCTTCGCAGTCATTGCAACTAATAGATCCTTCCTGAATATTATTGGTGGGGTGTTTTTGTCCTGTCGATAACCCAAAAGTAAGCCGCAAGGCCTAAATCTGCTTTTTTGTCACCGCGGCATAAAAAATACAAGCTAGAAATACAAAAATATCTCAACAAAACTTACAATAGTGTGTTCTATCCTGAATATGTACTAAATATTCCATATTGCTAGAAACGGCAAAATAATTTAGGAAATTTGAGGCCCCAGGGGCAAAAAACAGAGAAAATGGACTACCCCCTGGGTCATAAAACAAATAATTTAACTTGTAAATGCTATGATTTTATGATTTTAAAGGTCTTTATATAGAAAACAATAACTGTGCTTGGATGTTATGCAAAAATTAGATGTTAGCAGTCATTTCTATAACATTTTAAGTGAATTTATACATCAGACTGGTATCTGCATACATACAACAATTGCAAATATGGCTTTGTTTTAACACTTCTAGCTCATATATTAGCTAAATTATGTCAGATATATGGTTAGAGAGGATACTGTTGTGACAAGAATTCTAAACTGACCATTTGAGGCAGAAATTGTGAACTTTCATTGACAAATAGGCATACAGTAAAATGTGGACTGGAGACACAGGCAGGATTTGATACTTTATATAATCTTGAATGTTGGAATGATTGACTGCTAAACATAACATTTACAGTGTTCTGAAATGCTTTCAATATGTTATCAGAACAGTTTTAAACAGGTTCTATGCATTTCATGTCAGAAAACATGCAAATAGGGTAAGCTGGCAATAATTAAAGTCTTGTTTTCAAATTCTTTAAAAAATTGAAACAGGGGAGGGGGTATCAAATGAACAGTAAAAGAAAACTTAGAGTGTATGCAGTGATTTCTTTAAGGCTATAATTCTGATAAGTATTAATGTGAGAAAAAGTGTTTTTAGAGAGTTTTCTATTGGAATAAATGTTTGTATAGGTTGCACTTTGTAAAAACAGCTGTTTCTCAAACCACGCCTCTTTTGGGGAGATATAGAATATTCATTGATAATTAATTTTGTTTACATACTGGTTCCCAGTTATGATCTCTAGATTTCATCTCATAGAGACATAACTTGGAAATGTTACCAGTAAATATACATATGCATATTGTCTATATAGAAATCTGTGGTAATCCTACAGTCAAGGTGGGGATAGTTAAGAAATTTAGTGTTTTGAATTTTGAAAGTTGCACGGCTGATCACTTTACTTTCTTAATTATTAGTTGGTTAATAGCTACGCCAAAAGTCGTTGATGCGCTTTAAATCGCGTTATTAGATGATTAACAAACAAGACTTACAATGAGATTTATTCACTCCCGGCATGCAAAAAGACTTAAACTACGTCACATAAGTCAGGAAGTTGGAATAAATTAAATTATTAATTCCCAATTTTCTTCTTTATTAGTGTTCATATCCAGATAAAACTTGGCAAATATGTTTTTTATGGTATTATGAACATAATAAGATGAAAAGTAAAAAATCGCGAATTTTCCCTTTAAACTCTTAGTTCAGGGCATATAAATGTTGAAAATATGCCGCACAGCCCTATATTTTGACCTTTGAACAAAATTGTAGTGCATATGAACTTTCCATTCTAGGATATGATTTTTTTCAAAACTTCATAGTAAAAGTGGTACAGTTTTAGCTGTAAAAGGAGTTCCTATGGGAAATTGCATTGTCAATATTTACAGAAATGCAACCTATAGTCCTATGAAATATTTATTCTTAAATTTTATATGATCTTATACAGATTTTATTGTCATTTCAAGAATTATCTCCCTTTTTTACATTCTATATAATTCACATCTCCTGTGACCAGACGACTGATATTCCTAAAAGCACTACAATACATTCCAAAACTGTGATAACATATATCACCCCACTGCCAGACTTTTATAAATAGCTGCACTTACCTGATGCAGAGGCTTTTTGTTATCGTCCTTTTTAAATAAAATTGTAATTTTAAAGTGTTGCTAATAGAGAATTTTCTTCCATGGAAGTTAAGATTGTAGCATATAATTCTTGATTTCAGACGAAAACAGCATTTGATTGATTGTTTTTAAGATTGTATTTTTATACTAGTCTGCTTTTATTTGCAAGTAATATCTAATTAACATCGAGTAAAAACAGATTTCCTGTTTTAATGAGTTATCTCCCATGCAAGATTGAATTTCAATACATTTTTAAAAGATTGTAGATTTTTTAGTACATGATGAAAATCTGTGTATTATTTCTATTTTCAACAGGTAATCAACAATGGCCACTTATTAGTAAAAATCATAAAAGGGAAATAACTCTATTAAGAAATAACTGTCAATTTCAGCCATGTTGACATGTTTGTAGACCTTATCCTGCTGATAATTTTTCCCTTTTTAAAGTTTCTATTTATCTGTTATAGTTTCAAGATAATAGACAAAAATGCATAAAAATGTTAAAAATTATCATTTAAGGGCAACAACTCCAATAATGAGTCCACTGAAGATTTCGGCCATTAAAGCACATATGTAGATCTTGCCTTGCTGATCATTTGCACTATTTAAAGTTTCTATCTATCTATTACAGTTTTCAAGATAATAGGCAAAAATGGGGAAAATTGGCATTAAAGGGCAAAAACTCTAAAAAGGAGTTGGCTGACGATATTTGTCATGCCAACTTATTTGAAGATCTTGTTTGGCTGATCATCTTTGCATTTTAAATTTTCTATCTACATATAATTTTTCGAGATAATAGGCAAATAAATTCGTCATTTAAGGGCAATAACTCCTATATGAAGTTGTCTGACAGTTTTGACTTAAATAGACATTAGGTAGAGCTCAACATTCTGAACATTTTAGCCATGTCAGATTTTCTCTTTTTATTGTTTTTTTTTTTAAATAATAGGCAAAACTTGCATATTACCCTATGTTCTATTTTTAGCTATGTTGGCCATCTTGGTTGACAGCCTAGGCCATCGGACACATTTTTTAAACTAGATACGCTAAAAATGATTGTGGCCAGGTTTGGTTAAATTTGGCCCAGCAGTTTCAGAGGAAATGTTAACGGATGACGACTGATGACGGACGCCAAGTGATGAGAAAAGCTCACTTGTCCTTTTGGCCAGGTGAGCTAAAAATGAATATTATAAAATACAGTAATATGCATAAGACAGGATGCAAATGAATATTCTACAGCACAAAATGCATGAAACAATTATGTACATAAATTTGCTCATGGGGAAGCTGCGGGAAAAAATAAACATGCATAACAACAGATGAAAATAAATAGTCATTCCACAATTAATTCTCCTCCCCTCCCCCAGAATATCACATAGTAGTCCCCTTAAAAGAATTTAACATAATTATAATTTTCAGAGAGTTATTTCTTTGATAGGACTGAGTCAGCACTGATATTCACCATTTGTGTTTTCTCAGAATTATTTCCTGCACTTGTGTAGCATTTTTGTTTTGAAAAGTTGAAATGTAATGAGGGTCCTAAACTGCAAAAAGGATGCTCGAGTCCTATAGTTTTCACTTTGTCTTTCTGTCTGTTCTATTTTTGTGTGTCACTTATATATCAGAGTTGACACATAGGTATCCCCATATCTCCTTTTTTATGTCACCTGTATATCAGAGTTGACACATAGGTTACCCTGTATTTTCTGCTTCTCCGCTAAGCATATGGCATCAAGCAGTAAAAGCAAAAACTGGTGGACTCATGAATCATAATAATGTGTCTGGGTAGGGTGACATGTCTTCCCGTGGACTGTTACTTTGTGGGCTAGTATGTTAAAGGTCCATCTCAGCATGTTGGTCTATTACAAAGCAGGGTTCATATTCGTATCACTTTAACATGTATTCATCCTGAATATGCATTTAATTTGCCACTGTACCTTAAACAGCCACCCATCACCATCAGTAAGGTAGCAACAGTATGTGTAGCACTGAACCATACATCAATGATTTTGATTGATTAGTGTTTAATGCCACTTTCAGCTCTGTAGGCTATTTCATGGCAGCCAGTTTTTATTGGTGGAGGAAGCTGGAGTGCCTAGAGAAACCAACAACCTTTGGTAGTAAAACTGACAGTCCAAGTCAATGAAGATTGGAGTCGAACACAGCTGCCACAAACGGGACTCTGAACTCACAACTTCAGTGTTGACAGGCTAGTGATGGGGAAGTTGAACTCCTTAGACCACTCGGCCACCGAGGCTCCTGCATTGTTTTTGAAGGTTTTTCATAGACAAACAAAGTCTTGTATTAACCATACAGGAGGGTATGAATATTTTATTGGTACCTTCTGTAAAACTACTCAATAGAAAAGAACTCTAGTTGAGCATAATATTATTCATTAAATGTTGTATTGTATTATTTGTATTTTACATTGATTTTCAGGTCACCCATTATAAAATATGAACTTTTGTACTTTTGATATGGGGTATATATTTTAATCAATTGTCGTCTGCCCTTGTCTTTTAATGTTTACAAAAATCTTCTCCTCTGAAACTACTGGACTGAAATAGTCCGTCGACTACTTGTTGAACTTCTTGATCTTTAAAGGCAATTTTTACCATTTATTTTGCGTTTTTGCCTCATTATCTTGAAAACTATATAAGATAGATAGACATTTGAGTTTAAATAACAAAACTGATCAGCAACACAAGATCTTTTTTGTGTTTTGGGAAAAACGAAAGAAGATGGAGAGAAACGTTAAGCAGAAAAAATTATCAGCAATATAAAATCAACAAAAATTCTATTCTATAGATATTCTAGTCTACCAAGTTGTAGAGTGAGCAAAGTGAGCTCTCTTTACAAAATTCTGTCATTGAATGGGAAGTATCACACATCATACCCTTATGCCTTGATGTCAAGAACTTGTGTAGGCAATAAAATTGAGAATGGAAATGGGGAATGTGTCAAAGAGACAACAACCCGACCAAAGAGCAAAAAAAAAACAGCCGAAGGCCACTAATAGGTCTTCAGCACAGCGAGAAAATCCCGCACCCGGAGGCGGGCTTCAGCTGGCCCCTAAACAAAAATGTGTACTAGTTCAGTGAAAATGGACGTCATACTTAACTCCAAAACATATAAATGAACTAAAATTAAAAATAATACAAGACTAACAAAGGCCAGAGACTCCCGACTTGGGACAGGCCCAAAAATGCGGCGGGGTTAAACATGAATGAAACTTTGTCATTAAACTGCACTGAGGATGCCATTTTAATAAAACAAAAGCTTGCAAAGTAACTGGCAAGTCTATACATTGTATTACATTGCATACTTCTCAATTTTTATTTGTGCATTTCAAAAATATAGTTTTGTACTCATTCTGTTATGCCCTTTGCTTAATATAAGCAGCTGAATTTATGTTCTATGTAGAAAAAAAATACTCTGAAATAAATAAATTTAAAATATAAACAATAGAGAAAAATGACATAAAAAATTAAAGAAAACAGAAATGAAGGACCATCATCTAGACCCTCCTATACAGGAGACAAGTATTCTTTGGGGCCCTAATTGGTGATCTTTTTTTTTTTTAATCATTTGAATGAGACAGTCAACATAAATCTATAAAATATCCTGTATCTTTGTAAATGGTACATAATTTTTACTTTAAAATACAATCATGCTAAGAAAGATTTTCCTTTTATAGCCAACTATATGGTATGGGGTTTTCTCATTGTTGAAGGCCGTACGGTTGCCTATAATTGCTTACATCCACTTTATTTGAAATTTGGTGGATAGTTGTCTCATTGGCAATCATACCTCATCTCCTTATTTTTATATTACAAACAATTCTTACATTTAATGTTGACAAAAAGCTGAAAGGAAATGTTCTTGACGTAAACAGTATTTTTTTCTTGTATGATATTTTATGAAAACAATCTCAGGTGAATAAGTTGAAGACCATATATATTAGTTCAATCCAAATGAGGCAGTCAAGATTTTGTATCTGTAGAAGTTGATCGGAGTGAATCCACTAAATCCAATGAGAGGTTACTCGACTTGAAGGATGCTTCAGTATGCAGTAGAGATGTCCCTGTTATAGTTCCTTCTTCATGTTGTTTTGATCCAGACCTAGAGGTTCTGTTGGTCAGGCGGCTGTCTTTCCCTGCCAGATATTGTGTTACTGGACTGGTATTGCTTGAATGATTAGTTTCATCACTTGGTGTGATTGGTCCATTTCCTGGTGGGTTATAACCAATCAGATTTTGCTGATCTTCACTGGAAATATTTTAAAAAAAATACATGCATCCTTTAATTGTATTTGCTTAATATTCTGTTGTATGTATTCATCAAAGTTGTACAAAAATTCGAACGTGTAAAAGTGTTGTTTGTTTATGGTTAACACGTATTTGGTTATTTATAGTAAGGTCGGATCGATTGCATGGGTAATTGGAGTTTCATGCACGAGTGAATTTAGTTGTTTAAAGTCATTAGAGCCATTGCAGTCAGAGTGTACAGTCGCAATTTGCAAATTAAATATTATAATAATTTATATTATTTATTTCCAGATTTGTTGACCACGAGCATGCAGCAACCAGTACCAACTACTAAATTTCGATATATTTACACGAACTTTCGACATTATTATACGAATATGAAAAATAAAAAGTGGCTGCAAGTGGCGTTTCCTATGTGAGAGTTTATGGTTATTTGATAAATATTTTATGTCCGTTTGACTTTACGAATTAGAATATAAGGGCTATATTTTATTCATCTCTAGAATATAAGTGCCATAATAAGACCTATGGCCATTTTTTTTATAATTGTCTTTATATTATAGATAGTCTGACCATTGTTTTCTAGGAGCATGAAATATTTGCCACTGGATGTTTATATAATTTTTTAAATGTCTTGTGTCATTTTTATCTTTAAAATTCTATCCATGTGCTGAATGTTGAGTCTCATTATTGTTTAAAATTATGGCAGCCCTAGTCTTTTGTGTTTACAGGAGAGCCTTAATACAACTTATTGTTTTGACTGAACACCATTGAGATAAGTAATCTAAATTGTTATTCTAAAAATTGAACAGTATCAACGTGTCACTTACTCAATAGGAGGCAGACCCACTTTTCTGTAATGTCTCCAACCTTCCAACATTGCTGGACTTATTTTACTTCTTTGAGTATAATGTAGTAGAATTTTCATCCTATATGGATTTGCTCTACATCTGTTAATACAAGTATACACTATTGGTTATTATTGTCACACATAGAAACATATAAGCACTTAATAGAATTGAGAATGGAGACGGGGAATGTGTCAAAGAGACAACAACCCGACCAAAGAGCAGAACACAGCCCAAGGTCATCAATGGTTTTTTAACGCAGCGAGACAAAAATCCCGCAACCGGAGGCGTTCTTCAGCTGGCCCCTAAACAATAATATGTACTATTTCAGCAGTGAAATGGACGCCACACTAACTTGAACTCCGACTTGAAATCGCTATAAATGAGCTAAAATTAAAAAAAAAAACACACACAATACTAAACTAGAGGCTCTAAAGAGCCTGTCTCGCTCACCTTGGTCTATGTGCATATTAAACAAAGGACACAGATGGATTCATGACAAAATTGTGTTTTGGTGATGGTGATGTGTTTGTAGATCTTACTTTACTGAATATTCTTGCTCCTTACTATTATCTCTATCTATAATGAACTTGGCCCGGTAGTTACAGTGGAAAATACTTTTAAAAATTTACAAAAATTTACAAAATTTATGAAAATTGTAAAAAATTGACTATAAAGGGCAATAACTCCTTAAGGGATCAATTGACAATTTTGGTCATGTTGCCTTATTTGTAGATCTTACTTTGCTGAACATTATTGCTGTTTACAGTTTATCTCTATCTATAATAATATTCAAGATAATAACCAAAAACGGCAAAATTTCCTTAAAATTACCAGTTCAGGGGCAGCAACCCAACAACGGGTTGCCTGATTGGTCTGAAAATTTCAGGGCAGATAGATCTTGACCTAATGAACAATTTTATACTCATCAGATTTGCTCTAAATGCTTTGGTTTCAGAGATATGAGCCAAAAACTGCATTTTACCCTATGTACTATTTTTTAGCCATGTCGGCCATCTTGGTTCGCGGGCGGGTTCATTGGACACATTTTTTAAACTAGATACCCTAATGATGATTGTGGACAAGTTTGGTTAAATTTGTCTTAGTAGTTTCAGAGGAGAAGATTTTTGTAAAAGATTACAAAAATTTACGAAAAATAGTTAAAAATTCACTATAAAGGGCAATAACTCCTTAAGGGGTCAACTGACCATTTTGGTCAAGTTGACTTATTTGTAGATCTTACTTTGCTGAACATTATTGCTGTTTACAGTTTACCTCTATCTATAATAATATTCAAGATAATAACCAAAAACTGCAAAATTTCCTTAAAATTACCAATTCAGGGGCAGCAACCCAACAACGGGTTGTCCGATTCATCTGAAAATTTCAGGGCAGATAGATCTTGACCTGATAAACAATTTTACCCCACCTGATAAACAATTTTACCCCATGTCAGATTTGCTCTAAATGCTTTGGTTTCAGAGATATAAGCCAAAATCTACATTTTACCCCTATGTTCTATTTTTAGCCATGGCGGCCATCTTGGTTGGTGGGCCGGGTCACCGGACACATTTTTTAAACTAGATACCCCAATAATGATTGTGGCCAAGTTTGGTCAAATTTGGCCCAGTAGTTTCAGAGAAGAAGATTTTTGTAAAAGTTTACGGACGACGGACGCAGGACGACGGACGACGGACGCAAAGTGATGAGAAAAGCTCACTTGACCTTTCAGGTCAGGTGAGCTAAAAAGGGCTAGAGGTTCCTGACTTGGCACAGGCGCACAAATTCGGCGGGGTTAAACACGTTTTGTGAGATCTCAACAAATTAAACACAGATGTAAATGATTTTGCATTGATTTGATTTGAATTTGAATTATATAATTTATATAAATAATTTAAATTTCTTTAGTTAGTCTTCCAAACGTTTTACGTATTTTGTTACGGGACTCATTCTACTTTCTACAGAAGACAAAACAAAGGGAAAAACAAACAATCAAAACCTAACACATTCTCCATTTCAACAAAAAGCAAAAAGGGTACCTATAACAAAAAAGTCGTCATGTTGGTCACATGTAGACCTACTTTTCTTGATTTATCTTCATACCTGTTGAGTATTTGTCGTTCGCCAGTATGATTAAATGACAAATAACCCAGTGCAATGGCTGCACATCCTCGGACTTGTTCAACATTTTTCAGAAGTAAGTGACAAAGATGGTCTACTGTGTCAATGGAGAGGAATGCAGACGGAATTCCTAAAATGAGAACAAAAATAGCAAATAATCATTGATTGTTGTTTGTCTAACGTCCATTGACAATTTACACAAGAATAAAATTTAGTGAAAAACAATAGTTTGCATTAAAATGCCAGATACGTGTATTACGTGTTTACTATTCAAATATTTCTTGCCAATCTCACTATAAAATCTGTTTAGGAAAAACGTTTATTCAGATTTCACGGTAGTAATTTTCCCTTGTTCTTATGTATAAAGCAACGGTTGCATGGCTGTACTGATTTAGAGTATATACATTATTCATTCATATTTCGATCGTTATTATGCACAAAAAATCAACTTAAGATATGAAATCAATAAAGTTAGCAGTCTAGTTTTATTCTTTGTGATGTGCAATATACCTCTTATTCATGATGGATTGCTTTGTTTGTGTTCTTTCTACTTCAAGTTTGCATACCTGCTCTTGTATGAGACAGTCTGGCAATACAATCGCAAGATAACGCTAAAATTTCATTGTCTGTTGAATCCTGTACCAGATCTATAAGTAATTTGATTCCAGCAGCAGACGATAAAGCCTGTTCAGTGTCCGGTATGATTCTTGCTAAAACTACAACCTAGAAAATTTGAGAGGTCAAGTTCAATTTATTTTAAGCTAACGAACATTTTAGATACATTACAAGTCTTTGTAACAGAAAAAAATAAATGAAAACTCTGTATGATCTGTATTTTGTAAATACCACATTAAAAAAAAATGGCCATAATAAGATATCTAAACAGTTGAAAAAATTTCAATAAACAAAACAAACAAACCGGGAACAAATTATGTATGGCCAAATAGGGTGCCTCTATAGATCCCGTGTTATACAAATTTCGAAAAACGAATATAATCGTTGGAACAATTCCAAACAAATGAAATGGTAAAAAGCATTAAATATGTAGCTGTGTCCTTTGCATGCACATCACATATTGTCCATAAAAAGCTTAAGTCTCCATTCTCAATTTTACTTTTCGCATTTAGGAAATAATTATGCAATGAAAAAGATAACAATTTTGGAAGAACTTGAAACTGAACCAATATATCAGTTTATAAAATTCTTTATTATGATCATTAATAATATCATTAATAATAATGTCCGAATTAAATGCATTAACATCTAAATATGTAAATCGAATTCTATACCTGAAAAGCACCTAAACACCGGAATAATTCTGTCTCTGAGTGGAGGAATGGGCGGAAACTGTTAAACCTAACACCTCCTTGTTCTGCTATTTCTTTCTGTTCCGCCAGATTGTTGTATGCAAATGTAGCAAGAGCTAAACCTGCTAGGAGTCGTACATTTGGATCGGCTGAGTACATAAGTTTAAGAATCCGAACATATGTAAATTCTGGAAATTTCTTGATTTCATCAAGCACGTGCTGGTTACCTAGAAATGTAAAGTGCAAATGTTTTACGAACAGATTTTGAATATTATCTGTTTTTATGGTGGTTTTTTTTAAACATTTTGGTCAAATTTTCTTCTATTTAGGTACGTTGGGGTACATTTTTGGTTTGGATATGGTTTTTGATATTAGTAATATTTTCCTCGCAGTGACTATGTTCTTTCAAGGGGGTAAAATGAAGTTTTGACCTTATTGTTTTCCTATTATTAATTTTCCTTTATTGATGGTGAAGTTCCTTTGACTCCCTCTAATGGGGTGTAAAAATCTCAGTTGGTTAGATATGCACGTGTTTGAAGTGATGTCTCGAATTTCAATCAACTTGATATTTTCATTACTTAAAAACTTTACAACATAGATGTAGAGATCATAAATTTGGTAAAAACTTTTACTTAATTTTATCATAAATGTATCTATATGTTAAAGACGTATGATATATATACCTATAGGAATTTAATAACAAGTAGCGATTCGCATCCTTCTTTTTATGGTGTAATATTGTTTATAAGGCTAAAAAGTTTAGAAATTGTCCTTCAAATCTTTTCATTTATAGCTTAACAGATACTTATTGACAATTTTCATAGTTATACTGTTGTTGTTTAATCACCACTCTGGTATTTTGCGGGATAATCATCAACTCGCTAATATGAAGAAATTCTAAATTTTTCCTTTGTTTTTCTGTGTTCTGTTTTATCATATCTTTCTATACTGTTTATGACGTTCCTGTATAAAATGTTCTATGAAATATAGAGACCTATGTCCGGTGTAGGACGGCATGTTTTCATATCAGCAGGTTAAGTACTTTAAGCATGCTTTTAGTTACTACACACATTCTTCATATAATTGTATAGACAAATATCTTTTATTGAATAACACATAAGGCCCTTTATATTGAAAGATGTAGCTTTCCGATACTGAGGAAGAAGCCAATACTTAGTATGATCTAGTATGTGTGCGAAGCTTGACAAATGAGGTTAAAAACAACAACACCAAAACGGAAAGATAAACACCACTTATTTTGTACAGATATATTTGAAGTGTATACCCCAGAATAATTACTTTTCTATTGTTCTCGAATTATCGCCTGCTAACGACTGAAAACGAAAATAATTAAAGTCATCAGGAAAGCTCATAGCATAAAAATGAAAGCCAAGGATGTATGAGAACCGAATCATGTGAAGAGCTATATGACCAAAGGGACCTAAAAATAATAGCCAAATCCATCGAAAGTCAACTAACTCTGCCTGAGGGAGTTGAAACCTTAGTTTCATAATAATTTCCAAATTTATCAATTTAAGAAAATTAGGTTACTACTATACAAATCATAGATATAAGAAGATGTGGTATGAGTGCCAATGAGACAACTCTCCATCCAAGTCACAATTTGTAAAAGTAAACCATTATGGTTAAAGTATGGCCTTCAACACGGAACCTTGGCTCACACCGAACAGCAAGCTATAAAGGGCCCCAAACATGGCTAGTGTAAAACCATTCAAACAGGAAAACCAACAGTCTAATCTATAAATGTCATTATTAAAGCATTGACTAAAAGTCCACCAGCAGCGGTATCAACCCAGTGCTAAAAACCGAACTGGTGAGTTGACTCATATTGAGATAAAGGTAAAAAATAAATAATAAGAGCCTGTATCGCTAACATAGGTCTATGTACATCCAACATAGGGAACTAGAAGAGAACTCATGACAAAAATTTTTTTGTTGATCTTGTATTGCTGATAACTTTGTTCTGTTTACAGTTTCTCTGTATCTCCCAAAACACAAAAAAAGGGTTAAAAATCGTCATTTAAGGGCAATCACTCCTCATCCACTCACGATTTCGGAAAATTTGAATTATGGCAGATATTGTCTTGCTGCTCATTTTTGCTATCTAAAGTGTCTCATGATCTTTTACAGTTCTCAAGATAATAGGCAAAACCGCAATGGTAAACATCGTCTTTTAAAAGACCAATAACTCCAATAAGGAGTCAACTGACGATTTGGCAATTAGACTTATTTTGTAGGTCTTGTCTTGCTGGTCATGAGATAACAGACAAAAACGACAAAAATGGTAAAAAATCGTTATAAAAAAGCAATAAGTTCGATAAGGAGTCGTCTGACGATTACGGCCAAGTTGACTTATTTGTAGATATTTTCTTGCTGATAATTTTTAGCCCAGTAGTTTCAGAGGAGAAGAATTTTGTAAAATTTTACGAACGACGACGACGGATGACAGACGACACCGACGGACGACAGACGACGACGTCGGAAGACGGACGCCAAGTGATGAGAAACGCTCACTTGGTCCCTTGTGTCAGGTGAGCTAAAAAGGCAATAAATTGTCACAGTAAAACAGGGATACACTCCTGCAAATACGATATTTGAAATCATATTCGTCAATTGATAAAGTACATGCGGTTATATTACTAATTTTGAAAGAAGTAGTTGAAGTAACAGTTCGTCAAGATCAATTGCTTTATTCCATTTGTCAAGGGCTAACATTTGCTAGTCATTACCGATTTGTATTTACTTTTTATAACGTTGTGGGGCGTTGCTTTATTAAATTCTTGATTATTTATACATGTTATATACCAATCGTAAATCCTACATGTACATTGATGTGCATTGCTGTTTGGGTGTTATATTAATCTTTACCGACCATACAAGTGCTAATGTGGAAAACGGGAATACAGACAATATGTGTATAGAGTCTATTAACGTAATATCATTTCTATTCAACCCAAACGAAAACAGCGAGTAAAACATGTCCTTTGGCAAACAACCGATATGTCTATCTTTTTTTTATGATCATAATACGACCATCTGAATGTTTAAATTGAATTCATCTTCCTCTAGTTAGGTACTTGAGGCGAGTGTACCACTGAAAGCCAGTCAATGATAAAACACTAGAATTGAACACAAAATTTTGAAATTAATTAAATGTATGTATGCCTGACTGAATACAGTGAATTGTAGTTAAAGGTCAATCAATAAGTTCCTTTTTTAGAGTTAAACGTCCCAAAAGGTAAATCTAATTATTAAACAAAGCCATATTTAATTTACTTTCAAAATTAATGACACGGTACAAGTATTATCTGAAAGGTGTATACTTGGTACACTTTGAACACATGTTATTTAAAATGTAAAATTATGAAATTTGCAGGTGTAGGAGGATTGGCGCGCAAATTCTGTTTTTAGCACCATTATAGTGATTGACTAAACTATTATGTTCATAATACATGCCTGTTACAAACATTTAGGTTAACATTCTCTATCAATTTTGTAATCAACTAGAACCTTGATGTAGATGCTTTTTCTTTTGGCTTACCTAAAGAAACAGCTGCAAGTGCAATGGCTGCCTCAATTTGTACGGTCTCATCTTCGGAAAGGACCATCAATGCCATTAAGTTTTTTATAGACCCCAGACGTAACAATGTGTTCTGATTGTTTCGGTTTGGCACATATCCAACACCAAGACAAATAAATCGTAACGTCCGTATAACACTCAATACAATGTAAACCTTTGAAGAGCTGAGAAGTTTCAGCAATGCTGGTATTCCGTGAGATTTTGCTATTTCTGTCTGGTAATTTAAGGGACCTTGTGCTAAAATACACAAGCATTCTGATCCCATAAAATGAAGTTTATCTGAAGATAAAGCATTTGCAAATTGTACTAATAAAAATACTCCGATCTGTTCTGCAATGTATCGCTTTATATCGAAGTCTGAACCCGAAATAGCCCAAAGCGCAAGAGCTGTCTTTTCTTGGATAACAACAATTCGTGTCACTCGCAACATTTTCAGCATGTGTTCATGAATGTTTTCTCCAACCATAGCCTTCTGTGTCGAATCATTTCCTATAGAGAGTTTGTATATGGTGTCGACTGCAGACATTTGTATATCTCTGCTGCTTCTTATGCTTAATAGAGATATAATATGAGGAACAATTCCAGCATTAATAAAATTATTTTGATTGGTTTCATCGTTGTTTGCAATTTTTCCAACAACGTTACTCAGAGTTACTAAGAAACTGTGCTCATGAAATTCTTCAAACAGAACTACTAATTGTGGGATGCAACCGTGCGAAGTTCCTACTTGAGCTTGAATCTTTGTCTCTGATTCTGCGAGGTTACCAAGGCAGTGTACTGCGGGGATCAATACTTCGTAGTCGTGGATATCTTGGAGAACTTTAACTAAAGCCGGAATACCATTGTTTTGACTAATTTGCAATGCGTAGGTTGTATTCTTTGCAAGCGAATCAAGTATTTCTGCAGACAACTGTATAACATAGTGGTTGGTTGACTTCAGAAGGGTAATAAATGCGATAATCCCGCCACTTGACGAGATTTGTTCTTGAACTTCTAGTCTTTCTATCAGATTCAGAAGTGTCTGAAATGCTGGAATTTTTGCTTCATCACTTAGCGAACTTCTTGCAACACGAATAACTACATTTACACCGCCGTTGTTGTAAAATTGTTCCCATGAAGGATTTATATTACCGTTTTCCAAACGATCAGTTAGTACCCGAAGACATTTCCCTGCTGCTTCAGCCTCTTCTTCGCTCTCGGAATCAAAAAAACGGATCAAATTTTTCCAAACTGGAATCATTGGATTATCGATCTCAATAAGATATTTTAGCATTTCTATGTATATCTTTAATGCACATATTTCCACAGCTCCATGATTCTGTGCGTTTATCACATCCGTACGCGCACCACTTTCCAGTAGATATTTCACTGCTTTCATTTTATTCCCGTCAACAGCGCACAAAAACGGTGTCATCAGCTTGTCATCTTTTGTTTCCAGTTCTAATAAATCCCTGTTTTCATTCAAATTGAAGTCCACTTCCAGTATATAACCTCCATGAGCTGCCCTGTGAATCTGATTCCATCCCTGTGAGTCAAACTCTACAATTTCTGCCATTATAGTCTTCTGTTTAGATTGTCTATCTAAAATCGGATTTTGGTTGACAAGTACATGCTCACAACATCAAAAACTCAAAAGATATCTTACATGTATAGAAATCTACAATGGAGAAAAAAGAAAACGTTAAAAGCTCCCCAAATACCGTTACAAACTAACAAAGGGCGCAAACGAGAGACAACTTCATGTTATTAACATGGTTAAGCCAAGAGTGTATGTAATTAGGGTCCTACTGTGCCATACTTTCCCCTTTAAGACGAAGTACATTCTTGTAAGCTAAGATAAGACAGAACCAATTTACAATCTATTAAATATATATATATATATATATATATATTTCTCTAATTCTTCGTCAATTTATCCCTTTCTGCACCCATTGTATAAAAAAAATTTAATCAACGTGTGGTTCGTTTGATCTCAGTTCTTCATTAGTTAAAACCCGATTATGACGTCGAATTTTCTTGCTTTCCTCTGAATTTCCTATTGTGACGGCATGAAAAAAAGGCGACCATGCCTGATGACGTCACATAGATAGAACACATCTTTTTGCAGATCATTCGAAAAGAAGGAATAAATTTGCCTGCGTATTGTTTGAAAATCATTAGAGAAACAGATTCCACCACCAAATCTCGTGTAATACGATATTTATCCACTCTCGGCAGTTAAATTTTAAATAGTTAAAACGCTCGGCGAGCCTCGCGTTCTAAATTTGAAAATTTAACTATCTCGAGTGGATAAATATCGTATTACACTCGATGCAGTGGTAGAATCTATATATATATATATATATTCAATATTATATCTAAAATTTTAAAGTTGGATATATTTTTCATTGAAAAACCCTGCTTATTATATTTTATAAATTAATCAAAGTAAGCTACCAACGTTACTGATTTTTAAAGCAGAAACAAAGAGATGTACAGTACTATTGCCAATGATACAACTATCCATAAAAAATCTACTTTACGTTAAAATATGAATATAATGCATTTAAAATAAAAATATAAATTATTAGTTTATACTCACGAAGCATATAGTAGTAAACAATGAAAGTGTTTAAAGAAACTATTACCAAGTGTATATGTCACGGTGTTCTGTTCCACAACGTAAGGTTTGGGGTCTCTGATTACAATCGCGTCGGTTGCCATGTCGCAGTTTACATGTAGTTGATCAAATTTCAGCGAACATGACTATATATAGTAGTGGTCGAAATTCTAAATTATTCTCCTAATTCATCCTAAAAAGTATACAGTCATAATTCCTTCTCCCACACGTTTAACACCGTGATCAAATATGCTTGTCCACAATTTTTAAGTCGGATGAATTTTTCACGAAAATTACTCTTGTCGTATGAAACAAGTTACTATACTTGATTTGAAAGAAACCATACGATATGCGTGTCATTTTCAAGCATCCACCAAAAAATAACTACTTAATCAATTTATACAAGACTATTCATTACCACAACACGCAAACAATCGTTTGCATTTAGGTTAAGTTTTGTTTAGTTAGTGTGATTTTAAATGCATTTTCTTCTATATCTAATGAGCAAAATGTTTAGATTAAGTCGTTTTGAGCAAACTACACAGTTTTAATGTGTTTTCTACCATGGCTGATTTCGAATATCGATTAACGTGAACGATCACCCCAGATGCATTAGATTTCCCCTCTCTTCACGAAGAATGGTATATACCAGTCTGAAGGAAATTGACATTAGGTTGCGCTTTTCTCTGAGTGTTTAAGACGTCCTTACACGAAATCCGTTGGATGTGTACTGATCAAAATTTAAGTTTGTGAAAATATGGTTTATTTATCAGTATAATACTCTTAGATCTGCTAGACTGTAGCCTTTTATACAGTGCCAATTGCACAGTTGCTGTATGAATTAGTTTGATATTATATTACAAGTTAACCTTTAGTGCAACATAGAATCCCTGCGCCGTCGAAAAATTCACAGTCATTCTACAGCTAGTAATACTCACATGGTCATCAGACTCAGAATTGATAAATGAATAAACGGATGAATTCTTTATTGCAGTAGTTACATGCTGTAGCAAATTTTAGCAAAACAAACCTGGGACATAATATATTAACGTTATTATAGTGGTCCCAGCATATATTTACATTTTGACACATAATAAACAGCACATATTCTAAAATAGTACAATTGACAAATTGTATTTGTCACATTTCACATAATTACATAATTTTCCAGCTAACAATCTAGATTTTGTTTGATACAAATACCATAATTTTATTATTTTTGGCCACGAACAGTTGTATTCTGGTAAAAACTGCAGACTTACACATCTATATTTAGGACACACCAAAGTAAAATGGTACTCATCTTCCACACTTTTCATATAACAGCCATTACCTAATCTGTTTTCTCTTGGTATATTTGAATACCTCCCCACCAATCTTCGTAATGTCCGAAGCAAAAGTGGGCACAGATAAGGTGCGGATAATTATTATGGGTTACGTGTTAGTATGTCTGGGTCATGGTAGGCCTACATTGGGACTTTCATACTGTTATTGGCATGAACAGTTTTACTCAATGAAAGTATAATCCCCTATATTTGTTTCCCCGTAAAGGGTGGTAAAATCAAGCGTTTTTAACTGTGCAATTGCACAAAGAGTGATGTACTCTAACAGAATGTAGTTTTAAGTACCCACAACTGATTCATGTCGCTCCTAGAGCATTTAGTCGCAGAGAAACTATCAGGCAAGATTTCGATTGCTGATATACACGATGTTTTAACAAAAATTAGAAAGGAGTTTCGAGTAATTGACAGACCTAGCAATATTAAATTGTTAATAAGGACACGCGGGTATGAGATTTGGGTATCCAGTATAAAGAAGGAAGATTCATTGCTTCGTCTTTGGTTAAAATTCCAAATTGCCATAAAATACTATAAAAGTGCAGTGATCCAACTATATGATTATTGATCAAAAATAGCAGAGATACAACACAGACTGTATTTTTATCTGAACTTCCGGTGTCCAATCATATCATTTCTATTTATCTTTCTATTTCATTTAGATCTAGCTTACTTCTTGGTATCAAATCAACATCTTTATAGTAATAACATTCACGGTACCAATTTTTCTGCACCTGATGCGCATTTCGCCAATAAATGCTCACAAAAAATTACTTCTTAATATAGCACATACTTTGAATATCAGCTTAATTACCCATTAGGCAAATTTTCATTCGTATTTCAAATACTTATGTTTTAATTGGTATGGCAGTATGATACGAGATTTCTGTGGTCTACGAAAGAAGGCAGAGCTTATACTGGTCTATCTCCATACTCCACCTTGCATTATAATGTAGCCTATTCTTTTTTTTTATAACTGAAGGTGTTTGCTTATTCTAAATACAAGTGAACAAATAATAGCTCTTCAGATCAATAAAGTTGATTCCTATATAACTTTCTATCATTCAGTTGAATACTAAGGATCTGTCGCTTACAACTAAATGTTCAATTTACCAACATTTAGAAAAAATTAAGTTACATTACGAGGTGTCTAGCAACATTTTGGATCGTTGAAAACAGATATAGAATGAGTGTTCATAGACCTGGTTATGTTTTATCTTTATTTGTCAACAACCTAACACATTAACCCATGCGAAAAGAGTGCGAATGAAAGGAGACATGGGGTCTCCGTTAATGAGAAAGCAACCTAACGATACAAATAACTCGACCAAAAGATATCGAATGAAAACATAGTCTCCAATAGTAAACAGATGTCTACTAGTAAACAACATGTCCAACTCTAAATCGTCCCGAGTCTATAAACGTTGCGAATAATTTAAACAGAAACGATCAAAGATCTGCCATAAACACACATTCTCAAAATAATGTAAACAAGAGTGCACACGCTGAATTGTCATGAGGGGGCGGACAGGGGGTACCTTTCTCCTTTCTCCCGCCCCTCTTCTCCTTTCTCCCGCCCCTCTTATCCTTTCTCCCGCCCCTCTTCTCTTGTCTCCCACTCTAAGTAATGAAAAACTAATGTATAGGAAGCTCATTTTAAAAGAAATCGATCAAATGTCTTGTTTTTATGGCTCGTCTCCGTCTTGTCCTTTCACGAGATAGAAGTGTTGTTTCTTCTGCTTCAAGAATCTCAATAAATTTTTCACTAAATGTTAAGATTTCTGTTTGCAATGAATTTGTAAGTCTGATGCACGCCGTTTCTCGATGATTTTTTTTTCAAAATAGAAATCCAAATTATAGAATCCGCATGATAATGTTTGAAAATACGGGGAATTGTTGTGCCACTATTAGTGCAATTTCGTTAAGAAACCCATTAGTTTTAAAATGGTTGCTAAAAACGCTGCTTGCAAAATAGAAAAATAGAATTCATTTGGAAAAGAATAGTTATACGGATACAATTTAGCGAAAATGCATAGCACAAGCAGCCGTGGAAATTCAGACAGAAAATGGTTTGTTGGAATGGAATTAACAAAGAAGAATAATTGTCTCTGAACTTGGTTATTTTGCCGCACAACATTTTCTATGTTCCAAGTGTAGCCAGTTTCTGAACATTATTGGACTGTACAGAAAATATGGTTCCGGAAGCTTGTCATGATAAAATAAATTGCCAACACTGTAATCGTATAAGCGCTAAGCATAGTTTACACAGGACAGCAACACCAGAATGAGGCAAAAGTTAACAAAGGCTTGACATTTTGGGATGTCAACACTTAATGTGCACCCGATGAGCCGAAATAAAATTAGATCTGTCAGATCCCGTTACATATTTTTCTTTCAATTCGGTATTTCAAAACAAATTATTTTTCGAAATTTACAAACACACGATTCATTAAAAAAACAGTGGCCAACAATAAATGAATAATCGGTGCTTTGATGAAGTTTAATCCAAAAAAGCGCTCCGAACGCAAAAAAATAAATTAAAGAGATACTTTTGTTTACATGCATATAGTCCGCAACTACGCACACAGCTCACACGTTTACATCATACAGAGTAAATGCTATATTAAAAATATGTATTATTTTATTTATCACTTTTACAACTGATGGAATGTTTTTATAAATAACCTTTTTTGATAGCTGCATTAAATTAATTGTGTCTTTTAGACACAACTAATTCAAATTGTATTGTATCGTCCTGATAATGCCTGAAATATTTGCCACCGGACAATTTGCAACCTCAAATCAATCAATTCAAACTACTTGAAAATCACAGTGTACTTAATCAAATTTTTAAAGCACTTTACCCTTGCATGAAAGTAGAGTGGCATTACCTTTGTCTAGTTTGATAGGGTTAAGTTGAAGGTATGTTTTTTTCTAAGCTGAATGTGCACCCAGTTACATGTAGGTCGAAATAAAATTAAATCAGTAAAATTGATAAGAAATTTACGAAACCGGACAGGGGAAATTACAACAAAATAACAAACACCATTCAGATCCCATTACAAATTTTTTCAATACCTCGGAGTAAAAAATAACGTTACTCTACATTCAGTAACGTCATCCCTTTTCTGTCAAAATGATTGCATATCAGTCAATTTTGAAGCAATTTGTCTAAAAAAAAGGTTTTGATATGTGTTTGATTTGATTTATGTGTTGTTAACGCCATTTTTAAGTACCGCTTTTGAGCTATAATTTTAGTGGCGGCAAGTTTTGATTGGTGGAGGAAGCCGGAGTGCCCGGAGAAAACCACCGACCTTCGATAGGAAAACGGACACTCCTAGTCAATTAAGATTGGAGTCGAGTGCACCCGCATGAGCGGGATTCGAAACTCACAACTTCAGTGTTTACTGGCTAGTGATTACAGTAGCAACTACTTAGACCACTTGACCGAGTCTCCTTTTTGACATGTGTCTCTATACATATAAAAAAGAAGATGTGATGTGATTGCCAATGAGACAACTCTTCACGAGAGACTTAATGACATAGAAATTAACAACTATGGATAATCGTATGGCCTTCAGCAATGAGCAAAGCCCTTTCCGCATACTCAGCTAACGGGAAAACTAACGGCCTTATTACTGTACAAAAAATGAACCAAAAACAAAAATGTAACACAGCAACAAATAACAACCACTGAATGACAGGCTCCTGACTAGGAACAGACACATGCATACAGAATGTGGTGTGTTAAACATATTAGCGGGATTCCCAACCTCCCCCTAACCTGGGACATTGGTGTAACAGTACAACATAAGAACGAACTATAAGAATCAGTTAAAAAGGCTTAACTCATCAGATGGATACAAATAG